GAACAAGCAGAGGAGTTGGCACCACTGCTCAATCTCAAGCTTGCGACCAAAAAGACGAATGGTGGACCGGTTCCAATGGCTGGCTTCCCCTTCTTCCAGCTCGATCGTTTTCTCAAAACCCTCGTCGGAGACCTCAACAAGTATGTGGCTATTAGTGAGGAATTTGCCATCGATCCAGAAGACAAGGCACGCACAGGAGGCCTCCTGTTTGACCGGAGGGTTGCCAGGATCATCACACCTGGCACGCTGATCGACGAGAAATTCATAGATCCCTCCGAGTATAATTTCCTGCTGGCCATATACTTGGATGTCCCATCTTTGCAGTCGCAATTGAAGCAACACGCTGATATCGATCTACAATCATCGCATCAGCATGTACTGTCATCTGTACCACAACAAGTAGGATTGTCATGGCTTGATCTCTCAACTGGTGATTTCTTCACTCAGCTCACGACGACCCAAATGCTTCCATCTGCAATTGCGCGAATTGGAGCTCGTGAGATATTGGTAGACCAGAATGTACAAGATCTTATTGGACATGAATTGCAAATGCTAGTTGGACATGATCATCGCCTTGTCACCTTCTTCCAATATCCTGAAGCATTCAAGCCGGTATCTGAATGGGGGACAATGTTAGAGTCTCCGGTCCCCGAAGATGCTCGCGCCTCATTCACATCGGAGGAAGTAGCAGCTGGTTACAGTCTGCTCGAGTACATTCGCGTGCAGTTGCAAGGGTCGAATCTCAAGCTTCAGCCTCCAATTCGAAGACATTTGAATGAATCAATGAGCATTGATCGTAACAGTCTGAGTGGCCTTGAGATTCTAGAAACGGCGAGAGACGGGTTTGGGAAAGGTAGTCTTCTACACGCTGTGCGAAGAACTTCTACAAAAAGTGGCGCACGGCTTTTACGAGACCGACTGAGTATGTCCAACTAAAATTGAACGCCTTTTGTGTGACTTTTACTAATGTGTGCCATGCAGCTTCCCCGTCTACCTCCTTACAAGTCATCAATGAGCGTCTGGACCTCGTCTCGGTCTTCATAGAACATGTGGAGCTCCGTGACAGTATCATCCAACTTTTGAAGCGCAGCCATGATTCTCAACGTCTGGTTCAGAAATTCGCTTTTGGGAAAGGAGATCCGGATGACCTGATTTGTCTTTCCCGTGCCATTGAGGCCTCCAAGGAAGTCAGGCAAGTTCTTCTAGATCACAATAGACTTTCGGTCTCCAGCACTACAGATTTCAATCACAGTCTTACTATCATGATCTCACGGCTTTTCCTCGATGGTCCCATCGCGCTAGCGGACCAAATTCTTGCAGCCATTGACGAAGAAGGCTTGCTACAAAAGCAGCGCATCGAGGATAGTACAGCCGCAGAGGCAGCCAATCTGGCACAAAAGGTTGCTATGGATGAAGCCACATCTAGCGAGCTCGAAGCACTGCCGAAAAAGGTCAGGGAAAAGAAGGGCGAGCGAGCAGTTGTGGCTGATACGGAGTCCGGTCCCCTCGATACCTGGATCATGAGGCGTGACGCAAGCAAGACCTTGAATGCACTCCACGCGGAGCTAGAACGGTTGGGCCATGAAAAGATTTCATTGACTCACCGTCTCCGTGATTCGGTTGATTCGTCGGCCCTGAGTCTTAAATGGACACCAGGGTTAGGTCACATCTGCCACGTTAAAGGGGCAAAGATATCCCAAAAATCCCTAGAAGACTTGGGAGTCACTCGAAATGTCTCGTCGACCAAATCTACCCGGTCATTCTATCTACCAGCCTGGACAGAGTTAGGAGTCAAAATGGACCACGTGAAGGTTCGGATGCGTCAGGAGGAGCAAACGATATTTGAACGTCTGCGCCGTGAAGTGATTCTGAACCTTGTCAAAATTCGCCGAAATGCAGCAGTCATGGATGAGTTGGATGTGGCGTGTTCATTTGCAACTCTCGCCCAGGAACAACAAATGGTACGACCGATTCTGAACGACGGTACCTGTCATAAGATTATCGGTGGAAGACATCCCACAGTCAAGCTGGGTTTAGAGGAACAAGGACGGTCGTTCGTGAGCAACGATTGCTTCCTGGGCGATTCTGAGCGGATATGGCTCATTACTGGTCCTAACATGGCAGGTAAAAGTACCTTCTTGCGACAAAATGCTCTAATCACAATCCTCGCGCAAGTCGGATCTTTCGTACCCGCAGCTTATGCTGAGATCGGTATCGTCGATCAGATCTTCAGCCGAATCGGTGCAGCGGATGACCTCTTCCGGGACCAGTCAACGTTCATGGTGGAGATGTTGGAAGCAGCTACTATTCTCAAACAAGCCACTCCCAAATCATTTGTAATTATGGATGAAGTGGGCCGAGGCACAACCCCCGAAGATGGCACAGCTGTTAGTTTTGCGTGTCTGCATCATTTACACAATCACAACCAGTCTCGGGTGCTTTTTGCCACTCATTTCCATGCCCTCGCCGATATGACAGAGGACTTTGACAAATTGGCGAGATACTGCACGGATGTGAAAGATATGCCTTCAGGTGCCTTCTCTTTCGTCCACCGGCTGCGGAAAGGTGTCAATCGCGAGTCTCATGCCCTGAAAGTTGCCCACCTGGCTGGTTTACCCAAAGAGACTCTCGAGCTGGCATTGAGGGTCCGCCAGGAAATGAAGGATAAAACTCCATCACCTCGGGTTGCCGATGAAGGTCAACCCTAACCTCGGCATCCTTGGCGGTGAAATGTCATGGTCAATATGTACTTGAAGGTACTATGTAAAATATTTATGTACAGTATCTCGGCTTCTCCTGTTGAAAATACCACCAAATCACATAGTCAAGTTGGAAAATGCCTCCTCGCCTCTATTTGCAATGTCAACTGTCGAGTCTTCGGCTTCACCCAAGAACCCAACACTTGACATTGACATACATAGACATGCATCTACAGATCAGAGTTTAGCGGACCACAACCTCGGACCCTCCTCCGCCCTCCCGAGTTGACCCTTCCGACCAAGGTCAACAACAACACCCTCCCCAAACGCAGTCTCCTGACAATCCTCATCCCCAACTCCGTTAACAAACTGCACAACAACAAAATCAACCCTCCTACGACCCAAAACCACCATAGGCGCATGCCACGTGCCAACACCATAAGTAACAGCCTGACCACCACGCGCCACAAATGCCTTAATATTATTCAGATCCGGCGGGTCACGGATGGTAATCATCTCCCCGGCCTCATTCCTCGCCGTGGCAGTCTGTCCCTTCAGAGTAGGTGCAACCACCACCAAAAACATCGGCTCTTCCTCACCATCCCCGACCTTCGAATGGGCCGATAAATCGACCGGGATGAAAGTCTGATTCGTAAACGGGTGGCGTTCAAGGATGCGCACATCAAAGACCTCCCTGTCAGGCAGCTGTGGGCCGGTGCTGACAGTGCGCAAAGCGCGCGGAAAACAGCAGAACATTGTCATTCGTGCCTCGGAGGCCTGCCCGCTTGGACAGGCATTGGTGTAGCGGTCGAGGAGCGGGGAGATAGGACTGTACTTGAGAGCGGAGTTTTGGTTCGCCAGGATCGGGGTTGGGTCGTGTGGCGGTAGGGATGATGGTTGGGGGGCAATATTTAATTCTCTTGGTAATGGGGAGACCACTGCCGTACCGAATTGTGCGAAGTTTGCCGGTGTAAGAGGCTCTGGGGTGAGCTTGACTGTCGGGTTGCTTGAGAGGATCGGCGCCATGGTGGGCTCTTTGGTGTGAGGTGTGCGTGGATGTGGATGTGTTGTTCAATCGCTTTCGGGCCGCCACGTTATAGCGTGCAGGTCTATACTTGTATAAGAGAGAGGGAGAGAGAAAAAAAAAGAAGAGAAATGAGATTGGATGTGGTTGATGAAGCTAATGTGGAGATGTCGGTGCCCTCCGGTGATAAGATAAGCGGCCGGGTCCGGGGAAGTATAGGATTTTTTTCGATCTATTCATTTTTATATAGAGAATGTTACCTAAAGAATAACACGAAGGACTGCTTGTATTTCTCATTGTGGTTCTTTTGGTTCATATCAACCACATTTCAAGCTCTGCATGGTATGTTGCCGCTTACCTCACGTCGACTAAACTAAAAAAGGTCCACATAAACGAGAAATGGTTCAAAGTTGAATCCAATATCCTTGCAGTGCAGTGCGTGCTGAGGACCTTTAGGGGTGTACAGCAAGTTTTCCGTTGAGACCCCGATATGTATACATAAATCATATAGGACCAATTAGATGATGTACTGCGTATTTACATATGCAGGAGCTAAGTGCGGGGAATTAGAATTAGCATGTGGATATTTCCTTCACCGTTTATATAGATACATTTAGCCATAGGATTGGTTTTAATTCGCTCTTTAATAGAGTAATATCGGTCTGGGAAGCATAAATTCATTGTGTTGGATGTACAAGCATGTACTCTGCAGCCCTGGGGTACTTGACCGGTTAGCTCGGGTATCTCAAGGATCTGAGACAACGATATAAAAAGATAGGATCTTTCGGAATCTATGGTTTGCACGCTAGCCGCAAGGCAACTGCAATTATTTCCATAATTTGGCCGAGTTTTGTCCTAAGTGAGGCTCTGAGGACTCCAAAATAACACACTGGGCCGATATGACCTGCACATACTAAACGCTGACCAATGATCCACATACTCGATCCCTCCTCAATGATACGCACAAATTGACAGCGATAATAGCTATTGGTCTATCGGATCCGTCTCTTCGGAACTGATACCTAATCCAGTGACTGCAGTATAGAATTCAATCAAGTTCACACACCGATGTTTGCAGACATCAACTCGGTGGCATTGGATTCTTGGTATTGCGTTGGCTAATTCTATATGAAATACTTAGATATAAAAGAACTATGGTTTCCTCCTCCCTGAGAGAAGTGCCATTCTATTCTTCTTCTGATATTCGAAACAGCCTACTTGTGCTTAATTGGAAGTAAACTTGCCCTGTGCAAGATATATCAATATCACACGCAACAATGGATTCTTCCAGTCCATCTTCGCCCCAACAAACATCCACCACCACGGGCAGTTCAACTACTCCCGTCACAAGCTCCTCGACTCCTACAACAAGCTCTAGCTATCCTTGTACAGGACAGGCATTAAGGTAAGTCAAATATTTGCTACCCTGGCTATCCAAATTTGAGAATAGTCGGCTAACGCAAACATAAAAACTCGAATAGTGCCAATGAACAATTCGATCAAACCACAGACCACATGGGCGCTTGGATCGGAGACCTCAACCACCCAGATCAGTTCGCATTGCCCAAGTCCTGAGTACACAACCGAGTCCACCCAGACATGACTCTACGGCCGCATCGATGCGGCTATTTGACGGATCCGAAAGGGATACGTGCAGGAAATGATGTTCGTGTCTAAAGAATGCATTTGTTTGTGGATGAACCCAATCATGCATACGAATTCCGAGCATGCCCGAGATTGACGGGTTTGTTTCGCGTATGGCGCCTATTTGGAAGAATGACGCACTTGGAGTTGGAGACCCTTGCGGGGGTCTAGGAGAGACTTGAGATGATACGAACGTCCGACATGGCTTTCTATTTTCTTTTTGCTTTCTTTTTGCTTTTTTTTTTCTTTGCTTTTGGTTTGGACAAGCATGTGATAGGAAGAAAATTGAGGGGAGGAGTCAGAGTATGCAGCAATTATTTATCTTGCATGATTGTGCCAGCAAAATGGCAGATGGCAACATTTCTCGGAGATCCGACGAAATGAGAACGGAGGTCATAACCCAACAAGGAATTTGATGTTTTAGCCGGACTATGTGTTGTCTACTTCGATGCGGTGCTTTCCCCCTCTTTTCCTATCTTGGGCATTTAACTCCGGTGGTATTGGAATGTCAATATCATCCGGTATACTAGTGGCGCGGGTCACCAACTAATTTGATTTGAAGTTGAATTGTTTGTATGTGCATGTAGATGTAACATTAAGTCGCATCTTTAATGCAGTCGTGCCCAAACTGGGAAGACGGGTATGTGCAAGCTTATAGGATTTTAGCGTCATAACGGAGTCGCATACAGCAAGGATGACACGGCCAAGGACTGCTAGTTAGCTTGCCATTTACCCCGATAGGGTCGTGAAAAGCCCTTAGTACGCATGAAGCTGTACCCACGGAGCCATTTGACGTGTAAAGGGTGATCATTTCTACGATGTTTTCAGTAAATAGGAAATACCGTGTCCTTAGAGAGTTTGTATTGCGACTTAGACAATCAACATAAAAGGGGTCATATCTATTGAAGGTGGTCTTTGGTGCAAACTTGGAGTCGGGGCAATATTCAACGGCAATTAATGATAAACACGGAAACAGGCAGGTTCAGTGTTTGTTGACTCGGGCTGATCGTGTCCGGTTTGCTTTGACGGCTATAGCGATATTGGTGTTACCACTCCCGGGGTTCAAGCCATAGATATAAATATCGCTTGCTTTTGTTTGTAAGATGGTAACTTCCAACCCCTCCGCAGGCCGCCTTGAATGGTAGCCATAAGGGTCTTCTTGTCTGGTTTAATATGCCATTGGAATGAGGTCACAGATAGTGTTGAGATGGCTAAATTTGGCGGCCACATGTGATGGCGATCTCTGGTTTGATATTTGTTGCCGTGGATAGTACTACAGTGGGGACAAAATAGAAGAGGAATCATGATCTATTCATAACTAACAAACCAGGGGTTGGAAAAGCCATCTAAACAAAGGCTCAGTCTGTAACAAACAAGCAAACAAGCAAACAAGCAAACAAGAATGCTTGGGATGATGTTCCAACCATTTTGAAGGGGGTATAGATGGTGGGCGGGGGAATAAATCTTCGAACGGTATAATAAGAGGGTCGTTTGTGACAGTTAGCTGGTTTGACACCGTAGTCACCCGGATCATCTGGACGCGATGGGGTCTTTCATTCTGGAGATGGAGCTGGGAAAAAAACGAAGACAAAGGTGATGATTTGTCCTTGGGATGTGAGAAAAACGTGAGAGGAGTTGAAAAGAAGGATAATCGTCGTCCTATTTTCACAATCAAAAGCCTGCTGATCTGATATCAAAACATCAGGTCTCTAATAACAGAAGGCACCCGAGACGGCATAAAGTCATGATTTCTTTACTCTTACTTTTCATTCTCTTCGTTCTCCCTCATTTCAAAATGTCAATAATTCCTATATCCACGGCTTCGGACCAGGACCAGGGCCAGGACCAGGACCAGGACCTTAAACCCACTTCGACTGAATTGATGGCCACTGTGAATCTGCCCCACCAAGTTGATCCGGATGGAGATATCATTCTCTTCACCCCTGAGGCTTCCTTGATTGACATCAGCAAAGGCAATGTGCCAGGAAACTATGCTCGCTTTCAAGTCTCGTCAAAGCACCTCACACTTGCGTCGGATTATTTCAAGCGAATGCTGAAAAGTTGTTGGGCCGAAGGAGATGCTCTTTCAAAAAAGGGGTCTGTTCAGATTCCCGTCAACGACTGCAAACCAGATATCCTTCTGATCATTTTGAACATCATTCATGGACGTACACGACGAGTTCCTCAGAAGTTGTCCCTACCGCAACTGACTGATATCGCCGTGGCCACCGACTTTTTTCAATGCCACGAGGCCATTGAGATATTTGCTGATATCTGGATACGAGACCTTAAATCACTTGTTTCGCCCTCATTCTCAGAAAATACAAAAAAGTGGATAATGATCGCCTGGGTCTTCAACTCCACCGATATTCTTCGACAGGCAGAAACGATTGCTATACAGCAAGGAACAGGTCCCTTCCAGACAAGTAATCTACCGATTCCAAAAAGCATCAAAGGTGTGTTGCCAAAATAGAACGCTTAATCAATTTTCAGACCTGTGTAGCAAATAACTAACTACGTGGTTACAGACAAAATCGATCAATCTAGGCAACAATACATTGAATTGCTCCAATCTTCACTTGGAGTACGGATTGAACAGCTGTTGAATAACCAGGCTGTGAAGCAGCGGTCTTGTCGCCCTGAGTGCGATGCAACATACCTTGGCCTCCTCCTTCGCAAACTAACCGCAAGAAATATATATTACTCAGCCAGTGTGCCTGCAGGTCAATCCCGCTTTTTTACCGTCTCTCTTAAAGGTTTAAGCCCTACTTTCATCGTTTCTATGGTCAACAGTTGGAAATGGGAATCACCTTGTGATGGTCCGCATGGTAAGGGTTGTTCAAACAAATACAAACCCTTTGGGAAGGATGTGACAAAGGAAGCACAAAATCTGCCAACTTCGCCACCGGATTAATCCATCAACATACAAATCGTTTTTGCTTCTCTGTTACATCCACAAATATCAAACCTCATTGAACCGGTTTTCAAGTCCGTTGAAGGTCTGAAATTGGCTTGAGCATTGTCTTCATATGCTGTATTTCTACCTGCGGAACATCAATGTGGACTAAGCTGAAGAAATGGGATATTAAATTGCGCATTCAACATCACTTTTCAGGTTAAAGGGCCCATGACACCCGAACTACAAGACCTGCCTGTGCTGAAGCTCACTAGTGTGATGCACTCTTACCGGCACTAAATTCTACCAACTGAGAGTGTCTTAAGGTCAGCAGCCTAAAGGATTCTGACTGCTAGCTGCAGCATGGCGTGCCCTCTGCGGGCTATTTTGTTGATAGCTCAATAACAAACGTGTTGCGTCTTGTATCTATCCACTAAAACCCCAAAGCATACAGTCAATAGGCATCAAGGTACTCAAGAACAAACTTAGTTCCCGTCTATATACACAAATTTCCGCCTATAAAAATATCTATAGATAGCGCAGTCCAACATCTCCAAGCGCAAGTCCTATAGGCTACCATGGTTTAATTGTGAATGAGAATTATTCTATCAGTCCAAACACCGTACCATACTCGTTGGTGGTGGTTAGAAACGAGCGATTTTCTACAGAATCGACTAGCAAACAACTTGAAGTAAGTGTATTGATGATCTAGTAGGGATTCTGAAATCCATCCATAGATGCCCATTCCAACTAGGCTATGCTTATGTAACAAGTCCGGGGCTACCCTAGTGACGGCACCATTATGATGATGGCTATGTTTCACGTTTGAAAGTGAAGGGTAACATATGGTTCTGCTCTTCAGCGGCGCGTACATCATCATGGTGTATTGGGTGGGTGGCGAATGGGGTCACAGCGGTTGCTAAAAAGAGTCCCAATTGGAAACACCAGGGGAGTGTTTCGACCAGTTTGGCTCACAGCTTATGATACTCGCTAATAGAAAGCCAGGGAATATCAGTACCCCTGGCTTCTACCGGTGACAGAGGAGCAGACTCCCTCAGTAACGAAAATTTAAAGATGCCGTAACAAATTTAAATCAAGTGGCATTCTCCCCTTTGGCATCAAATCGTGCTTTCTTGGCTCGTCGTTTGATTTCTCGCTTGGACAGAGGCTTGTCAGCGTCATCGGCGACAGGCTCAGAACTGATAGAAGCTTTCCTCTTAAGATTGTCCGCTACAATTTCTGGCTGCGCGGGTTCTTTGGCTTTCGGGGCGCTAGCCTTTGGGGCACTCTTTTGCTTTGACGCGGGTCCTTCGGGTTTGGCTTTCTCCCCACCGTGGACGATATCCACGATGCCTCGCCAACTGGTTCGCTTCAACTTGGCCAATGCGGTCACCTTCCGGGACTCTTCGCAGACAGCTTCCTTTCCACGCGCTTGTGATAGACCCCACACACAGGCAAGATTTATCACGTCCCATGGGGCTCGTAGACTCAAAGCTCGTCTTGCTTCACTGGACACAATAATGCCTCGACCTCGTGTCGCGCGGATCAAGGATGTTGCATTCCCAATGAGGTTTCTTCGGGCATCAAGCCCACTTCCCGTGATCCCTGGCCCATAACAGATTTCGATACGGACTCCACGTGAGATTGCCGCGGACAACATTTTGAATTTGAAATGGTATGGAAGTCGCACCGAGAGATCCACGGAGATCACGTCACATTCCAGGTTGGTGCAAGCATTTAGAAGGGATTTTTCATTTGTGGGACGGAGAGCAACAATGTCGTACGCTTGACTCAGGGCGGTTAGGCGCTGATTCTGCGCGGGGTCGGCGAGAGTCAGGTTCAACCGGGTCAGCAGTTGGAGGGATTTCGGTGCGTTCGTTGGTAGAGGAGGAGGAGCGAGGGTCGGCGGGAGCTTCCCGTTGATTATTTGAGACAGGGCAACGGTAGTGTAACCAACTAGAAAGTCAGGTCAGTCCCTCATGTGCTCTAGCCTGCGGATCTTGTGCCGCAAAGCGGAATGAATGACTTACGTTCAGCAAGAAAATTCAAAGTATGGGGCACCTCCGGGTCATCGGGGCAATAAGGTACATTCAAGTCGTAAAACATGGTGGATTTAAAAGAAGGCCAGCCCTGCCTGTGGGAGTTATTGCTTAACTTCTCAACGCTCTTGGTCACATTGAACTGTCCCAAAAAGGCAATCAGAAAATCTATCGGATTAACAGAAGTTCCGATACTGCGCTAACTTCTTTCGGTGGGGTCCCCACAACCCTCTCTGATCCCGTGACCTTAGGCGGAACGGATCTCATTCTATTGATCATATCACGACAATATCTCACTTCGTCCATCCCATTGCTCGAGGCCTCCTGTGAGCACTGTGTTTGGGCTGAATAGTCGCTGGGCCTGTTGCTACCTGTCTTCTATATCAACCTAACCCCCGACACCTCCCTCCGTCACACGGCCGAGCCCCTCGTGACCCCGCCGCACATCTCTCAATTGTGGGCGCACTCGGAAACCGCCTGTCCTCGTCAAGATGGCGCGTGTCTATGCCGATGTCAACGAGCATATGCCTCGGTCCTACTGGGATTATGATAGTGTCAACATCTCTTGGGGTGTTCTTGAAAATTATGAAATCGTTCGCAAAATAGGTGAGAGATGAACAAATCCTGTCCTTCTGCGGCATGTCGGATATAGTTGCCGCAAGCTGTGAACTGCGGGTAAAATTTAAGAACAACCTTTCTGATTATCTACTTTAGGTCGGGGAAAGTACTCCGAGGTTTTTGAGGGTATCAACGTCGTCAACTACCAGAAATGCGTTATCAAGGTCCTCAAGCCTGTCAAGAAGAAGAAGATCAAGCGTGAGATCAAGATTCTGCAGAATCTCGCGGGTGGGCCCAATGTCGTGGCTTTGCTGGACGTTGTTCGCGACAACCAGAGCAAGACACCTAGTCTGGTCTTCGAGGCTATCAACAACACCGACTTCCGCACACTGTACCCCCGCTTTTCCGATTACGACGTTCGCTTCTACGTTTTCGAGCTGCTTAAGGCGCTGGACTTCTGCCACAGCAAGGGCATCATGCATCGGGATGTGAAGCCCCACAATGTCATGATTGATCATGAGAAGCGCAAGGTTAGTGGGCTTATTACTTAGTTGTGGCGGAAAATCATTGTTCCTGACTTATTATAGCTTCGTCTGATCGATTGGGGTCTGGCCGAGTTCTACCACAAGGGCACGGAATACAACGTCCGTGTTGCGTCTCGTTATTTCAAGGGCCCCGAGCTGCTTGTTGATTTCCAGGAATACGACTATTCTTTGGATATGTGGTCCCTGGGTGCTATGTTCGCATCCATGATCTTCCGTAAGGAGCCTTTCTTCCACGGAGGCAGCAACACGGACCAATTGGTGAAGATCGCCAAGGTTCTTGGTACTGAGGAGCTCTTCGAGTACTTGGACAAGTACGACATTGAGCTGGACCCACAATACGACGACATCCTCTCCCGTTTCCCCCGGAAGCCGTGGCACTCGTTTGTTAACGCAGAGAACCAGCGGTTCATCAGTGACGAGGCCATTGATTTCCTTGACAAGCTTCTGCGCTACGACCACGCTGTGAGTTGTTCTAACATATCTTATAACAAGGTGCCCATACTGACTTATCTGAAAGGACCGCTTGACTGCTCAGGAGGCCATGGCACACGCATACTTTGACCCGGTGCGTGCCGATGCCGCGGCCCTTAGCCACAACAATGTGACACTTCCCTGAATTCCTCTCGCATGAACTGTTGATGATCATGGCTCTGATCCCCTTACTGCGATGCCCGGTTTCCAATTTCCGCATGTTGCCATCCAGATTGCGTCGGGGCATCACGACAATTACGTACCTTGTGCATTTGAAATTTGCTGATATGAACGGTACAACGATGATCGAAAACATGAAATGAGCTTGGTCTCCGTACTCCCTGTTCCTCTTTTTTTACTAGCCTTTCTCGAATGATGGGCTGCGGCAAACGATCAAATCCTGAATGAAGACGACTTTGATGACAAGACATCATGACATTTAATTTGCTGGGTCCCTTCATGCCTTTTATCGCCTAGGTCGTTTGGCGTGTCAATGAGCGTGATAAACCAACGTCTTAGATGGGGAAATCACTCTTCTTTTTCATCTTTTCCTACTGTATAGCGCTGCTTGTGGGTTTCCCTAATTGATTTCTCCCTTGTTAGTTGAATCGGTGTTTTGGCCTTTCTACCGGGTGCTTCGTGTTTCAAGGGATGCTTTTCTCCTAAGACAACCCATTGCATTTTCTTAACGCTTTCCTTTTTACGAATGAAACATTGGATGAGATTTAAAAAACGAAACAGAACATGCAACAATCCCTCAAATTGGATGAATTGTATGGATTGATTGGATATTGTAGGTAGGGATCTATAGTTATATGACGCATATATGTCTTAACCCATGTATATGTGTAGAATGATATAGTATAGTAGACTCGAGATCAAACTAGAAACCCGATATCAAGTAAGAACCAATGTCCCAATTCAGTAAAAATAGGTCAGTTCTTATACTCCGTAGATGCCCACGGGTAGCCTCAGATCACCCGTTGGCTGTAGCGTATCACGTGAGGGTTATCGTGTCTTTCCGAACAAATAAAAGACGAATTGCAAGCAAGAAAACACGCGAAAAGAAAAGAATATACAACATAATATATAATATACCTAATGATACCCGATGAGAGTGTTGACTCATCTATAAACCCGCCTCATTGACCTGCCCGCCGACTCCACCGAACCTCCCACCGAGCCCCGCGCTCTCATTCGTTCATTCAGCGTGGGAAATTTAATTGCCCGCATTTCGCACAACCACCCCTCCTTATACCTCTCCATCTCTCAAGATACTTATCCCGCGATTCGTGGCGCGATCGGCGCCTTGGAGATTTACTCCTCAATATCGTGCATTCTCAAGGATGGCTCAAAACTCTGCCCAAATCCCCAGTGAGTTGCCATGACTCATTCTTCAATGGCGCAGAAGCTGACAGTGAACAGCGGCTGAGCCTACGGCTCCCGTGGCCAGCGCAACTCCCCCGATCGCCGATGCCACAAAGGATACCCAAGGTCAACAGGGTGAACCTACCGGAGCTCCCAAGGTGAAGACCGAGAAGGAGTGTATGTTACCACCAAAATCCATATTGGGACCTTTCCTCGGAAGTGGTTATATCAAGAACATATGCTGACACCATGGGTGATTTCTAGTGGAGAAGGAGCGCAAGAAGGCCGAAAAGAACAAGAAGTTCGAAGAGAAGAAAGCGGCCAAGGCCTTGGCTGCCGCCAACAAGGCCGCAGCTCCCAAGGTCGAGAAGAAGGCGAAACCCGAGAAGGACAAGACCGCCGATGCCTACGATCCCATTGTCATTGAGGCCGGTCGTCTCGAATGGTGGGAGGAGCGTGACCTCTTTAAGCCCGAGTTCGGACCTGATGGCAAGGTTAAGCCGGAAGGCTCCTTCGTCATTCCCATTCCCCCTCCCAATGTTACCGGTTCTCTTCACATGGGCCATGCCCTTACCAACGCACTCCAGGATACCATGATCCGGTGGCAAAGAATGAAGGGTAAGACTACCCTGTGGCTTCCTGGAATGGACCACGCCGGTATCTCGACCCAGAGCGTCGTCGAGAAGATGTTGTGGAAGAAGGAACAGAAATCCCGCCACGACATTGGCCGAGAGGCCATGGTCAACTTGATCTGGGACTGGAAGGATGAATACCACAAGAACATCAAGAACGCTCTGCGCAGACTTGGTGGTTCGTTCGACTGGAGCCGTGAGGCCTTCACCATGGACCCCAACCTGTCAGCTGCTGTGACCGAGACCTTCGTTCGCCTCCACGAGGAGGGCATTATCTACCGTGCCAACCGCCTGGTCAACTGGTGTGTGGCTCTGAACACCTCTCTGTCCAACCTTGAGGTCGAGAACAAGGAGATCGAGGGCCGCACGCTTCTCGATGTGCCTGGCTACGACAAGAAGGTCGAGTTCGGTGTCCTGACTCATTTCTGCTACGAGATTGATGGAACCACCGAGCGCATCGAGATTGCTACCACTCGTCCCGAGACCATGGTCGGTGATACCGGTATTGCCGTCCACCCCGACGATAAGCGCTACCAGCACATGATCGGCAAGAGCGCTCGCCATCCGTTCTTGGACCGTCTTCTCCCCATCGTTGCTGACGCCGAGGTCGAGCCCGAATTCGGTACTGGTGCCGTCAAGATCACCCCTGCCCACGACTTTAACGATTTCAACCGTGGTAAGGCCCACAACCTGGAGTTCATCTCTGTTATGAACGACGACGGTACCTTCAACAAGCACGCTGGTCCCTTCGCTGGCATGAAGCGCTTCGATGCCCGTTACAAGGTCATTGAGGATCTTAAGGAGAAGGGTCTGTACGTGAAGTGGGAGCATAACCCCATGAAGGTGCCTCGTTGCGCCAAGTCCAACGATGTCATTGAGCCTATCATGAAGCCCCAATGGTGGATGAAGATGGAAAGCCTGGTTCAGCCTGCCATTGATGCGGTTGAGAATGGCGATATTGTTATCCGCCCCGAGTCCGCCGAGAAGAGCTACTTCCGCTGGATGCGCAACCTTAATGACTGGTGTCTGTCCCGTCAGCTCTGGTGGGGACACCAGGCTCCTGCTTACTTCGTCAAAATCGAAGGCGAGGATGGCGATGACAGTGACGGTAACCTCTGGGTCACTGGCCGTACCGAGGAAGATGCTCGCAAGAAGGCCGAGGAGAAGTTCCCCGGCAAGAAGTTCTCTCTCGTCCGTGATCCCGATGTTCTCGACACTTGGTTCTCTTCTGGCCTGTGGCCCTTCTCTACTCTGGGCTGGCCCACCAAGACCCACGACTTCGAGAACCTTTACCCCACCTCCGTTCTGGAGACTGGTTGGGATATTCTCTTCTTCTGGGTTGCCCGTATGATCATGCTGGGTATCAAGATGACTGGCCAGGTTCCTTTCCGCGAGGTCTACTGTCACTCTCTAATCAGAGATTCTGATGGCCGCAAGATGTCCAAGTCTCTGGGCAACGTTATCGATCCTCTGGATGTTATGGAGGGCATTCAGCTGCAGACTCTTCACGACAAGCTGCAGTTGGGCAACATCGCCGATAAGGAGATTGCCGCTGCTACCAGATACCAGAAGAAGGCCTTCCCCAAGGGTATTCCCGAGTGTGGTGCCGATGCTCTTCGCTTCGCCCTCGTCTCTTACACCACTGGCGGTATGTTTTCACCCTATGTCCCCATTTGATTATATTTACTAATGATGATTTTTTGCAGGAGGTGACATTGCTTTCGATATCCAGGTCATTCACGGCTACCGTAAGTTCTGTAACAAGATCTACCAAGCCACCAAGTTCGTCCTCGGCAAGCTGGGTGATGACTTCAAGCCGCAGGCTGGTGTTAAGAAGACTGGCAATGAATCTCTCTCTGAGCGCTGGATTCTGCACAAGTTCAACACCGCCGCCAAGGAGATGAACGAGGTTCTTGAGCAGCGTGATTTCTCCAACTCCGCCCAGATCTCCTACCAGTACTGGTACTCCCAGCTGTGCGATGTCTTCCTCGAGAACTCCAAGTTCCTGCTGGCGGAGGAGACCTCAGCCGAGACCAAGGAGTCTGCCAAGCAGACCCTCTACACAGCCCTCGAGGGTGCCCTGACTCTGATCCACCCCATCATGCCATTCGTCACCGAGCACCTGTGGCAGCGTCTGCCCCGCCGCGCGGGCGACGAGACCGTATCGATCATGAAGGCCAAGTACCCCGAGTACCTCGCCGAGTTCGACGACCCCGCCGCTTCCAAGGCCTACGAGCTCATCCTCAACACCTCCAAGGCCATCCGCTCGATCCTGTCCCAGTACGACGTCAAGACCCAGGGTGACATCATCATCCAGACTTACGATGCTACCAGCCAAAAGACCGTCTCCGAGGAGATGACCACCATCAAGTCTTTGGGTGGTAAGACCCTCGGCGAGCTGTCCCACCTCGGCCCGGAGAACAAGAACCCTCCCTCTGGCTGCGTGGTGGCTGCTGTCGGTTCTGAGGCTGCTGTCTACCTCCGCGTCTCCAAGGAAGTTGCCCTGGAGCAGGAGGAGAAGGCTCAGGCTAGCCTCGATAAGGCCCGTGAGACTGTCCGCAGGTCCCAGGGTATCATCAACGGCCCTGGTTGGAAGGAGAAGGTTAAGGCTGAGGTCCGTGAGCAAGAGGAGAAGCGTCTGCGGGATGCTGAGGGTGAGGCTGCCCGTCTCGAGGAGCAGGTCAAGGAGTTTGAGAAGCTGCGCTTAGAGTAAATTGTCCGTTGTTGGATAGATTTAAACAAAATATATCAATTGATTCCCTTCTTTCAAATTGTGCTTTATGGATGTATTTATCCGCGGCCAGATTTTGGAATCAATGCTAACCCTAATTTGACATCCCGGCTCGCCAAGAATCCTGATCCTAAACAGAGACAAGACTTACGCTTTTCTCTGCATACAACGTGCATCATGTTGTATCATGTTGTATCATGTTGTATCATGTTGTATCGCAAACATTTCAATTCGGGCAGCACTCAGTCACTTTCAACTGATGGAACCCAGTGTTGTTATCCTTCTTTCTGTTTCCTTGCAAGTACACCAATTCAGGGGTTAATTATCTACAGTAGAAATGAAGTCTATAAATATGGCTTCTATTGCAGGTGAATTAGACGGTTTTAACATTCTACTACTACAATCATATTAGCATCTTTGTGGGATCTCATTTCATCCCAATATATGTTAATATAGGTTCGGTTGTGTGATTTTGACATATCCGTGGGCAATATATAAATATGGTATCGTACTTAAGATATACATAACTAGGCTAGGCAATATATACCAGAAAAGGAGAAAGGACGTGTGATTATTTATTTGGAAAGAAGGGTTATCTATGTAGAGATCTGCGTAATCTGCATAGTTCATCTGCTGTCAAGACCAAAAGAATTATTATCTTTTTGATATAAAAATCCAATAAAAAAAAAAGGAAGTACCTGTGCTAAAATTTAGATAGAGGAAATACAAAAAAATACCAAAAATAGTTTCCCTGGGAATCGAACCCAGAACCTTTCCGGAACATCAGCTAAATCGCATTTGTTAACGGAAAATCATAACCGCTAGACCAGGAAACTGTTAGATGGAATACAAGGCAGTTTAATGCATCATGAGCCTATTCTTCTGATATCTTATTGTATAGTGAAAAGGGTAAGAGGGTAATATATCCATCTTCTCTATACTTACATACATAGAAGATGTATCAGGCATTGACAGCCTGGAAATAAATTTGAGAGAACACCCTCGTCAAGGTGTTACGATAGTTGTCAGAACTCTCTTTCATTGATGCCACTATCGCTGCACAATACTAGTTCCGGGTATCAACGCTTGCTCCATCCAATGGATCTGTGTATGAAAGCACCTATAAAGTAAGGGCCAGTAGCAAATATTAAAAACCAAAAGCTTGCCTGGAAAATATATGTGCTGGTCATATACAAGGCAATGACCAGACTCTGTAAGAACCTTCGAAGCCAACAACGATCTTGCGGTACGGCTAATTCGATAACGAGAGAGAAAAGTACTATGCAATAAAAGTAGTAAATGGCCACCGCGATAAGCATGCCCAATTGACGAATTGTGTTCAAAGGGGCCGTGCCCTCTGAAGACCTGGCGAAAACAAACACGCCCATGTAAATACACGTCACGCAGATGTATGTAGTTGCTGTTCCAAGACAACTAGAGTGAGAGGCCCAGCCAGAGTCTGGCCTTTCGGGGTCCTCAGATGTACTATATCCGGCAGAACTCAAAGGGAGTCGAGATGATAGATGGCCGTCCGATAACTCCCGGGGCACCGAAGTCTCCTCGCCTGGGTCTGTTTCGGAAAGCTTTGTCTTAGAACAAGGTCGTTGAGATCCAGTTTTGTAAAACTCACGTTCTTTAAATGTTTCAGCAATGCTGATGAGGGGTGCCGCCAACATCAATACGGGGACGATTTGGCCAAACGACCATGCTTGCTTGCCGAAATCCAGGGGTATTATAGAGTTGCCAGGAGACAAGTCTAGCATCAGGCGCCAGATACCCCAGATGAAAGCAATGAGGACCCAGGTTGCCTGTACGAGTTAGGAAGGTCACGTAGATATCGTGCAGAAAGGGGGCATACCTCGAGGGCGAATGAAGCACATGAGACCAACATGAAACGCCAAATCATCACCATACCAAAAACAGGCCGGTATGCGAGTGAACGTTTAAAGCTGTAAATCTCTCCTTCCTTACAGAAGTTTCTGAAAAGAAGCCAGAGAAGTCTCTGCAGCTGGTCATCAAGCCATCTAGTAGCTCGGTTAACACCCAAGGAGAGAGACCTATGTAATCTCACAACTCGAGAGACAAACGCAACCACGACAAAGATTGCGGATACTATCGGTGGCCAGAACCATTGTGACGGATCCCAGTCATCCCGATCAGCATGAAATACCGTGGTTTCTGCCCATTCCTTGTCTGGTCCAGGAGTCAGATAGCAGCCGAGGATGCAAATGGCGGGGGTAGCTTTGGTATCCTCAGAAAGCAAAACCCATTTGGGATTAGCCGTAGGTATCAGTCCAGCAGCTAGCAATGCCGCAAGTACACCCATCGCGACCAATCTCCATACGCGCTCAATGGCATGCTGATGAAGATGTCGTCGTAACATTGTCAGACATGAAAGATGTGTCAGACAGGAGAACCATGCTAGGTCCAGAATAGTGCGCCATTTCAAGGCTTCCAGGCCACTTTCAAGTTGTGTAAATCCACTGAGAAGGATTGCAAAGCCGGTGACGATTTGCAGGTCACTCATAACCAAAAGGCACTGTTCCAGGTGTGAGCGTCGGGAAGATTCGGCGACAGAAAGAATCAGTCCAGTGGATACGCCATATATATTGAACGATGCCACTAATCAAGAATTGATAGCTTGTCTTGGGGAGACCGACCATACCTTTATTAGGACTCTCTCAAGCCGAGATCTAGCACGGGGCGACAAAAGTTTGCGTGAGTCCAAGACCCGTTTTGAAATATATGCCGGCCCCGATCGTAACAACCCCAGTATAAAGTCGTCCAACGGGTTAATCTGATCCCACATGAGACCTTCCTGGGCTGCGTCTGGGTCTGCATTTTCAAATGGATCCACCCAAGGGTCGTAGACGGTGAGATAATATACGATTATGATAAGAACAGCAAGTGCTGCGGTCGAAATATAGCTAACGACAATCTAAGAAAGTCAGAATCAAAAAAGAACCACTCCTTGAAGAGTACCGAACTCACTCCGGCCCCGCTAATGTCGTTGTCAGGTTCATAAGGCCCCGGTGGCGCCGAGCAATCAACATGAACCGATTCAGCCATGCTTACGCGAATGCATAAATATGGTTATCGATCTCAAGAAGACAGTGCCGCAAAACATACGTGGACTTCTGATAAATATCGCCCGATGATCATGTGCACAGCCCCGCAGGGTGAGGCTGGGGCCGTATGAAGATCAATACCACAAGGGCTGAGGGATGGATGTCTGATGTATGAGGCACTAACATGGAGGCCTAAGGCCACCATCACAACAACACCGAGTCCTCTAGGCTTGCTACGACTCAAATCCAAGCTACATCATAAAAATATATATATGCCTTTGGATCTGTTCAACGCTAAATACTAAGTGATTTTCTATATATTTTGCTTTTTAGACACGTCAATTATTATATATTAATAATTCAGGACTCCTACGGAATCGAGACTAGGTCGATGCAGCTACTCTTGGCATTGTAATTGAGACTGCTTCAATGCATATCGTTCTAGTCTGGTAGATCGAAGTCATTAGATGTCCAGCACCCACGAGTTATTGTGTAGACAGTTGGCTTTCTATCAAATTTAGGAACTTTCCACGAAAATCCTTATTCTATATCTCTACTATAAACCCCCATCCACCATCTATGTGAAGATATAAACGCAAAAATATCTAGTTCTGATAAAAGCAATGCAGTCTATCTGTTCTCTAAAATCAACGCGTGTCCAACTGAGCCGGCCAAATGAAAGATTTCGACATGTCCACCCGAACGTAACTTGTTAAGTATCAATCGACATCTCCTTAGTCTCCTCATGTATCCTGGGCTCCGGAACGCGGAAAATCCGCCTCATTATCTGCTTTTTGTGAGACCATAAATGCCATATCACATATGTAAGACATCCCAAGATAATTGTAGCAACAACATAAATCCAAAATTGCCTAGATACTTTGAATTCCTCAGTTGTCCCATCATCAAACTTGAACAAGTTCATCCCGAAGATAGACTGTTAAGTGGTGAGAACGAATTATATGTTGGGACATCGGGGTATCACTTCTTACCGACATAAGGCTTGCGGGTAAATAAATCAGTGTCAGGATAGTGACTACTCTGTTGGCCTTAATCATGCGGTCGTTTAATTCAACCATTCGGTTGTTGAGGTCGAGCATCTCGTGGGTCATCCTGACATCTAACCCTAATGTCGACTTGAATGCCTGTCAGCGAGGGGTTTAGTGACTATATTCTGACTGTTGCCGCTTACCATGTTTAGGATATCCTTGAACTTCTCCTTCAGCACTTCTACCCCGACAACACACCCCTCTAGACGGTCTTGATGGTATCCCACACACGCGATAAGTTTTTGAAAGTCGTTATCTGGACTGTTATGCCGTAAACTCAGAACACTGCTCAAATCACCTAACCTTGTGAGAGTGTCCAATATGACCCTCAATCTGTATGAGGTAGGTACTAGAAGGTCGCGCGTGTTGTAAATCGCCGTCAAGTTGGTTGCACCCCCAGCAGTCAAAACGCGATCGATGTTTCTCAATATAAAGTCCAGGGATTTATCAGTCTGGAATAACAGTCAGAAAATCCAAAGAGCAAGTATTAGTGAATACTGACATGTCTATCCACTTGATAACCCAAGCTGTTCACATAGGAGCGCCAATTATCCAGACAAGAAGAGAAAGCAGCGGAATGAAGGGTATGCCATGCATGGCCCGGGCGTAGAACCTGCTGGGAAAGCGAGGCATATTGCCTAATTTCTTTCTGCATGGGTGTATTATTACCGACATGAAAGAAGATCCAGAGATTTTGAAGGTCGTTAGGATCATAGTGGTGGAAAACAGCCATTTGTCGCATAGTCCAACTGTGAACTCCCCTGGTACTGGGGTTGGAAATGTGAGTCTGTAAGAGATATCTAAAATATTGTGTAAGGCCTTTCGGTACGTGGATAAGTTCTGGAGAATACTCACCTTGAATACCATTCTCGCCACTTTGAACCTTCATTCCCCCTTCACCTACAGCTGCACTCATGGGTTTGTCTCCGAATGTTGAAGTCAAGTCCCATAATTCGTCGCCAATACTATAGGTGTCCTTGAGCGTCTGTAGAGCATCCTTTGAGATATGAAGTGGCCTGATTGATGACCTGGAGTGTATGGAGCTAGATCCCACAGAAATCAGAGTGAGACAAGGGGAAGAATTTATAAATTAATATAAATCTTACATGATGCGTAACTTTGGAAGTGGCGTCTTTAAAATATGTTCTTGGAATAAGCCGTTGTTGTTGAAAACACTCGCATTGAGCAGATGCATATGTGATGTGTCGACTATAAGGCAAGGCACGAGGGTCAGAATCCGCTCAGTTTTGTTCAAATAATGTCAAGCATACCATCGCTCTGGTAAACAGATATGTCGGCTGAATCTTCAGGGAGAGAGAATGCAGAATAGAGTGAATTGGTAGTCATCTTTATTGGGAAATTCTATGGAGAATTATCCGTTCGATGCAAACCAGGCTTTGAGAGAGAGTTGACAGGAAACCCGGGCAACCCGAGGGCACCAAGACTTAAATGTGAATTCTAGGCTTAGATAACAACAATAAAAATATGAAACGCCTTAGCGTATTATGATGAGAGGCTCATTATTACATATTCCTTAAAAGTAAGGCTAAATACAGGCAATTACTGATGATAAGCCCATACCCTATCCCTGAAGCCCAGGCTACCTACCTCGGTCGTTTCTAGAAGGCTATGTGATCTAAATATCAGAAGATGTAAGATGTATTCTTTCCTATCACGCTCAGTTTGAAAATAGAGTGGCAGGGCTGAGGTAGGACACAGCCACGTCACTAAGGCACAGGCCCTTTTAGGATTTAGGCCAAGGCAGATTCCCAAGGGTTGAGGCAAATTCCTTAAAAAAGCAAATAACTCGAATCGCTAAACTAGTTGTTCAGCTCTAGTTCACCCGTTCATCTTCGCAGAGATCCCTATTAAAGCTAAACGTTAGCAACCATCGACAATACTATAAGACCTTGATAAATCTGCGTACGCTATCTCATACTAGATAGAGAGAAATCATATTAGCAGCATACAATCAAATGTTCAGCTCACGGGAGACTTGCCTCTTCCACCTCTCGTGGTGCTTGAAAAGTAAATCGGCTGCAAAAGTACTGTAAGATTGGCTTTAGCCTTCACATCAAGCTTCTATAGGGAACAGTGTTTGCTCACTACAACTTGGATATTGCACCCAAATAACTGGTAAAGCCTACTCTCAAGCTTTGAGCGGTCAATATAGCCACTTATTCCTTCTCTGAGTGTGGTCGAAACTGATCCAGTTGGTGAATAGATTGAAGACATTTTGGGGCGAAGTCGTGTTGACTGGAATTTGGGGCCAAGTCCGGAGTATTTTCCAGCATAATGCGGATTGGGATTCCAAGACAAGAAGTGTAAGATTTAATGGAATCAATGAGAAGGGTTATCACCTCTGTACCAGTACCCAAATCCATCTTCCGAAGAGCCCCTTCGTAAAAGCCCTAAGATCTTAATATCATGAATATATGTCATCAGACGCCATGCACCCACGGGGTTTTTGTTTCCAATAAAGAACAAGTGCGGCTGTAATATCAAACTCAGCCAATTATTAATTTTCCAGCCACTCCCTTATGCACCAACTCTGTCATCTCGTGGTCGCCGATGTCTATTTTCGTTCCCACTACAACGCGGCATACGCCGATAGGTGCAATATTGTGACTTTCATTGATTTCACCCGCAGATGTTGGTGAGGGGTAACAGAAAAAGCAAATTACCCTGATTTACATGGGGTATCACTCATTTTTACTCATATTTGGCATTAACATGTACACCAGCCATACTAGTTAGTTATATCCTTAGGAAAATTCATGTGGAGAAAGATAGCCGCAGTAAGCACGGGGTAATTCTGGGGAGAACTACAACATACGTATATTAAAACTAACCAAGTCTTCCAAGGTTGTCTTCGTTGTCTTCCGCTGATACCCGCAATTTACTTCTTTGTAGCTATTCAGCCTCTTTCAGCCCAATGTCCTTCCTAGTACGAGTTTAGTGCAGTTTATCACAGAGTGGTGGCTTTTGGTGTGTGGTCCGTTCGCTTCTTGGAAAGATGTTAGATCAACTGTCAAATTCACCTGGGCATTAGCGTTAAAATTATGGTCACAATGTGTACTCCGTAGAAGAATATTATGTGGAAATTTGGAGGCTCTTCCAAATCTTTTCAACTCTTTTTATTGACTCAGCAAGAGGTTTATTCCACCTGAGCCCAGGACCCATACTGTCTAACCATCTCACAAAGATCTCACCAGTTATTTTCCCCGGATTACTCTGTTATATACCTGGATCTGTTAAATCGTCGCAAAAGCGCCGATTGGCGAGGCTGCAAGATGAGTGTAGATGCCCAACATTGGGGTCGCCCAACGTAACACATCACACCAAACCTTGTCACATCCAAACACATCTAATGGCTTTCCATCAATCAGAACAGATAACCCACTCGACGATATAGGATCCTCCGAATTAGAGGCCGATGTCACAGCCTTCCACAGTAATCTCAGCCTCGATACTGTCGTCGATTTGCGAACCCTGATCAACGGCGCGAGACTCGCAAAGCAACGCTTGCGCAATGTCCCGTCTGGGCTTACCCCGGCGGAGTTGGAAACTATAACCAGGGAGAGTTCGGAGAAATACTTATCGTTCTTGCAAACAAGGGGGCTCCTTGTTACTGTTATGGCCACAGCCTGTGCGGCAATCACACAGTATGTCCCTCACGCGTGTCAACCTGGTGCCTGATTTTTACAATTGTGGTAGGGGATGGCAGCAATCAACAATAAATGGCAGTGCGCTTTTGAAGTGGCAGGATGATCTTGGCCTTGATACTGGCCATGACAGGATTTTGATTGGATTCATCAATGCAGCCCCTTGGCTTTCTGGCAGTCTTATGTATGTTGACTCCCAACTCCAACCCAACTGAGGAACAATCCCAACATGTTACTCTTCATCCAACTCTAACCTCGATCACAGAGGAACATGGTTGAGCGATCCACTCCAAGAAAGATTCGGGAGACGGCCCGCGCTCTTCCTTTCTGCCATTTCCTGTGTTGCTGTTGTAATAGGTAGTAGTATTTGCCTCAAAATGTTGCTTGATCGTGACTGATCCAGATATTGATCACAGGAACAGCTCATTGCCATTCATGGAAGACGCTACTGATCTGTCGGGTACTCCTTGGTGTGGGGGTATGTTGATTCTTTTCTTTACTTTCCTCTGCTCCATCCCATTTCAACACCCTACCATCTGACACGCTTCCATCTGCATAGATCGGATCAAAAGCTTCAATAGCCCCTATATTTGCCGCTGAAGCAGCACCTGATAAACATCGAGGTAAAATCTTGATGTTGTGGCAACTGTTTGATGCACTGTACGTTCAATCTCTCATTATAGGCTCCCTTTACAAGCCATTACCTAACTCTCTTGCAGTGGAATATTTCTCGGTTTCTTCTGTGCACTGATTGTGATGGACAGTTGGAGAGTACTCTTGGCGACCGCGATAATTCCCGCCATCGTCCTTCTCTTTTTGGTGTTCATGTGTCCCGAGTCGCCCCGATTCCTGATACAGAGGAACCAATATGCCGATGCATATAAAAGCCTCCTCGAGCTTCGAGGAACACCCATTCAAGCTGCCCGAGATCTTTACTACATTCACGCTCAGCTTCAAACCGAGGCTATCACAATATGGAATCCCCACGAAGAGAAATCATGGTGGTTAGAACGAGAACAGATCTATGCCTACCAAAGTTGGATCAACAGAGGTAGTTTCTTCCGGCGGATGATGTGTCTCGCCACCAATCCGCGAACCCGAAGAGCGTGCACAGTGGCTTTGATAGTAATGGTGTCGCAACAACTATGTGGTGTAAGTTTCGCTACATACACGTCTTGGGTCTTCTTTTGAATAACGGCTAACCCTTCAAATAAACTAACAGATCAATGTTTTGGCCTTCTATTCATCTGAACTTTTGCACACCGACCAGAGTAACTCGAGCGAATCGAGTGATGCCTTGTCTACTTCTCTCACAGTCATCAAGTGGTACAATTTCTGTATGTGATTATGGAAAGAACATCCTGACTCGAGAGGGTTTCAACTAATTTGCCGAAAACAAAAAGCATTCGGTCTAGCAAACTTCCTCTTCACTTTACCTGCATATTTCTTCATTGACTCGCGTGGACGCCGACCCCTGCTACTTGTCTCATTTCTTGGGATGCTTTTAAGCCTGATAGCAGTCAGCGGCTTCTTCAAAATCGAGGACCACCATACACGATTAATTATGGTAGCAGTCTTTAGCTGTTTACCTTTTGTCTTTTTCTACTCGATCGGTGCTGGGCCCATTCCCTTTACATTGAGTGCGGAGGTGTTCCCTCTGTGCGTGCGCGGTAACTTGATCCTCCCCTTCGCATTACCGTTAGTGTGGACTAATAAATGGCAGAGGTGGGAATGAGCTTCAGTGTTATGGTCAACTTCCTTGGTCTCGGGCTTTTAGTACTCTTTGTGCCTGAGTTGACCACTGAATTCCACGGCGAGGGGAATCTTCTCTTCTTCTTCTCGTGAGATTACCCTTCCTAATGCTTGGTCTGCTCAAATACTGACTTATATTACAGAGGCTTGAATCTATTGGCACTCATCTTGATTTTCTTCTTGGTTAGTCTCGTCTGTCTCTTTTGCGCTGCGTTTCATACTAATAGTTCAGGTCCCCGAAACCAAGGACGTATCACTAGAGGACATGAACTCGATATGTAAGGTTTTATGCTGACTCCAACCGGGAGGACTTTTCTTTGCGATGATTATATGCTAATAATATTATAGTCGCTCGAGCAACAAAAGAACATGTTCGGGACCACTGGAGCAGTCCCCTCTATGGAGGCCGCCACGCCAGGGAGATTGTTAGTATAGCTCTGCAAAACAGACAAGGTGTATAATTTACTTGGAAATATTATGAATGTGTAGGTAGTGTATGTCTCAATATTAATAAAAAAAGGGGTGTTAAGTCACAGTTGAATATTTAAAAATCGAACGACGGGGCTTTTAGAACCAGAAACCAACAACAAATGACAAACCATCACCAGGTTCAAGATCTGGTGGGCGGACGTTCTCTCGGTACATTCTTGAGCAATTTCTTCATCTCATGAGAGCTCCCTGGTGGTATAACGTAGCCCAGTGGAAGGGTTGCACCTGCACTAATAAGCACCCGCACGAGTACGGGCTTCTTTTCCCGTACAGCAAATTCCAAAGAGTTCTTTTCCAAAGCGGGGAGTCCTGAGTTGTATGTTCTATTCACTTCTGCTCCCCCTTCCAACAGCGCCTTGAACTTTCTCCCCCAAATAGAGTCCGGTCCTAAAGAGCTATATGAATCCCCCGACGCGAGCTTGATGTGCAGCATCATCGGCGTCTCATATGGTCTCGGTTTCGATGGAGCCCCTTCACCATCGACTGTAGTATCAGGCGGGAGCTGATCAAATACCATCTTGCGCTCGAAGGCCTTGATAACATCTGCTTGGGCGCAATTGCCGGAATTCACCGCAAAGTGTAGGCAGTTTAACTTGTCTTGTTGCACGCATATTCTGTGGTCTGCACCTTTCTCCAAAAGTAATGAGACCACACCGGCATGGCCGAGGAAGGATGCTTGCATGAGCGGAGTCTTGCCCTCGCACAGTTCGTTCAATAAAGTATCGGTATCGGCGTTGGAGTCCGAGCCGGTTTCCACATCGATATCAGCATCGAGTTCAGTATCGATCACAGCTCTCACAGTGTCGATATCACCCTTGCAAACGGCAAGATAGAGTGGCGTTTGATTGTCAGACGAAACGGTTCGTACGTCCAGGTTTCGGTTGTGAGATCTTCGTTGGTACTTGGACAGCTCTTTGATCATAGCAGCATTGGTCATCTTAATAGCATGGATCAAAGGTCGGTCACCCTCGTAGGTCTGTTCGACATCAACCTCATCTTCCAGAATTTGACGGACTTGCTTCATGTCCCTAGACTTCATGACATTGACAAGAACACCCACGTCTTTTACTGGCCGAGGTGGGTGACTTATGTTGATACTGGTACAGTCAGTGCTGCTTTGAGACATGCCTGACATGGTTGAAGCTCCGCTTAGTGAGCCTCGCAGATTAATCTGAGTAGACGGTGCCGCATCGGATCTAGGAAGTTTGTGAGAGTTCAAAAGTGATTTTAAACCGATTCGAACTTCAGGTGCCGTTGCGCGGTTCTGGACATCTATCTGAAGCATTGAGCTTAGAAGATCCTGCATTTTCTCCGAGACGTCAGGCCTGAGGGAAGATCGATATCGGGTTGGCAACTCCTCAATCCAAGTTTTGACATTAACATTAAGAGCTGGGGGTTTTCCTCGATAGAAAGAGTCGTCGAAGCCTTGTCCGTCGGGCCATTCCTTTCGCCTTTCATCAAATCCCGGTAGACTTTCAGGATCAAGTCCTAAAGCAAAAACGCGCACTAGTATGCACCCGAACGACCAGATGTCGCTTCTTCGTTGAGAAATAGTATCTGGTGCCCGATAGGGACCCCCTCTTGGAGGTTTGGCACCCGGGCTAGCGGAGTATCCCGAGTCACGCCTCCCAGTCCCTGATACAGCACGATTTGCTACTCGTGAGGCGCCGAAATCGGAAATCCGCCAAACCCCAGTAGAGGAGCTCTCGTCCTTGAATACCAAAATATTCTGGGGCTTGAGATCTGCGTGGCAGATTGCTAGGTCGTGAGGGTCCTCCCCTTGGCCTTCTAGCTGGAGATTTTTGTGTAGGAAGTGAATGGCAGATGCAACCCCTTTGGACTGCTGGATTAGATCTCCCAGGAGGTCTGAGGTACGTGGCATCTCTCTGTAACGTCCGGTCAAGAAATCTTCCAAGTCCATGTCGGCCCATGGCATGATGATGTTGAAGTCCTTTCCTATGAAAAACATCGCAAGATGGGAAACGATTCGGTCGTGCTTGGCCGGGCTTGATCGGAGGAGTTTCAACTGCATCCTTTCAACCTGGAATTTATTCTCGGGGAACCGTTTCCGGGCAACTATGAGTTCCCTCTATATGGGAAAGAAACCCGTAAGTGACTAGTCATGTCAAGTCATGCACCATGAAACTTACTGAATTGGGCGCCTCGGGTATACCCCGGTGATCACTGACATGGCCCAGGATGATATGGTTCGGAGGTATGGTCTCCCTGGTCACTTCTCCGGAGCCACCATCTCGAACGACAGGCTCCTTCTCCTGACACAGCGGCAACCGTTCGTGTTTTTTATAAAGCCCTTGCTTATTCTCATTGAGGACTATAGGAAAGTAAGTCCACATATGACCCACGAAGTGTGTAGCCAGATTGGTATCCCCCAGAAAGGAGTCATCTTTAAGTTCCTTTTTGGTGAACTCGGGAATATTTTTGTCGCGGCGACGATCACGGTCAACATTATTTGACAGGAAGAAAATTTGTCTGAACCTCGACCATCCTGACCAATCTCGGGGGACGACACCGGCCAGGATGGATATCATACGCAGCAAGCCCTCTCGAGCTTCATCTATCTGTGATGGATGCAGAGTTGGATCATGGGCCATCAGAAACCGCTCCAGTCGATCCCCGGCCCATACCTCTCGGACCTTGTCGTAGGTGATGAATGCCTCTGGTGTGCCGTAGTTGTATATCGCTTCCTTCAGCCTCTTGTGAATATCTGCTAAGCTCATTACGATGGGGCCAACAAAGTGGCCAACAAGAGCAGGGTAGAAGTAATTTTTGTGAGTGTTGTCTGATTATGTCGATTTAGGCTTGTGTGAGGAAGGGCCGTTGGATGAAGAGTGTGCGGTGGAATCGAGGAGAGGGGTGTGTGGGTAGGAAGCTGAAGAAAGAGATAGATGTCAGCAGAGAGCTTGGAAACAGCTTTTCACAGACACAGCCCAGCATTTTGGATATTTTGCCAAGATCGTGGCGCAGCATCGAGAGTTGATGCGTCTATTGTATTTTGCCTCGTTGCCTTCTAAAATCAATAGAATAACAATAGGATGATAGGTTAACAATCGATCTATTTAAGCCCCCGGTGGCATCAAAATAGTTGCGGGGAAGCCCGAGCGTTTCCCCTAAGAGTGCGGAGTAACCCGGTAAATCTCAATCGGTGGGGATATATAGTTGGTTCTTTCATTTTTGAAGTCGGAGGTAACATTATCTTTGATCTTAGAGAATTCATTATATTAATGGGAAATACCTAATAATCAGTAATGATTCCCTTCTGCCCAACGAGAGGGGGACATGTTAGGCTGTAAAAGACTATAGTAGTATGTCCAATACGCCACTGCGTCATTGCATTCGAGCCCAATGTGATCGCCATTGTTTATATTGGAGAATGGAGATACAGGCACAGTACTCACCAATATTATATTACTACCGTGCTTGAGTAGCATAAGCTGCTTACCCCTGCATAACCCCGAAAAGAGCCGCTCAGTGACCATATACCCTTCCAACTATTCTTCTATAATAGGAAGTTCACTAGGGTCTACAAAATAACCGGAGAGAATTGATAAAGATAGTATATCTGACTAGTCCTGGTTCATTCGGGTATATCTTAGCATACTGATTATAAACATAGCCCTCTAATAATGACCGGTGATACCAGGGCCGGGATCTGAATTGATATCGCCTTCGACGAAATATAAGGCTGCAGTATTATTCCTTTGAAGTTCATACATCAGCCCAACTGTTCCCCTCGGAGTTTGTATTACTACAAGTTAGATGATTGCATACGAATGTCAAATATAAAGGGAAATGAGTGCGTTGGTTCCCCAATAAGCAGTGTTAGTGGCTTGCTTTTTTGGTTCGTTCCCCAGCCATGGAGACCCAACAATCTCAGGAGCATTGTGGTGGGTGACGATGGGCAAAATTGTGAAGCCCAGGGCGAAAGTGTCAATATTAAACCGATCAACCGCCATTGCCGTCTCCTATGGTTTCTCAAAGATCTGATTGGTTCTAACTAGCCTCAATTTTACCATCATTGATCTCTATCCCTTGAATCTATAAAAACAATATAAAACAAATGGCTATTCCCGGTGGCTTGTTGGTGCCAAGGCAGGGCAATCGATGAATGACGTAGGGGCCAAAACTTATAGATTTCGGTAACTTCACATTTAATGGAAGATAGAATTTAACTTCAATCATCCCATTCCATTCGCCAAAATGCCTTGGTCTTTCGCTCTGCCTCATGTTCTCCTCACCAACCCCTATCTAGCGGTTGCGACCCCGATCACCGCAGGGACGACAGTGGCCCTTTTGACCAATCGTAAGTCGACCTCGGGACCGGTGACGGTGACGATTAAAGAGAATTAACGGCTCTGCAGGAAATCAAAACCGTGAAACCTACAAGCAGCTGAAACAGCCGCCCTACAGTCCCCCAGGATGGCTCTTCGCACCGGCCTGGACCCTAGTTTATGGATTGATGGGTTACGCCTCTCACCACGCCACTACCATCGCATCACAATCTTTTTCTCTAGCTGTCCGTGATGCCAATTCTACTGCCCAGACCCTCTACACCACGCAACTAGCCTTGAATTTCCTCTGGATGCCCCTCTTCTTCCGGCTGGGCCGACCGGCCGTCGCCTTGGGGGATCTGGCCTTATTAGCAGGCAACGTGGGTGCCCTAATGGTCAACTGGTGGACGACCGATCGGACTGCTTTCTGGTGTCTTGTTCCCTACGCTGTCTGGCTCGGATATGCGGCGTACCTCAACGCCGGCTGTGGTATTCTAAATGGATGGACGGTTCCTACTGGGAAGGAGCGGTCAGAGTAGGAGAACAACAATGTACAATATAGGGTGTTTTTCATACGATATCACAACTCAAAGTCAAGGATGCAAATGGGACACGGAGGCCCCTGACTGAAGCATCATGTGCGTCAACACAGATCACAGATGTATGCAATTTAGCTCCATTCTCTCATGCTAGTGCCATTTCTACCACAGGGGAGGGCTTCACCGGGTGATGTGGGCTCTTAGCGATTGGTAATTATTCTGTGAAAAGTCCATAGTGGGTCGCGCTTTCATCTAGACATCTCGTGTCGGTCTGTTCGCACTATGATGCCGTATTACCCGCTGATATACCCCCTGTAACCTTGAAGTCATGAATCCAGTCTTGAATCTCCTAAAAGAGTCTGAACTAACAAAGGAGGCTTTCAATTAGATGGTTGGATAAGAAGAGGGAATTCAAGCTTGCGATGTAAGTGCGACAAGATTGCAGAGTAGTCAGGCTCATTTTCAACATTCAGGATCCCATGTTGAATGAGGAATTCAACAATAACAATAGCACTGTTTGGCTTGAACTGTCCCTGTTTCAATGCATAGAGCACTTCATCAACAGTGTATAAGCTGAAACACTCCACTTCTGAGTCCCTTGGCTTTGGGATCGTGCTTGAATCCAATTCGAGTTGATATGTATACTCGATCTCTGGTTGAAATAGGCCACCCTCTCCTCCAGCTTGATTCCCACGAATGTGGAAATAAGTGAGGTGACTCATTGGTTTGACATTCATCCTCACAATTTCTTCTGGTATGGACGCCTCTTCTTGTGCTTCGCATATGAGAGCTTCAATGGGTAGCTTGCCGACACCGAGACCGCCAGCTGCAGTGCTATCGAGCATACCTGGGTAGGTCTGCTTTCTTTCTGATCTCTTACCAATCCATAATCGAAGACCTTGTTTGTCCCTCACGTAACACAGAAGTTGGACACCATATGTCACAATCCCAAACAAGGCACTTGCACAACGCTCTATTTCGAGAAGAACCTCTCCTTCTGGGTCATAGACCGGGAAATTCTCATCGCGCCAGCTTTCTAGCATTGATATCACACCGGACTTTCTGGTGGCCAGGAGGGTATCCTCAAGCACTAGAGAGCGCATATCGACTGTGGCTGTAGCTGGAGTATCTAATGTCACAGTTTGTTTGTGGTGGTCGATTGACCACAGATCGGACCACTGCATCTTTTCAACAATTTCATGAGGAATGTATCCTAATATGGCTGCACAACCATTCACCCTAAACTTGTAACTTTTCCCCGTAACTCCTGATCGAGATGTGGGTTCATCGTATGAAACGAAACTATCGAATAGCATTAACGTTAACACAAAATAAGGGGGGTGGATTCCTATGGGGATTTCCTTACTTGTCACATCCCTTGACTATGTCTAAAATGGTTCTTGTCATTGTTATAAGGTATAAGGTGTCAGACTTGGAATGTCTGTGGGAAAGAATGAATTAAAGTAACAGAAGGAGTTAGAAGGTAATCGTGGGCCGTGGCACGGCCCACCACCACCTACCCGGTGTTGGTGGGCAATTTTCAGCGGATAACAAATTTCCAAAATTAAGTATCTTTTGTATGGCAACTTCATACAAAAAGTACATAAACACGATATAGTCATAACCCCAATTTTCTCAACCCTCAAAATAGTTAGGAAAAATATAGGAAGATATACATATTATAAATAAGGCCTCAATTACTTAGTATCAATTCTAGTAAATTTTATAATGTATGTGTGGAGTAAGAGAATGGTTCATCTTTTACATACAAATTCTTATGTATGGTGATTTCTGAAAAGTCTCCTACACTTCCATAATATATATTTAGAATCAATTATAGTAGTAGATCCGTTAAGCCCGATTTATTTTAATAACCTGTCTGTTTAATTTTTCTTAAACTAGTCTGCCCGTTTAGAGAGTTGAGATTATGACTATGTCTTATTTATGTACCTTTTATATGGAGTTGCCATACAAAGGATACTTAATTCTTGAAATTTGTTATCCGCGCTATCGGGTGTGGCACCGGGTGGTGGTGGGCCGTGCCACGATTAGTGGGTGTTCTTGGCAATTATACGCCCCACAATAAACAAGTGAGATATCATTCCCATATTCCCATATTCCCATATTCCCATATTTCTTTTACTTCCTCTTCCTCTTTCCGCCAATAATTTGCCAGCAAAGTGAACGGCAGAATGTAAGATCCTCGTGTCAAGATCCTGAATTACCAAGGTGCCCCGTCAATGTTCTAAGGTTAGATTGCTTGTAGTAAGTAGTGCTCGCTACCATTTCCGATTTTCATGACTGAGCTGATAAAGAGCAAATAACCTCAGACCAATCGCGAAGCTCATGGGCAGCGAAACGGGATTGGTCGAGCGGAAATTTGTTATCGAAAGGTGCTACCTTAGGTAGTTTAGCTTCCCAAAAGATAATCCTTTGACTCATAATTTAGTGCGTGACTCATTACAACATGTTATAAATCTGCCAAAATACCATAACGCGCATGAAACTTCTGTGCCTACAATTGTCCGCCCTTCGGACTCATCCACTCGACCAAGCGGACGTCAAGACCATGACACCAAAATGGCAAGCCATGCGTCTCCTCCACGGAGTCCGTGCTATAGTTGGCGGTCAAGGTCCCCCTTTGATCCTCGTTCCAGGCTGGCCACAAACAGCAGAGGCATTTAGCGATATATTCGAGCCCATTTCAAAACATTATCAATTTTTCGCTCTCGATCCTCCGGGCTTAGGTGACTCGCTTCCTCCACTCAATGGCTACGATACTGCGAATGTGAGCAAAATCATGGCAGAAGCTATCCACGATACCTTGAAAGAAAAACAATACCACCTAGTTGGCCACGATGTGGGGGGATGGATTGCCTATCCTTGGGCGGCTCAATTTCAATCAAAGATCAAATCGCTCAGTATACTAGACGCGGGAGTGCCAGGTTTCATGCCTCAGCTTCAGTTTCCGTTGTCACGCCAGACCAATATGCGTCTTTGGCAATTCTCGTTCAACGCGCTTCCTGATTTGCCTGAAATTCTGACTCGCGGTCGTGAGCGGGAGCTACTGACCTGGTTCTTCAATTTGAAGACGGTTCATCCGGATGGTTTACCCAAAGATCAACTCGAACGCTACATCCAGGCCTATTCAAGACCAGGGGCAATGAGTCGCGGGTTCGAGTATTATCGAGCTGTTGAAACAAGCACCAAACAGAATCTGGAATATGCCAAAACACCGCTCGATATCCCTGTCTTGGCTTTAGGTGGCGCCAGCTCCGTCGGTTCGGACATGATTCGCTTGGTCCAGAACTTCGCAACCAATGTTTCCGGAGGCGCGATTGAGGATTGTGGGCACTTCCTCCCCGAAGAGCAACCATCTGCTGTCGTGCATAGACTGCTGGAGTTCCTGGAGGCAAATTAAACACAGTAAAATTGCTTTTTGACCTTGGTACTACAAGGTACATGTCACCGACCGCTTAATTCTCCAATTATCCGATCAACGCCAAAACTAGGTTGCAATCAAGCGTTCTGCTGATGACATTGCCAATGAGGTAATCGAAGTAAAGCTTCTGGGTGCAATTCCTACACTTTTCATACCTATAACCGCGTAATAGATGCCCAAAGACCTGGTCAGTTAAGTCTCCGGTGAATCTGAGAGCTAAAGCCGATGGGAACAGTTGAACAAAAAATTGTGAATCCTCAGGAAAGGTTCGGATTCTTGAAAGTATTTATTGGCATCAGAGGCCTTGGTAAGAGAAGTCAGTTCGTACTTATACTTATGCTGGCCGAGTCGGTAGAGTCCATCAATGAATTAGAAGCTAGCTTACAAACAATCGAGCTGCGTTATCTTCTGACTAACTAGTTTAACTACCTGGGTAGCTCTTGTAGCTTGGTTGATGCGATTGATAAGATAAACCAAACCACGTGATTCTAGTATCACAGCGCTCGGTCCACAGCGGAACTACGGGCGTTTAATTTCTGCCGAAGCGGTGTAGAGTCGAGCTTAAGAAACCTTATCATTCCCCTTATTCCTATCTCATATACCAGTTCGAGGTAGAACTCATACCATCCAGTCTTTTGTCCCCGGGGCTATCTTCTATGGCCTAGGACATCCACATAAACAATATATATGGGGGGCCCCTATAGTAAAGGATGTTTGCAGTGTATAAGGCGCAAGATCAAGGTTAGTGATGATATTTTGCAGCACCCTTTCATTTCTAACCTCTAACCGGTTGTTTTCTGCAAAAGACAACTTTTTCAAAAACAAGACAAGTAACATAAGCTAAAGGATATGTAGTGCGACCGAACTCGTCCGGAATGCCGGCGGTGTATCAACTGGGGTTCGGAATGTCCAGGTTATAATCGTGTTCACAAATTCAAGGACCAGACGCAACATGTCGCCCTAAAACACGGTCAACCAACAATGGACGAAGTCTTTGCCCCAAATTTGACCCATGAGGCGATTAATATCCAAACCCAGGAATCATTTGGAATGTGGTTGGACTACCATTTTCCAAGTTACCACGCTTCCTACACCGACCGTGTGGAGATGAATTGGATGGACTTTATACGAAGCAGGTGGTCCACGTTTCCGCAGGCACTAATCTGGGCAGTCCGCGCCTTAACTTCTTTACGCATGGGGGCGGTACGAGGCAATAAGGAAATCATAGCTTGCGCTCGTCATATGTATGGTCGGGGTGTAAACCATCTAGCCGCTCTCCTACATACACGAGCCGCACTTGCAGATGAGACTCTTGCAGCTGCCATTTTACTAGGCGGATATGAGATGCTAGATGGCAGTAGTGATCGCTCGTGGATCATTCATTCGCATGGTATCAGCCAGCTGTTCTGCGCCCGTGGCCCTTCAGCACATACGCATGGAATAGGCCGGACCCTTCTCCTTTCTTGGCGGCCTTACATAGTCGCGGATGCCTTCATCCATATGCAACCCTGTTTCCTAGGTGGTTTGGAGTGGACGTGCGCATCTTTCCCCAGGGGAAAAGACCAGTGGAAGGAACCTAGTATCCTAGGTCAGACGATGGACCATGCATTTAATGAAGTCGCCAAATGCCCTGGCTACTATGCAATGACAGAATACTTTACCACTTCGGAAACAAATGTCGATCCACCCATGCTCAACGCCCTGGTGGGTTGCATTCTCAAATCAAGAGAAAGACTTGTTCAGCTTCACGGCATACTCGTGGAAACGAATGCCCCTGGGTCCTTTGTTGGAGTGATTCCACAAAGGTACGCAACAACACTGGTACAGGGAACTCGACATGGAATCAACTCTGCCGTCGCACTGCTCGATCAGTTAATGACGTTGCTTAAGTCTTGCCTAAATAGGGGGACCAACCCTATTCAAGTGGCAGACTTTGACTATAAGCCACAGGAAGACCAATGGCGTCTTTTCGCGGGACTTCAAGCTCTCAAACCCAACACGAATCAATTGCCCCTTTCCCCAAATTCAGAAGACCCAAGTTTGGCTACCCATGCTATCGGGGATAAGCTGGATAAATTTTCGTTAACAATGGGGATGGGGAGTCTGACACCAGATGCATGCGGTTGCCCACAATTATCAGCGCGTATCTGACGGGACATCATTCCATCCCTTTTCTTCCTGCCGTCACTTTGCAAGTAATCTGGTCTCGATCGGCCTTCAATCGGCCTCAATTCACAAGTACAGCATATGTACCACATGGATAGCCAGGTCAATGGAGCAAATAGCGAAGGGACATCTCCAAAGACACTTCGTGTTATACGGTAGAAACCTTCAGATCATCGAGCCCCACAAATGCTGCCGGGAAGCAAGGACAGTTGATCACCATGCGACACCTTTCATTCCCGTAAGGATTTCGACTCCTAGCATGTTTGACTAGAGTGCCACTGATAGTACTGAAACACCGTATGTACATGGTGAAGGCACTCGGTACTCTCGAGCTACACGGAGTATAGGTGTAGCTGACGTATCGGTCACAATATATTCATATTTATGGAGAAGTCTAATTAGTAAGGATATCCACCAGGCAGATAGGGTGATGCATATACTCGATGTGTCCAAGAAACAAGAATTGATATACAGAAGCCAATGATAGATGCTGACGATGGTCTAGCTACTGCCATGAAGCTCTCTAATAGATAAAGGGACAAAGCAACCAAGGCCTGAAGTCTCAAATGGGGCTAAGAGAGGTCTATTAACATGCATCGGTATGCATCACCTGAGAACTCTGGTCTCTCCTATTTTTTCCCGTACTCATCACAGGAGTAGCATTCATTCCACCTGCTTATTCTCATCAATGGCAGCTGCTGTCGACTCCTTCATGGGCAAAATTACAGGACTGCCGCTCTCCTTGTTTTCTTTAACACACGTCAACTGCTTGGCAGCCTCGAAGCTGTAGTGTGGACCTCGGTACTCGGTCCTCCCGCGGACGAACCCGAACCACCACAATGCAGTCAATGTCATCAAACCGACAGTGATGACGCTCGTATAATTCATGTTTCCAACGGTAGCAGGCATCACGAATGGGAAGCAGAAAAATATCACGGTGACGATGATATACACCAACGCGACGATATTCACGACCATTCCCAGAGTCTTGCCCATATGGAAGGGCCCGGGGACTATGTTCCGACGGGCAGTCAACACATGAGGGAGGATAGCGCCGAAGTAAGAGAGAGTGCTCAGCACGATAAAGGACGAGATGAGGGCCTGGAAGGCTGTTGTGCTGCCGACGTAGATACAGCCGATACAGGTAACTAGTCCACTCATAGCGACGGTGGCACGGACGGGGGTGTCTAAGGTAGGATGGACTTGGCCAAAATAGTTCGAGAAAGGTGTTGCGTTGTCCCGGGCTAAACTCCACCACATCCGTCCGCCAGTCACGAACGTGCCGATCAGGGTTGGGAAGGTAGCTAGGAAGAGCACAGCGATGAGTCCGATGGCACCGGTGGTAGATCCCGTAGCTTGTCGGTAGATTTCAGCAGTAGGGAAGTAACCCACGCTGGTGTTGAAAACCATGTCGATGTCCTGGATCGAATAGAAAAGGGCGATCAAATAAATGAAGGAGGTAGTGAAGGCCGTCAACATTTGTATCATGATACCCTGGGGGACTTTGACCTGTGGCTTAGGAACTAAAACAATATTGGTAGTTAGGATCTCTTCATCCTTATTGGAAAGTTGGGACGAGATGTGCGACACTCGTCACATTCAACATACCCTCTTCAGATAAGTGACTGATACAATCAGGAACTCCCACGGCGAAGGCGGCGTTGAGTAGTCCCGTGATAAAACATAACCCATCGGACCAGCCGCCAGTCATGTTATAGTATTGCGTCCATACCTGCGAAGAGCTCGCGTGTTTCTTTGGCATGGCCGCGAGGACCACGACGGTTGCAAAGAGTCCGGTCATTGATAGGATCAGCGCGACCCGATTAATCAGAGGGATAAACCGGTTCCCTAGACAAACTATTGCACAGCATGTCCAATTGACAATTTGAAACACAATAAACACCTGCCAGGAATGCCAGGTGACATCAGAATGCCGAAGCAAATACATGGCCACCGCTTCATTACCTAGCATGGAACTCATCGACGAGGCTGAGAGTAGCCAGGCGCAAGCATTAAGATAACCCGTAAAGAATCCGGCGGCGCGGCCATACTTCCCACTCAGTACTGTGGACCAGTAATATACTCCGCCTGCGGAGGGCATAGAAGATGCCAATTCGGCCAGCGAGGCCGAGATCGCCGTATAGAAGACGCTCACGAGTATCAGGCCATAGAGAAGGGCCATCGGACCTCCGTTCATTAGTGCAGTCACAATTGTGCCACCAGTTGCGGCCCACGAACTAATGCATGATCGAAAGTTAGTTGAATGCACGGCCGGGAAAAGGTTCAAATCACACTGACTTGGCGATCACAATTCCCAAGCTTGTCACACTCCAAAGCCCGAAATTCCGCACCAGTTCCTGTTTGTGACCCAGAGCAGCCTCCAGGCGCACCGTGTCTATCTCCGTGCTATTCCTCGCCCTAGTCTCGCCGACCTGGGCAGTTTGTTTCTCGGCGACCACCATAGTGTGTCATCTGCAAATGATATGAATTGATGTCAAAAAGGAGCGCAACAAGGACCAGTCAAGAAAGTGAGATAGAAATCGAGAGGGAGGCAAAGAAAAAAAAGGCAAGTCATGAAGCCCCGCTAGTGTCCCGGAAATTTTAATGCAAAAGGCCTTCCCCATTCGTCCTAGACCGGTGGATACATGCAACACGATCGTGAGGTGCAGTAACAATGCAATCCCTGACCTTTAAACTCTTCGCCCCTATTCAGGCTGGGGCATGTTCTCAACTCAGTTGAGATTAACGAGCCACAAGGAGTCCAATCATAGGGGTCCAATCTAAAACAAGCGAGAACTCCACTGTGGTTGGTGACGGACCCATTTATTAGCATTCCATGACGACGGTCGGCGAAAGGGTTTGGTTGAGGGTTGGAATGATATTGCACTGATAGAGCAGGGATCTCTTAAGGGAAATGTTTGAAGAAGGTAAATAAGTAAGCACTTTAACATGTGCTAAAATTTTCCGTGAATAAAGCACTCTGCAGGAATAAGAAGTCCATTCAAGCAAAATTGGCCCCCATTTAGCCTTGAAACTGCCAAGAGACAAGGAGTGGGATCAACCTCCGATGGGCTCCGGCCCCTCGTATGGGGTTCTCCGACCCGACCTCGGGAGGTACGGCTCCACGGCCCGCTGAGTCGATCTGTACCTCCCATGGCGAGAGGATATAAGGATAGTAGTATGGAGTGAGTATTCCGTAAATGGGAGATAAAGAAACAATGTGTGTAAATTTAATGGAACGAGATTGATAGAGGAAAGAAGAGAAGATAAGAGGAGAAGGATCCAACCCCTGCTAGTTAGTTATTTAGTGCGGTTACCACTGGTGGCCTGATCCCTCAGGCTACCGAACCACAATGTCCAAACGTCCACCCAAAAAGACAAGACGTGCAGTGCGGTAGTTATCAACTGCTCCTCAAAACCCCTCAGACCCCCTCAAAGCCCATTTCATTTCTCCTATAATCGTCCTGTTTGACCCTCCCTTGTCAGATCTTTCGGGGAGGAGGGGGAGGGAGGAGGGGGATTATTTCTCCTAGATCGGGGCACTAAGAGCTCGCCCACATGGTTAGATCGATTGAATTTTTATGGCCCCCATGCCAGTGTGGCACTCAGACCCGCCCGCCCCAATTTATCGGTCCTTCGAGCTCAAAATTCCCCGGTAACCCCGATCCCAATCCCATTCCCAAGGACCGTCGATAATATCTCTCTCATATACACCAAATCCCCTCTAGCAGGTTTGATGTTTACTCAAATGTTTACTCCTGAGACCTTGTGAGGTATATTCGCTTAACGAGGGCGACCATTTTCCTGTCAGAATGGGGAACGTATCGCCCACGCCCCACCAACTGCTGGTAGAAGCCGCGATCTTTTGGAGTATTGGGACGGTTCTCTACATTGGCCGAATGTATGTGTGATGCATCTGTCCCTAAGACATTGGAACAGAATTGAAAGAGACACTGACTTGATGAACAGCGCCTCCCGGTTAATGTTAAATGTATCAATCCAGGGGATATCATGTACGCACAATTACTTCCTTTTGATTGAGCCATAACTCACCAGCTCAATCGTACATTATAGGGGACGATTATGTGATGACCGCAACATTTGTCAGTCCCCTGCTTTGGCCCAATTCGTGACCCTCGACTGACTAAGGATCCAATCCTGATAGTTAATGTATACAGCCTTGCTGGTGTTGATTCAAATCTCCGCAAAATACGCGACAAACCTAATGGACCCGAGCGAGTACGAGGAGGTACTCTCTGACCCCCATCAAGTTCACGACCGCATCCTCGGAAGCAAAATTGTTATTGCGCTGGAACAGTGTATGCTCTTTGTAACCTGGGGGTAAAAGTCTGTCTGTTGATACTCTACTGGCGGATTACCAAAAACCTGGCCTCGAACCTTTATGTCAAGATTCTCGCAGCTTATGTGGCGCTTGGTTTTGTCGTAATTATGGTTACTTACTACGCCGTGTACTGCCGACCCTTCTCACAATATTGGGCGTTGCCAGTGTCGAATTTGCAGTGCGCCACCTACCAACACTATTCCATCACCCAGGCGGTTTTCAATATTTCATCAGACGCCTTCATGTTTGCCATTCCGATACCGCTTATCGTCCACGCGAAGCTTCCACTACACCGGAAGATGCTGTTACTCTGCGTGATGAGTCTGGGTTTGTTCACCATCATTGCCGCCATCCTGAATAAATACTTCAACTTTGCCTCCCCCTTGACCACTGTGTACCAGATCTGGTATATACGCGAGGCTAGCACTGCTATCTTTGTCGCCAATATGATGTGCTGGTGGCCGCTCCTTCGGAAGCTGTTCGGTGCTAGAGCCTTCCAGTACCACAGTACCCCTGGACGGCCATCCCGGAGCACCAACAACAAAGAAAACAATCCCTACTCGAAGACCGTTAGCTCGCAGTCCCGCGCATCGTTCTCGTTAACCCGCCCTTTTCATTTCTCTCGACCCGGTTTCCGCAGCTCGGCAAAGGATACTACGCTCACTGGACACAGCAATGCGGGAAACACTAGTCGGGAAGCGATAAATATGCCCACGGGTGGGATCATGGAGGATCCGGAACGCGTGGATGATGTTCCACTCCAGGTTTGGGGCAAGGGTAACGAACGAGGCACCGATGTTGAAAACCTCGCGACCCAGAAGTCCATCGCAAAGTTTGAACAACGGGATCAGGGCGCAGAGGTTCCTCTTGGGGATCGCATTTACTGTACTCGCGAGTTTGACATCCGCTCTGACTCCAGGAGCGGACACCCGCCTACATGAGATGAGTGTAAAATTATATATAATTGTTTGAATAGACCACTTACCCTGCACAGTCTAATTATCTCTCACGTAACATGATATGTACGACTAGGGGGTGTGGAAAATAGGGCTTCCCGACTTAAACACTAAAGTGGCGAGGAAATATATGTCGTCTACCCATTAGATTGCGGAGTGTTACTATAAAAATTCATTCAAACCCTCGTTCAATTGTTCAGACCGTATTCGACTAAATATCACCAAGTTCAATGTTACATCAAGGGCAACTAGTTCTCCTAATTGAATCTCTAAGCGAATCCCCGAGAAGAGAAACCGACATAATAGTCCCGTTTACCCAACGACACCCCCTCCTTCCGCAAAATGCCATACGCAGTAGTAAGATGGAAGTAAATATTCGGCAAGGCAATGGTATGGGCAAAAATAGCACCACTGATTTCCGCCGCCTGCTCGGGGCCCATTTGAGTGAGCTTAAGCTTATCAGCGTGCTGGTCGACGACGTCCCTGTCGGCCTCGTTGAGCGCTTTGAGCACTTTCTCAATACGCTCGTAGCATTCGGCATATGTGGTGGGTTTGCCTTCGGTGATTACCGGCTCCCGACCGGTCAGTCGGGCGACCAGGTTTTCTGAGAATTGGGTTGCGAGGCGCACTTGGTCGGTCACTGGATACATGTCCTCGCATAGACGTGCGTTGAGCAGATCGGTAGCTTTCGGGTGTCTCTCGGCTTGTTGGAGAAAGTGGGATAGGGAACCGAGGATGTGTTGGGTTACCACAATGGTTCCGTCATAGAAGGTGTGGACCATGTTGAAGGAAGAGATTTGATGTATGAGACCGTGAAGGAACAGGCTTGAAGAGAATTTGAGGGAAATGTCTGCAGGCTGAGGTTACGTGGTCATTCCCCCATAGAGGGGTCGGGCCTAACCATCTCCAGTTAGAATTTGGGGCTGAAAATGCTCGGGCGCCCAGAAACAAGTTCATGCTTAGGCATTTTGTCTTTTGAGACAAACTAGAATATGGATCCACCTATGTTTACTTAGATTGTATGTCTTATGTTTTGTTACATCCTGGTCAGAATAAATTGCCAGAAATAGATGTAAGTAAATGAGAAAGTGGCCATGGTTAGTCTGGTGCTTGCTCGCCACGGGTTGCCGTAGAGCTTAGCCAAAAATAGCCAAAGGTATTTACTCTATCGAGGGATACACGCTACCCAAACTTGAGGGAACAGGAGGGAGTAGCTGATTTGAAGAAGAATATTGACTTGGTGTCTTTTATAGACCCAAATAGGCTAATACCAGAAGGATAACACTAGTCCCGGAATAGGTTAGTGGGGCTGGGTCAGATCCTTCCGCCCTTCGTGACGTCGGTGATCAATCCGCTTAGGCTGAATTTTAATATTCGTTCTTTTTGTCTCTCTCAGAGGCACTCATGTAGAACGAACGTTGTGATATCAGAAGGAATGAAGGTCTGAGATGGTCTATCGACGCTCTCACAACAAATCCCGCCATGGCTGTACCAATTGCAAGCGGAGGAGGGTGAAGGTATGCAGAACATCCCTTTATCAATGTCCACTCGCTGACCCCAAACCTAGTGTGATGAGCAACGACCAAACTGCACTATCTGTACCCAGCGACAGGAAGAATGTGTCTACAGCTCGGAGGTGCCCTATTTCTTCGCCGACAAACAGTCGCGAAAGCCCTCACGCAATAAACAGTCTCGAACCACAGGTCAGACGCCAAATGCCACCCCCGTCTCTGAAGATGAGGAATCGGCGATTTTCAATCAGATAGGGTCGGCACAGATTTCCACTGGTCCTGTGTTGAATATGGAGGAGTTAGAACTTGAGTTGCAGTGGATCATGCAAACCCACAAACTCCTTGCCCGCAACGAAGAAACCCGAAAGGTCTGGGAAATTCTGGTTTTGCAAGAGGCTTTACAGGCACCTTTTCTCATGCATGGCATCTTGGGCCTATCCGCTCTACATTTGTCGCACCTTCGCGCCGACAACAACCAAGCGAAGTGGCTGAGTATCGCGATGTCGCACAAGAATGTGGCTATCTCCATGTTCTCCGAGCAACTACTCAATATTGACAAATCAAATGTCAAAGCAATGATGAGCTTCGCCAGTCTTGTCGTGGCATTCGGCCTAGGAAGTGCACTCACTTCCGGCGCCCCCGAAGGCCCCAGCCTCAATTCCTTAATTGAAATCTTCACCCTCTCCCGCGGAGTCCAGGCGGTCGTTAGTGCAGAGCCTGAATTCCTCCGAAAGAGTAACTTTGCTCCACTTTTTGATGTGTCTCCGCCACAAGTTTCTTGGCCTGATCATGTCCTCGCTGCGTTTGATCGTCTCGAAAAATTGAACGTACAATGTGGGCAGCAATTTGCTCACCATAATACTGCTGTCTATGAGCGAGTCATCAACTATTTGCGCGAACTGGCAGCCTTCACATTGCAACAGCCTACGTCTATGACCCTTACTAGTGGCTTTGCTATTCGAGCTCCTGAGGTCTATCTAAACGATCTCACAAACAGGCAACTATATTCTTTGGTTGTGCTGGCTCATTATTGTGGCTTCTTGCACATGGCCCGGGAGAATTGGTGTGTGGGGTCTTGGGGTCGTGTCGTGTTAGGAGAAATTCAACACTTACTTCCTCCCGACTGGCAACACCATATTGAATGGCCCGTTAAGCAAGTTTGGGAATAGAAAGCGATCAAACAACGAGATGGCCGATGGAAAACGAGATATATATTTGAAATAGTTGCTTCATATTCTTTCCTATTCAAACAGGATAAACTAAAATTATTCGTTGTGATATTGTCAGGCGACGACTTCTTACCAATCTTAGAAGACATATCCTATTCGGGACTAGCGCTCGTACTCGTAAAGTATGCCGCTTGAGGCCTCGGAAGGCACTACCACCGACGGATCCACGGATCGAAACGCCACCCGATGGAAAAAGCCAATCAAATGAATCGCAAAGATTAATCATCAAGAATTCAAACATTGGGTGCAAATCAGAACCAAAGACGGTAATTCATCGGAAATAATCCCTTTTGAGTTCTTGTATGAAGAACAAAATTAAATGGGGTCGACGGTAGAGCGGCTAGAAGCCCTGTGCATATATATAGGTATGTTCTGTGAATAGTAATCATGCCGATTGTGGTGACGCTACCAGTCAACACTCCGAATTTGAATTACCCCATTAGACGCGGCTGCTACAATGCGCCGTTTGATATCTATACTTATTGCTTACTATATCTAGAGTGCAGACGCCGTATTCGACTACCAATCATCCAGTTATTTCGCGTTGACCTAGGAACCCGATCCAAAAGGCTCAGGGAAAACCAACCACTTCATCTTGATTGATAAGCAAAGCGGATGGTCCGGAATAATGTTGAATAATCACGTTCTTAGAGCTATGGTGTGATACACGGTAAAGGCGATCTCTCGACTCGGAGTCGGTAGAACAACCATTTTTTTTTAGCATATAATAATCAGATCGTAGGAGAAGAATGATTAGGTGTCTATGTATTCCTTCTGTTAGGTAATTATAAATACACGTACCCTCCGCGGAAGACTTCCTCAGATCAAGTCACTTCTCCTAGACACCAAATCTCTTATCACAATGACTGCCCCAGCTACCTACCTTATCACGGGTGCCAACCGAGGCATTGGACGAGGCTTTGTCCAGAAATTCCTACAAAGGACTGCCACCATTGTCATTGCGGCCGTTCGAGATCCGTCGAGCGCATCATCTAAAAGCCTCCAAGACCTCCCAAAGGGCGCTGGCTCTAAGTTGATTACCGTCAAGCTTGACTCCTCAATCAGCACCGACGCTGTAGAAGCGGTGGCACAGCTCCAGACTAAACACGGTCTGTCCTCTATCGATGTTGTTGTTGCCAATGCCGGCATCTCGGTAGGTGGCGCAACTGTCCGCCAGACAACCGCTGCGAACATCGCCGAACATTTCATTGTGAACACGACTGGTCCTGTGATGCTATTCCAGGCCACTGCCGATCTTCTCAAGGCTAGCAAGACTGGAAACCCTATCTTCGTTGCAACCTCGACTATTATTGGGTCCAATGGATCTATGGAAGCCCTTGCAGACTTCCCGTCCACTCAAAGCCCATACGGCGGGAGTAAGGCGGCATTGAATTGGTTTGTTCGTCGCCTTCACTTCGAGGAGCCTTGGTTGACGAGCTTTGTCTTCCATCCCGGCCTGGTGGAGACAGAGCTTGCTCAAGCAACTGTTGAAGGACTCAACATCGAGCTCTCAGACTTCGGCGCGATTTCTGTCGAGACCAGCGTGTCTTCAATGTTGAAGACTCTCGACGCGGCCTCTAGAGAGACCAGCGGCACGTTCCAAAATTATGATGGTTCTATTCTGCCTTGGTAGAAACATATCGTTGTGATGTTTGCATCGAGCCCAATCAGTTGAATTCGTTGTTCGAAATCTTTTGTGCATGCAGCTTTATTTGCGTTTATGCTGTCTCTCCCCTTTGTGAGATATCATACAGAAATATACCTTGATGTGACCATCTGGAAGGATTCAGTTGTAGTGTATCATTTTTCTCCCGAGCACCCATTTTCAGCAGCATTAAACCCACACCGAGGACGCCATCAAAGAGGTCTGGGGCAATCGACAAATCTCAACATCTCCAAAGTCACTATCTCCGGCTTTGGTTAGAGTGAGGTCGGGAATATCTGTCGGAAATAGACTCAACACAATATTGATAAACAAAAAAAATCAAAAACATACAACAGTGAGGATTCGCTGGTGGTCACCCACCCAACTACTAACTCACCGGCGTGTGGCTTGAGTACGGCTGAGCGGACGGGAAGCCCTATTTTCCACACCCTATGGTCGTATGTGTTATAATACATGTAAGGATTGATGATGAGTGATGCTGGACAAGGTTGAATCCTTTATCAATTCATGGGCGCTTGGTTGGGTTTCTAGGAGACTAGATGGAATAATCCAGCTCATCCGGGGGAAATTGGATACAAGGTACAGGGTTTTGAGAGCATAACAACAGCCCAAGCCTCAAACGTGTATCAGAGACAGCAAATGGTATGAATATGTCTTCGATTGCTTGACTTTACGTCATATATATAATATCAGATCCTTGCAAGTTATAGCTCAAGTGCAATTTGACATATTCCTAGTTGGATAATAAGCCCTTTCCTATACTTTTTCATTCGAACATTTCTTCCTGAGGCATCTAATCCTAGACATGGTTGCACCTTTTTATCCGCCCAGAAACAACGATACGACGAGGGCTTTCCCACAGCCAAGCTGCCAAATTTTCCGCCTCCGCCGCTAGACTGTCATAGCCAGCCGTCGCGGTCAAACCCCGGCTAGGGAAACGATCGAATTCGGAATAAGCAGGGGAGATGCGAGCATCTAGGCATCATATCCCGATCGCACATAGTAACTAGCAAAATAACCGCAGCATAAATTGTGGAATAGGTTGACCATTTGGATTAGGTGTAGCTACGACCCCGGAATCGACAAAAGCTTCGACTGATAGACAGAAAATTAAAACAGAAGAGAAAGTTTGCGGAGGAAAAATACAGGAGGAAATAGCCGACGCAAGATTTCCACATGCTGGTGGTCCGGGCCGTTTCTCCCCCAGTTGTATACTACATATACAACAGCCTACCCTATAAAGATTCACCCACCCCTAAACTAGCGGCCAAGAGATCTGCCGATTTTATTCCGAATTGATTTTAGCGTGTTGTATTGAACATGTATAGCTATGATCTTAAATTCTTCCTTCTTCAACTACCCTCTCCACAATTCAATTCAATTCAATTCAATTTACTATGGAAGTCCCCACACCTATATAGTGAATCCTATATTATACGTATTGCTCCTTTGATAGAAGGCTTCTTCCGTCTAAGAAGGAAGTAAGATCCGATTGATTGATATAGTATTCATTTGTAAAGATACCATATAAAATACTACGCTAATTATGCGCTAGTAAAAATGAGTGGAGGTGGGTGAATCTTTATAGGGTAGGCTGTTGTAGCTTATTGTTGGGTGCCTGGGTGCCTGAGGCACCAATGGACCCACTATGAGACAGATCCACCCACGTAGATAGTTCTCTCTCTCTCCTCTCTTCTTCTTTCTTCTTCTTTCTTCCTTTCTCCTCTGTCCATCTCAATAATTCTGAATCTAGCCGTGCCAAGCGCCCAACACCAGGGGACCTGGTGTTGGTGCGCCCCAGTAAACGCAAAATTCCCAGTAAACACAAAATCTAGAAAATAAGTATCTTTTATATAACTTACCAATACAAAAGGTACTTAGGTACCCCGTTAGTATAACACACTTTCTCAGCCATCGAACCAGTTAGGGCAAATATAAGGAGATATAGATAGTATGAAGTAAGTCTATATTAGTTTCAAGTTAGCCATACTCGTTAACGTGTGAGGATGATCGCCGCTAATTTTTGTCTTCCGGGTTTCTATCACTTGTATAAGGAGCTTCTCGGCCTCTTCCTATCGGCACTAGCTTATATAGCTTACGGCTAGGTTGGCCATACTCGTCAATATATTAGGATAATCGCTACCGTGTTTCATCTTACGGGTTTTTATGACTTGTATAAGGAGCTGCTCGGCCTCTTCCTATCGGCCCTAGTCTAAGTATACCGATGCTAGGTTAGCAACACTCGCTAGTGTATCGGGATGATCTCTACCGGGTTTTATCTTGCAAATCTCTATGACTTATATAAAGAGCTTCTCGGCCTCTCCCTATCGGCCCTGGTGCGAGTGTATATATGCTAAGTTGGCAATACTCTTTAGTGTTATAGGATGGTATTCGCCGAGTTTCGTCTTACGATTCTCTATTACCTATACAAAGAGCTGCTTAGCCTCTCCCTATCGACTCTGGTGCGAGTATGCTAATGCTAGGTTGGTAATGCTCGTCAGCGTGTTATGATGATCGCTGCTAAGTTTTGTCTTGCGTATCCCTATCATATATACGTTGAGGTTCTTAGCCTCTTTCTATCGGCCCTGATTCGAGTATATAGATACTAGGTTGGTAATACTCGTTAACGTATTAGGGTGATGTTCGCCGAGTGTCATCTCGTAGATCTCTAATACCTGTATCTAGAGCTGCTCGGCCTCTTCCCATCGGCCCTGATCCGAGTACGTCGATGCTAGGTTGCATATAAAGCTTAGCGTGTCGGGATGGTGTTCGCCGAATTTCGTCTTACGAATTTCAATCACCTATATCTGGAGCCGCTTAGCCTCTTCCTATCGGCCCTAGTCCGAGTACGTCGATGCTAGGTTGCCTATATAACTTAGCGTGTCGGGATGATCGTCGCCGAGCTTGGTCTTGCTCTTTTCTACCACATATAGATCGAGCTGCTCGGCCTCTTCCGCTCGGCCCTAGCTCTAGTGTATGGATACTAGGTTGGCTATGCTTCTAAGCGTGTTGGGGTGATCGTCGCCGAGCTTAGCCTTACTCGTTTCAACCACTTGAAGCTGAATCTGTTTGGCTTTACCCCACCGACCCTGGTTCCGGTACGCCACCGCGAGGTTAGCCATACTCTTTAGCGTATTAGGATGATTATGGCTAAGCTTTGTCTTGCGGGTCTCTAATACTTATAAAAAGAGCTTTTCTGCCTCCTTCTATAGACCCTTAAGCGAGTATGCTGTTGCTAATATATCTATGCTATTAAGAAATTCTTTATACTCTTTACCTAACAAAGCTAACCTTTCTATTCTTGACTTTGATGCTATTTCCTTTATACCTGCGATGTCACCGCGCTGTGACGTATACTTTACGCCTTTGAGAAGTAGAGTTGCCTATTGCCGTAGAGATTCGGGTGATTTCGGTTGTTGAGATATCACTGATCGAAGGTGAGGAATAAGGAGCTGGTATTATCGTTACCGCTAGATATAAATGAATAATCCTCTAGTGTTTCGATGTTATCTTTGAAAGTGGCGCCTATGTCAGACTTAGATGTCTCTCTCCCCTTTACTAGAATCACTCTGAGAGTTCGAACGTGATATATATTTGATATTCGGTTGAGGCCGAATAAGTATCTCTGGTATTCCTTATCGATCGAAAAAGCTTATTAAAGAAAGCAACCCGGCAGCAGAAGGCTCTGTTTGCCGTATATAATCGAATGATATTTGCCACGTCACTATGATTGAATTCATTGCCTCCTAGTCCCGATGGACGTGACCTGCTTCTTTTTTAAGAAGCCTTATCGCCTCATGGTCACTTTCTTGGAAGACTTCTAGGTATTGCGATACCGAATAGCTGCGTTTTTGGATATAGCGAGTGGCCTGTATGATCGCTAGTGGCATAAACTCTAACGCTTTCACTAATTTTCGACTTTCTTGGTCTCCCCCTGGTTGTTCAAGATTTCTTTGGAGCAGCTCTAATGCCTCGAACATTTCTATTGGCTTAATTTCGATGAGGTTCTTATCGTCGACCATTTTCGCTGCAATCTCTCGACTTCGACTCGTGAAGATAATCGATCCATTCGTGTTCCTCGGAAGGTATTCTAAGAGCGGTTTTGTCAAGTTCAAGTTGAACTGGCTTCTCGTCCTAGCCGTTGGGGGTTTACACAGAAAACCATCGTCATCGGCGTTATCAATAATTAGAAGCCACTTCCCTCTCTTTTTATCCCAGAACCAGTCTTCAACCAATTTGAATATATTTGCCTGAGGATCCTGGCGCCCTGGGATTTTGACCCGGTCCGCTATGGCTCGGAACCCTTCTTCAAACCGAACCATATTACTTGCATGAACCCAGAAAACCCATGTCACAGGCGATTGCGACAGAACCTGGTAGCAGTACTCAATAGCAAGTTGCGTCTTCCTATTAGATTTTAGGAACATATCGCACAATGGCTTCTCTGTACTTACCCGACACCACCGAGGCCGACCAACGCTATCCTTAACGCCGGCACTGAGCTTTTCTCGTGAATCTAAGGAAGCAACGTGTTGCGAGTAACGAAGTCTGCATTGCGCGGGAACGGAACATCTTGTAAGGGGCTAGGAGGAGTCTCCGGCCGCTCTGGCGTTGCAAGCGATGGTTAATAAATAAAACGGCCATAACCTTATTCGGTTCTTGACTGACCTGGAGGTAAATGAAAATTCGCATCAATCCGTCCATAATTATCTCCAACCTGGATGCCATAGTTGCTGCCGAGGAATGATTTTGATCCCATGTTACAGTTCATCGCATGAACGTCTTTGAAAGGGTCTTTGTCTAACTCTTGGCTGAAAGAAAGAGGGGGCCGAAGTTTGCAGCTTATCGTCAGGTGACTCCGCCGCGTTTAGATGGGGGGAGGACGTGACAATTCTCAAGGGACGCCCAGATCGAATAGTATATTAGTTCACTATGGATAGGGCGAGCCCCTTTCGAAAACACCGAGATCAAGCGCAGTACCAGATACAGAGTAGCGAATATGTTTGACTTTATAAAATATACTCTTTCACTCTTTCAGAGTCTTTCTAGACCTAAATAAACACACTATCCTGTACCTATGTCCTGCACACCCCTGAACCGCTGACGTGTCCTTCCCCTCCCATACTGGTTTTTTTTTTCTTATAGGTGTGTTGTTTTGATGACTTCATCACGGAAGCTGTCGCTGAGCTCTTACTCGGGAAAGACATTAATCTTGAGTAGAAAGATAAGTGTAGATGGACGCCACTATCATGGGGGTTATCATTGAAGACAACTCCCTTAGCACCACACGTAAGCTTGTCGGATAAGCCATCGCCATGATCTATGGACATCAAGGCTCGAAGAGAAAGCAGTCATTCGTAGCAGGTCTTCTACTGACTCATACTGCATTTTAATAATTGACACTAAATTGCTATTCACTGCACAGATGACGTGTTCCGGCCACTCTGCAGGACAACTCATATTTGCATTCCCCCGCTTCTCCCCTACTACCTGCCTGTATTATATATAGTCAGGTCTTCTCTCACCTTTGTCTTCCATATATTTCTTAGAAAATCTCCCGAGAGTTACTTGATAGTCGGCAAAGTTAACCACTGAAACATGGGAGTAAAAAAGTGAAGCATGCCAAGTCGAATAAGGTGCCAGCACGACCCCTCACGCCAGAGATCTCTCCCATGATTGACTATCGTGGGCCTTTATCATCGTGAGTCCTTTGAATGAGTTGCAATCAGCCTTTTCTAACCTATCCATTGGCCCTACGAATTACCTCTTATTACCCTTATTATAGGGAGTAAGCATTATGGCATTCCCACTTATTTCCTTCGGGATTACCAAAGATTCGCCGCTCCATTTCTTGGATTATCAAGCATCACCATGTCTGGTGTTAGTGAGGACGCTGGGCATACCTTAGTGCACTTCTTATACACAGGCGGCTACGAGACTCTTGACGAAGACACATTAGATCTCGCCAGAGAATACAAGACCAGCGTTTTAGTATACCATGCGTCAAGGAATTGGGGCCTTACTGGTCTTGAAGTTCTTGCTCAGCAAAAGATGCAGCACTTAGATAAGGAGCTTCCTATTCTTGAAATACTGCGGGTCACGAGGGACGTGTTTTCAAGCCTCCCCGAAGGTGAAACTTGGCTTCCAGGTTACATTCAAGGAAACCTGCAGCGATTAGTAAAGCCGCATGATCCAGAGCTTGGTTTACGCGGATTTTACGATATTATCGGCCAAGACCATCGGTTTGATAATGCGGTGATGAAAATGATTTTCGAGATACTATCTATTCACATATCTTACATGGAATATCAGCACGGTAAGTCACCTCCAACAAATTAACGATACGGTAATCAGGCTGACCCGACTTTTTGCTGCATCGTTAGTGAGGACACCGAACGACATCATCTCAAATGAATCTCCTGTTCCCGAAGAGCCTGAGGCTGTCCCTGAGCCCGAGTATGCCTTCGAGCCTGAGCCTGAGCCTGTCTCCGAGCCTGAGCCTTGGCCCGAAGATCCTGAGCCTGCCCCCCGAGCCTGAGTCTGAGGCTGTCCCTGAGCCCGAGTATGACTTCGAGCCTGAGCCTGAGTCTGTCTCCGAGCCTGAGCCTTGGCCCGAAGATCCTGAGCCTGCCCCCCGAGCCTGAGCCCGAGTATGCCTTCGAGCCTGAGCCTTGGCCCGAAGATCCTGAGCCTGCCCCCGAGCCCGAGCCTGCGGCTGTCCTCAACGAGCTCCCTGATGAAGGGGATAGCGAACTTCGGACCTTTTCCCGAGTGCCTGTTGATGCTGACGGCGGGCCGTGTGCTTCTTTGTTGCCCAGAGATACGCCCAATGCCGAAATATTACAAGAGGCTCCTGTTAAGGACAACATAGCGAGGATCTCATGCTCGGACTTAAATCTGTACGAAAATTGGGGAAATTTGTCTTCAAAGAAAAGAACTAAACGGGTTAGCAAACTGAGGTCTAGAGGACTTCCTGTCCCAAGCCAGGCTGGTTTCATTTCAATAGTTGCAAATTGAGAGTGGTTTGGAGCAGCTTCAGCCGGGCAATCAAACCATTTACTTCCTGTTCATAGATTCGTCAAGTGTCAAAAAGATATATATTAATCTACAAGTATTGAGGTAGTCCTTGGGCTTGGAGCAAATTGGGGGGTTCTCTCTCTAGTTTAAAGGAGGACAAGAACTACCATGAGCGGCTTCTACTAATTGGACTACCCTCTTATAAGTTTGGAGTTGCGCGGTTTCCTCAGCAAGTGAATATTCAGACCAATTAAAATTTTGACTTGATGTATTTTGTCGGCCTTTTACCGCGGGTACTAGATAGGGGAGGAATGAGTTTATTAGCAGATAGTATATTTTCCCGTTTAGCTATAGTTATATAGTTCTTATATCTAATGTGATTATAGTGTTAAGCTTAAGCTCTAGATCGCTGATATAGTGAATATATTAAGCGGCACTATTTTATCAATTCTTCCTACCTATCTTATACTACGGTATATATGGACTCGGAAATCTAGTTTCCATCAAGACATATATATCTTAGTAGCTATACAAAACCCCCAAGGGTCGAACCTCGTAAGGTCTAAGTGGTTCAGGTGACTTGTGATCTAACAATACCACAGTCCGTGTCAACTGATAGGACTAACGCAGTCGGTCGTGACCGATCCAGGGCGATATTGACCCTCATTCTCACTCTATGTACAATACACAGCAATGGAACTCAGGAATACTTCAGCGGTCATTTTTTTAAGGACAAAACTGGGAGTAATTTTACTTGTGCTTTTTATCATCTGCCCCAACCATGGTAGAAGTAACTCCGGCAAATACTGACTGGGAAGCCCATGTTACAGGCCAGGCAAAATTTGCGTCAATATCCTGATGATCCCCACCTGATACAAGTTGATCAATAACCGCAATAAAAGTATAGGCACAGATACCGGTGAAGAGGTGCCACCTGTATATTGAATCAGTCTCTCGGCCTACGAAAATCAATCGTAGAAGTACAGATACTTGGTACAACTTACCATCCGTGAAGTTCTAGCAGCCATGCCCAAGGAAGCCCAATTGCCGCTCGTGCACTTGTAAGCCATCCACAGGCCCAGCTATCCACAAGCCAGACAATATATCCAAGATGAAAGATGCCTTGATCTGGAATTAGTTTGGATGCCCATAAAGAAGTATCAAATACTAATAAATTGACTTACCAGCCCCAAATACAACCATGCCCCAAATCTGTCGCCGAGCTGTTGAATTCTCAGTGGTGCGTTGTTTGAGTAGCTGAACAGTCCGAACACCGATGATATTGATGCTGCTAACAAAGAACGTAGCGTGAATAATTAATTCATCTGTTGTGACGTGGTAAATTATAATTAGCGAGAGAGCTATGTAAATAACTGCACCCGCGACAAATGAGTCTTTGCGATTGGCATTTACTGTCAAGACTCTGTGCAGCAGTGGGGTGGTTGTGAAAAGCATAGATAGGTCATCCAGCATCAGAGTGTGGTATTGTAGACTAATGTGGAAGATTGCAGAGCAAAGGCCGACTGCCATCAAGCCACAGTAAGGGAGGGCGCGAGAGAAACCAATACTGCGGGCCTGCTGTAATCGGCGTAGGCCGTAAATCGCATAGAAGACTAAATGGCTGTGTTAGAGCTCACCCACTTTCCTAAGATCCCTTTACGTACCATAACATAGGTTGGTTAAACTGTTGATGAATTCCGCGACATATCTTGTCACAACATAATCCTAAAAATGAAAAAAAAGAACGAAAAAAAAAAAAACGTTCAAAGTCAGCTGCATGAATCATACGAGTCGAAATGGGGCTGCTACCTGCTCGCAAAAGCTAGTCCATGTTAGCTGACGACCTATACGAGATGTAAGGTAACTGACTTGGCTTTAGAGCTTGGTGGGCCCCAAAAGGCATCGGTAGGGGTGTTGATTTGCATTATGGTTTCGCTGTGTGAGAAATTGAAAATATAGCTAGAGGCACGAAGAAATAGGTGAGAACGGATAAAAAGAGACCCACAGCAGATGCGTTGTGAAAGAAAGATCAGGCAACAGAATATGGAAGCTGACAAAGTAGATAGTAAATAAGCAAGGTAATTATCGGCGGATGGGGGCTGGATGTTTTGGTTGATGTTATCGTGGCGGATATGACAACTCTGATGAAACGGGAATTCTACATTGGCTTGCTAAATCTGCCCGTGGCTCTTGGCTCCATGTTAGGCCCAGTAATCAGTGGCCTATTCACGACATATGTTAGTTGGAGGTGGGTGGTATGGATCAATTTGATTTATAATAAACAAAGTTCCAGTAACGAGACATGCCTTCTAGTAATACCCTACAATTCGAATAGCAGATCTTCCAGATCGAGATCTTCTTATCGAACAATTACCGTGGGTGTATGATCATTATTCATGGAGTACTGTCCCAAGCTAGTCGACTTACTATTGTAGGATTACTACTAAGTGTGGGAGAAAGCAGAGGAAGGATCATTATCTATTGAAACTAGAAATCCAGGGGTTATATACCCTGGGAAAAACTATCTGAATAAAGGCTCAGTTTGCAGTAAACAAGCAATCAAGCAAACATACTTGGGATGATACTCCAACACTTACCTTTGATTTTTGTCTGCTAAAGGTTGAGCGAGTTAGATACGTAGATAATAATGGTTAAACGGAAATATTTGCTCTTATTGGCAAGATTATTACTTCCTAGAGCTCCTTATATAGGATATTTTGCGAATCCTCACTGTTGTATGTTTTTGTTCACCCGTTCATTTTTTTGTCCGGGAAAGTCCCCTTGCCGCCCTAATCTTCTGTGCGAACTAGACCTCCGCCGAGCCCACAAAGCCCAAAGCCCGGGTTGGCCCGGGCGAAACCCGCAAATGGGTTGGGTTTTGGGCCTGAGGTGGAAGCCCACTGCGGGGTAATGGGCCCCAACCAGTACAAACATGCCGAGAATTTGGATGTCAAGTGAAGTTGAACCCCCTTTTAGGGGGTTTGAAATTACTCTTCGTTTTACCCCCGTTTCTAAGCCTTATCCCAAAGGTAATATTTTATTAGTTTAAACAATTTAGAATAAATTACTAGTTATCTCTGTATGTCACGTCTAAAAACGTAAAAAAAACACGTTATTTAGAAATTTTAAACTTTATACGACCGGTGGAAGGTCGCAATACAGCGATTATAGAGGCCGATTTATCAGCGCTGAGATGGGCTTTGCGGAAGTCTATATAATCATAGGGAGGTCACGGAGAGCGAACACGATGAGTAAATACGGGTTTGCGTTTGAGGGGTATACATTCAGTTTTTATAAGGATATAATTTTGGACTAATCCGTTAATCCTCACAGTGATTTCCAACTAGCTCCGAGTGTTACCGCATATATCTAGCTCAGTCTTCTACCAAAGACTTCAGATAACATGACGGTGTCCGGTTGGATTCGCAACTCACATGACCCACGAGAGGTAGGCCTGCCACTCTTTATCCAACAAATTGTGCACAGTGATGAGGACTCGTTCACTCCAACTCTGCATAAACCATTCCATCTTTAATTGGCGGATTAGCAGACAGTAGTGGGCGAGGATCAGGAGTGCCATGGGATGCCTGGCATCCAAGAGGCTGTGATATTGCGGGGACATGTAAAGAACCCAACGTAGCGATATTATCCATTCACTAGGTTGGTTGGTCACCAGGTAACTGCTGATGTGCAGCTCACAGATGGTTTGTGAGTAAATCTGTTGTTCCTTTGCACTAACGGTTATCTTCAAGTTCAGGTTCTCAATGAACTGCAATGCCGGTGACATCTCCGACGCTATTGACTTTGGACCTAAGGAATGTATGGCGTCCTGGATTAAACTGTAGACTCTGGACCCCTGGAGTTCCGGTAGGCGTAACATGCACAGGGATTTTGGATTAAGGAAAATCGCTGTAGCAGTTTGTCAATCGGATCCCCGTCAGCGTAGTGAGGCTCACAGGACGGGTTCATAAACCCGAGCTCGATGACGACCAATAAACTCATGAAACTAAGCACGGCGTCTCGATTTTCCTCATCAAGTGTATGGACTCGTTCGCGAAAGAGGGTGATAGCTTTATGGTAGAGTACCATGGACAGACGTTGGTACTTGCAGCGATTTTCGGAGCGAACCGAAGCTAGGTGCAAGGCAGAAAAGCATTGAAGTGTATGCAGGACATATTGACTAGACTGGGCGGATGATGGGAATATCCTGCGCCAGAAGTCATATCGTCCCCAAACAGGCATGGCTGGCCAAGGTGTGCCGATGTAGTAGTAGCGCAAGAGTTCAATCTCGTGATGCTGCGGGTCTTGAACAGTCAGGTATATACTATCCAATGACGTTACCGCCATCTCACAGTTAGGTATCAACTGAGGGTTGGTGGATAATGAAAAGGAATCGCGGAAATCATCCCTCAAGGATAATTTGACCTTTCCTATGGGCGTCTGTGAACGTGGACTGCTCTTTTTGGGCCCTGGAGATCTGGCAGACCGAGGGTCAAATATGAAAGCAATATTGGAGTCTCGAGGACTGGCTGGAAGATAGCCATTGACAGAGAACTTAGTGACAGAGTAATCTTCATAACCACACTGGATACCCCACATGTAGCAGTTTCCGCAGCGTGGAGGTCTTTGATCGCACTAGGCCAGCATCATTAACATCATTGAAGGCCTGAAAGGATACAAAGCAGGGATGTTCTTTGAACATTACCTTTTTCTTCCTCTCCTTACACTGTAAACAGCCATTCCGCGATTTAGTGTGCGCTTTACGTGAACCACTCATCTTCTATAACTTGTTGTTATGCAGTATAAGGAATGAGGAATGAAAAATCTCAGAAGTGAGCTTCCTCCTTTTTTACCATTTTTTCCCCAAGGAATAAATTTCACAGCCTGATGCCAAGCCGCTAGGGACTCGGGAGGATCATGGCCATCGACTAGAATCAGTAGAGCAATTAATAGGCCAGGAAGGAAATAATCGGACATCCACAGATTTGCACTGGATAAGAGTCGGAACCGGAGCCAGAATCAAGTGGTTCCGATAAAATAATTGACTAAAGGATGTCAATCAGATCCAAGAACGCCAACCGGATTGCAGGGAAACCGACAGTGCGGGAGGCTATGTTGCCAGATAGTGCTGCGATTCGCCCGGTGGGGCAACGAATTCCCTCTTTCCGGTCACCCTTAGGTAGAATGGTGGGCTCTTGACTGTCGCGCCTAAGATAACTCTGTGCTCGTCGCAGAGCCATCCATGTTCATAGGCCGTCTCCTTTAGCACCTTTCCACTAAATACTTGAATAGAATATTCTCATGACCGAATTTTGGATGTTTTCAAAGTTTCGTATAACAGACTTTATAATTATGTTATAGTTAAGAAGTGTTGTAACCTTCGTCCTGCAGCCAGACAGGCAAGTAGTTGCTATTTAGGCCTTCCTGGACGAACTTAGGGTATCCACCTATGATGGCAAGGGTTAGAATCCGTCATTTAATAACTCCCCCGGCCTCTGCCCACGGAATCCACAGCTCTAAGGTGGGCTAGTCCATCCTTGAGAACTTACCGTAGGGTAGAAATATATCGGTAACATTGGTGTTGTGCGCTAGTTTGCCTGTTAAGATGCTGACACGAGCAGGACAACAGATGGCAGTGGTGCTATTGCGACTTAATCAGTATCGCAATATCGCAGTAACTCGTCGGCAAACATACCAGTAGTGGAGTTGATACGTAGACCCTTTATCAGCGATATACTTCTTGAAGAGAGGCATGTATTCCATTGATTTCATGTGGATATCCTGATCATCAGTCAAAATGAAGACAATGTTTGGCCTAGTCCTCTGGCTGGCAGCCAGTACGGTAAGCAGGGCGCATAGGAGGGAATAACGAAAGATCATGCTGGGCTGCAAACTTGAAAGTATTTCTGTTCGCTGTTGAAGAACACCTGGTCAAGATCGGTGGTATCATCGCGGTTCTTATAACTTGGGGGAAATAGCCAAGACATATTCGTCATTGTATGGCTCTTCATTTGTGATTGAGAGCTGCGGAGGCTGTAGGAGGGCGCACTCATCGGAAACTACGTAAGACCATGAAGACTTGTCGGATTTTGGCTATCCATACTCCGTATACCTCCGTACTCATTTACGGTCGTCAGGAGAACTAACTTGGTGTATGAGATATGACTGAATATAGCCTAGTGTACGCTTAGTGTCCACACCTTGAACAATTCTATTTCGTCCGGATGCAGATGTTGCCGTTTACCGCGCAACTCAGCCCCTTTGAGAAGAGATAGTTGTTGTTATTATTACATTTTATAAGGTTGAGCATAACTCAACAAATGATATAGTAGTCCGTATACGTAGCGGCCGTTACATTATCATTGTCCGGATTGCCGGAGCACTGGAGCTCCGGATCGAAGTTATGCCGGGCTGAAGACCTGAAGCAAGATGCCGGTGATCGGTGGCGTTTGTGCTGCGCTACATATCACTAAGTATAAAAGAGCAGCAATTTCCTCAGAGATATCTGTTCAATACTCTATATCCAGCGTACTTATTTGTATCTCCATTACCAACCTAGCGAACTCATTGCTACGTCCACCAATTCGAACTACCAACCCCCAGCAGATAGCAATGGGCTATCCAGGTCCTAATAACAAGGGCTGGAAGTACTGGCCCTCGGTGCCAGTTTCTGCCGTCACAACAGCAATCTTCTGATACACATATACCTTTTGAGCCGTACGCGGCTATGGTTCTGCCTTCCATTCGTCGTCGGAGGCATCAGTATGTTTATTCTCCAATCCCAGCTCCCTAAATTCCCCATAATAACACGTCTTGTCTAGCTGAGATCTTTGGATATAGCGTTCGGATCATCGGGCATGACAATATCACGTCGAAGGGACCGTATATCGCCTCACTCCTCTTGACCTTGTTGTCACCCATCTGCTTTGCTGCGTCCATCTATATGATCCTGGGTTGCGTTATCCGCGCCACTGGTGGGGAGAAGTACTCACTGGTCTCTGTCCGCTGGATTACCAAGATCTTCCAAGCTGGTGATTTGGCGAGTCTGGCCCTGCAGGGGGCGGGTGGGACGATTATCTCGCGTGCTGACACCAAGTCAAAAGAGTCGAATGGCAAGGTAATCGTTCTTATTGGCCTTGCCGTGCAGTTGGTCTTCTTTGGCTTCTTCGTCATCGCCGCCCTGATTTTCCACGTGCGTATGCTCCGTAACCGCCCCAAAGGCACCGAATCTGCTATTTCCTGGCGTCAAATCATCTGGTTGTGCTACCTGACCAGTGCCCTGATCACCCTTCGAAACATCTTCCGTGTCGTCGAATTCGCCATGGGTACTCAAGATTACTTGTGGCAGAATGAATGGCCGCTATATACATTCGACGCCATTCCCATGGCTCTGACCATGCTCGTGTGCGTGAAGTTCTATGACCGCCAAATTCAGCCCCAAAAGTACACCACGGCCAACCCGATCCGCTTAACTGAGCAGTCTCTTACCTCCTAGAGACGCCAGTTGCTTGATTTAGTTGTGTCATTCTCCGGATTTTCCTTTGTGGGGGCTTCGATCTCCACCTGTTTCGTTTTATATGGCGTATATGGCCTCTTGGATGTATTTATTCGGGGGTGAGGAATATTCAGGTGGGTGAATATTCGCCCTAAATAGAGCGGCGAGCCGCCCATGCCCAAAGCGTGGGCGCTTGGTGACCACGACCCTACACATGCTGTTGTATGTTTTTGTTTTTGGGCCATCTGTTTGATGTGTTTGTTTTGTTGTCTTTGAGTAACCATTCTGGACTTTTGGACGTTACTAAGTAGGAAGATACCTCAATGAGTCGGCAGGTTCTAGCAATCACCCCAACCACCGATATAATTCAGTCACTGTTTTGCCGCCTCCTCTTATTTGGTTTATATAATTGAAATAGGCGAAAAAGAGGCTTAAAGAGACCCTTGAACAATGATTTTTCTAGATATGACCTTGCTACCGTTTTCTAACACACATTGCTCAGAGTACCAATTCTGGTGTATGGTCCCTTGGCTACCCCGTGCCCCGGGCTCGCTCCACCATGTTTAATGAAAGGCATGTGCGGGTAACGTCATTGAGTCCGGTGTGGCTATAAAAGCTCAATTACTCGGCGTCCTGGCCCTAGGTCCACACTAAACCATCTTTGTGTAAGATTTGTGACTCCGCCTCGTTTGATGATTGAATTTCATTCGTTCATATTATTCCAAGACCAACAGGAACAGGGTTTACACTAGTCGAAATACCAGCGGAGTAAGATAACCGAACTGACTGTACGGAGTACTTTTGGGAGAGAAATCAAGATGACTCTTATGTGACCAATCAATAATGTGATATGAATGCTGTTCTAATAACCGGTGTATTCCGCTAGCCTGAGATAGAGCCTGGATTGAAAATCATATAAAACTAGTCTCGTCCATATATTAGGACTTCGTTATTCTGGTCGCGTTAATTGTCCTCCACGCCAGACCGACTCCAGGCTATTCAATTTTTCGGTTCTACACCTTAGCCAAAATGCGCCTTACTGCTGGTATTGTTGTGCTCGCCGCTGGTGCCATCGCTAGAGCCCAGCTATCCAATATCCCCCAATGCTCTGTATGCCCTATCCGCTCAATATCCCTGCTTAATGTCTCGTCCCTAGCTAACCTGTGCTTGTTCCTTATTTCTCTTCCAGCTTACTTGTTTTACCTCGACCCTTGGCGGAGACGGCTGCTCTGACCTTACGGATTTCGCGTGCCATTGCCAAAAGCCTGGCCTCGCAGCGGAGATCGTGCCTTGCGTCAATAAAGCCTGTGATGTCGCGGACCGACAAGGTATGAGAAGCCACATTCCCTTTCTATGACTCGATCTAAACTAGGTCCTATAGCCGTATCCAGCCTCGTTGAATCCTTGTGTTCCGGTGTAGGCCATCCGGTCTCAATCCCTGCGATGGATACATCCGCTCCCACAACAACTTCCGCAAGAGTTATTCCAACTACAGCGACGAGCTCCAATTCTACCACGGTCAGTGGTTTCGGGACAGGTTTCGGGACAGGCTTCAAGACTTCGTCCACGATCAGCCCAGCTTCGGCCCAGAGCACCTCACAGTTCAATGGTGCCTCTAGTATTGCGCCCGGAGCCGTTCAGATGGTTGGTAGTGTTATCATGTTAGCCAGCATGATCCTCTTTGTTTGATGGTTGTGCGGAGAGACGACAGAATGGCTTTTTGGCCGCTGTCTACTATACTTAATTCCGCGCTAGTACCTCCGTCTATTTTTATTGCCTCTACTCAGCCTTCTCAAGTTACACTCATTTTAATAGCTCTGTTGTTCCACGATAGAGTGTTCGAACTTTGAGTGGTGCGAGTTTGAATTCCAAGGCTCATTTATTTACTAGATATATTCATGGTCTCCAGGTTTCGGGAGACTATATAAAAAAATATCAAACAGGTGGGCCTGTCATGTACATCAATACACCATCATACAAGCATTCCGGTATGCCCGCCCCCTACAACCGAGTACGGTGGAAATTGGATGTAACGTCGGCAGCAGCAAACTAGAAAAAAAGGACGGAAAAGGAAGGAAAAGGGAAATAAGTCCTTCGTCCGATTAGTGTCGTGCGCGGAGAAACAACTTGAACGCGATTCTATCCCTGCTGACAGCTGATTTCCCAAGAGGACCAATCTAGCAAGACGCGACGAATCAGGTTCTTCCAAATGCTTGCCTAGTCGAAATAAGATCGAACAGAGGGCGTTCTGGCCCTGAGGTTTAAAACTCAATTGGCCCACCCTCGAACCCCGCAAACCCTAATCAATTAGAGTTTCTGGCATATGCTAAAAACTTATCGGATACGCGGGGGATACGTGGGGGATACGTTAAGGTCCGGGGATTTGATGACTTTGAGAACCTCGGTCAATGAATGTCTTAGAATTAGCAAAACATGTGAAAATATGAACAGATTCTTGGCTGAGACAAAGTACGCTAGTCAACGCCAACATAGCCACCACCGACCAAGATTTAATAGGACCCTGGAAGGGAGGCTTGTTTTGATCTCCGTGTAATCTGGAGTATTTACAGTACCATACACATGTAAATTATATTCTTCCCCCGAACGCGCCTGTGTACTGCGCATCTTAGAAGTGGTGTCTACCTTTAGGCCCATTGAGAACGAAAGATGCAAGCATAAATGTTATACAATATTAGGGAACTAGATCAAAATCCTGCGCACATACTTAGCTCTGTCAGAAGATCCCCCGCCGTGACGTCGATACCGCCAGTGTCCGAATCCTCCCTGCCAAAGGCTAAGAACAGTGTGTCATCAATGAACCCATGGTACTTTTGGCCATGGCTTTTCCAACTGATGCTGGTCATGTAGAGCATCTCGGAGGTATCTTCCGGCAACCCCGTCGAATAAGCATCATCTGACTTCCCTGCTCTAATGCTGCGACCAAAGATCCAGATTGGTTTTGACGAGACCGCATAAATCCCGAATGGCATCGAACGCCGCATCAGCACCACATAAGGCTCATATACGGGATGAAGACCTTGTAATGTCTTCTGTTGGATGATGAAGAGCACAAATGTATTGGTCGCATCAGGTTGGCAAAATTGGTCAGATCGTGCACACAAAGTGATAGCTAGCGAGTTTGTCGCTTGATGAATCTTCCCTGTCTCAGGCAAGAATCTCTTGAGACATTCTTGGTCAGGACCAGATGTCATCAGCGCCAAGTTTGGTCCCACAGAGCCATCAAGCTCGAGTTTAGAAAACACACGCGCCGGTGCAATTTCATGGTGTAGGAACATTTGTCCTAAATCATCCCAGAACAGAAACCAATTCTTCTCCACAGTATTCCATGGGATTGGACGTTGCAGCTCACGATACTGTCGGAATTCATGCTCATTTATGGTGTCTATCCCCCAATCCACTAAGATTCGGAAGTCGGATATCCATTGTCCGAAGCATGTAAAGAACGAATTGGAGCCGTAAATGGTGTATGGAATCTCCGGCCCGTAGAACACCCTTGCATCATGGGGCCCAACGTTGAGATTAAAGTATGAAAGGTCTCCGAGACACTTGCTGGATTCACCAAAGGTCGCTGGGATGGGTAATTGCAGCGGTGGCTCCAGACAGCTCAAGACTCGCTTGTCGTCCAAAAATGCGGCATTGCAGACAAGTTCGGCGAACCAGACTGAGGCAGTTGGAGCGGACTGAGGCTTGTAAAGTTGCGCAGTGATGATCCACGTGTCAAGCAGCTCAGGATGGGGGATTATACTGGGATTTATGGCGGATCTTTTTCCGAACTCGATCTGAAAATACATTCGATCGGGAGTTGATGCCGAATATATTATGTGGTGTGTTTGAGACATGTCTTTGTCGAATGCAGGATATCTTCGGTCCTCGTCCGTAAATTGTCCATCCCGACAGTGGGACAAAGTTTCGCTGCCACGAACGCCTGAACAAGCTATGTCGGATTGTCCGGCATCGATGTCTGATTGCTTATATAAACCACCAGAAGAAAAGCCTGTAAACAAAAATGTCGATTGCAAGCCGAGATGGTTGGATTGAAATTTGGCGAGGAGGATCACCGCGGACAATAGCCCTGCAATAAGTATCAAGTGTGTGGCTATTCTTTTGGCCATGTTCAGTTTGGCGAGTGTAGACGGGACATAATAGTAGGAGATTATAAGTTATACGTCTTATTTTAGAGAACGCCTTGCCAAGGTTGTTGGCCCTGACTAAAAAGGGGGCACTGCATTGAGGGGTGATTCGATCGCCCACAACCCTTAACAATCCATACCATAATTATGAAACATCTCAGTGTCCCGGAAATCTTTGCAAAACTGTAGAAAAACTACCTCCTGTCGAGAATTTTCAATATTGCAAATGGTAGTGCCAAATCTAAGGGGAATCTCGCGAATACCATTACAAGGAATTTTATCATCCACTGGTATCCGGGGTACGGGCTAGTCGTGACTTTCGTTCCCAGTTACAAGAGTGTTATTATATGGCAATTTACGATTTAGAAGAACGCCTTTTATTAGATACTCAAATCAAACTAGGCAGATCATGGATACATGCGGAGGGTTGTCAGGAGTTGTCAGCCAGCGCCCTTTGATAGATCCACTGGGAGAACTTCACTGCCGGCTCATCAACTAGCCTAGTCGTGACCTCTGCCAGCCAGATAGTAAAGGGCAACAGAACCAGATTCGCGGCGAGGAAGTTGACTTCAAGCCCAAGAGGACCAACGTTAGGCAAGGGGAGGCGATTAATCCACCAGGGACAATTCTGATCGTGTGAATCGCGCACCAAACCAACTGCAGCATAGAGCCTGTCCCCCAGAGTCCACAGAACCGGTCCGTGAACCAGATAAAACGCAAACGAAATACGGCCCAAGTATAGGTTGAATGGAGTGGTAAAGAATGTCTTGAGCCACTGAAGGTGAGATGTGCATACGACGAGAAAGACAGCAGCCCAGAACAGGTAGAACCACTTGTAATCGAACACTGCCTGTGGCTTTAGGAAAGATAAGAGGTACCACCCTGATGAGTCACGTAATTGTTGCAAATTGTCCGTATGTGACGGGACACCTCCAAGATAAAGGCTTGCATAGAAGAGAACAGTCATGATGACTGTTTTGAAGGGAACTAGTCCGGTAAAGAAGCGGGGCAAGTCATTTCGTATAGCGAGGAGGTCGAGATCTTTTAGAAGCATGCCAGCAATAAACATAGCATAGTGTGATCCATCCGCAATGTACAAAAAGTACACAACCAACGCGACTTCGCTTACAAGCCGGGCATTGCGACGAAATCTTGAAAAGGCGAGAACGGCCGTGTAGACAGCTAGAGAACCTCGGTGTTCGACGGGTATAGACCAAACATGGAAATTGTATGTGAACCAGGGCTCGCCGCCTGTTCGGAGAGGGAAACTGAAATTCTTGAACTCGGCGTACCAATTCCAGAGCTCCGCACGGTAGCTTCCTTGAACCTCTGGGACAGTGGCGAACTTGAACAAGTGCAAAAATGTAACGTAGCATAATGTGGTGCAAATGACAGGAATATATAGACGAAACCATCGGCGAAATACGGCTGAGGAAAGGGATTTACCTAGCCCAACGTAATCGCCATCCTGGATCATTACCAGTGGCCTCATTGAAAGAACGTACCCAGAGAGCACGAAAAAGACGCTGACGGCAAAATGTCCTCCCGAAAACAATGTTCGAATACCAGGAAGGCATGCGAAATAGTACTTATTGTCGTAACCGTAGGCCAACTCGAAGGTATTTCCCAGCCCTCCGCCATCGTGGGCCCAAATTTGATGATGTCCCCAGTAGACTAATAGAGCAGCAAAACCTCGCAATCCATCTAGGTATGCGGTGGGTCTGCTGATTAGCCGTTGCTTTTCATTCGTGTTGCTGTCGTTGTTTGTCCGCCCAGTAAGGAATGTGGGTAGGAAGGGAATCATGGAAGAGGAGATTGACATCCCATGTCTAGAGCGTGTCATATGGGCAGGCTGTGGTTTCCACTGCCCATTCTCGAGGGCTCGCTCCGGCCTTGATTGCAACAATTGAGGCGAAGACTTCTCGATTGAGGGGTGTAGCATAGACATCGGGCGAGTGGATTGAAGTTAAGAAGTGGATTGAACTTAAGAGAGTCATTTGAAATTTTGAAAAAAAGAAAAGATCAATAGAAATCCGAATTTCACTTGAGAATTACACAGCTGTCAGTACAGCTCTGTAACATGTGAATCTGAAACTAGTGGATATAGTGAGTAGTCCTTAAGGCCCAGTGTCTGGTCATGCCGAGGCCCATAAAAGCCTACGGGTAGATTTCCCCTCATTCTCCCCCACAAGTTAGGGTCTGAGACTCCATGCAGCCACGATCTCACCCCTGCATTGTCACAAGCATTTGAGGTCGAATGTGAGTACAAAAGTCCCAATGGCGTTTTGAACGAAATCCATAACTGCGTCCACCTGGTCTCTACTATTGGCCCCACTGCCCCGAATGCAATCAGTTAAGCTTCAACCCTCGACCATTTCCATGCTAGCGACAGGTACTATTTATTGCCTTGGCGAGTGTAACGAATTAATACCACATGTTAATTACCATGACATGTATTGCTGTATGTAATATACCTATCTGTGTCATCAGTGAAATATGGCCCGGCCTTCCCGTACTAACAATATTCCTTGTTTCTCGACTTCGATTCTTGTCCCACACAGGAGGTCATTGAATTAAATCACATCACAGATCCAGTCATGCTGGAGAAGAACCTCGCGTTGCCTAGTATCTTTCCGAAGAAGGCACGCAGATTCACACATGGTGGCCTAGTGGCTTTGTGTCTGTTCGTCTACTTTTGTGTCACCAGAACATCGCACGGCTTTATCAAGAATCAATCATACTCTACTCAGCTGACCAGCAATATTGGTGGACAATTCCCCAGGAAAATCTGGCAGATCTGGAAAGTGAATCCATTGGAATTTGACGGGCGTGATATCGAAGTAGCGCGCAGCTGGATCTCTAAAAACCCGGGCTATAGGTACGAGGTTTTGACCGACCAGAATGACCTTGACTATGTCGAAGCCAACTTCGGGCCCCTTGGGATGAATCGACCAGATATCGTTAAAACATACCGATCTTTAACAGCTCCGATCATCAAAGCCGACTTACTTCGATATCTTGTTCTGTACATAGAGGGAGGTGTCTATGCTGATATAGACGTGGAGGCATTAAGACCAGTTGAGCGATTCATCCCAAACAGCCACGATGAGAGCAATATCAACATGGTTATTGGCGTCGAAATCGATGAGCCACACTTCCGCGATCATCCTATACTAGGTCAAAAATCTCAATCCTTCTGTCAATGGACATTCATGTGCAAGCCTCGACAGCCCGTGATGATGCGACTAGTAGAGAATATTCTCGAATGGCTCAATCAACTCTCCATCGAGCAAGGAAGGCCAATCTCAGAGCTTCAGCTGGACTTCGATGATGTGATCACAGGCACCGGGCCTTCTGCCTTTACAAGCGCAATACTATCTGAAATGAGCCGTGCAACGGGCAAGCATATTACATGGAGTATGTTTCATGACATACCGGAGTCCAAACTTGTCGGGGGTTTCTGGTTCTCACGGTGGAAGCGTTCGCCGCTGGGCAAGGTCATTCGGACTCGGGCACTCATAATTCGCGCACAGCGTTGGTCAAGCACCATTACCATGCATCTGCGTGGCCAGACCGTCACCCACGATTCTATCACCCGATCTTTGGACAGGTCGAGAGGTGCAATTGGAATGTGGACTGTGTGAGGAAGTGGGACGAAGAAACGAGTGCTTTTGCTGCCCTGCCTCAGGAAGAGCAGGAACGGCAGATCACCACATTTCAGGCAATAGGGGAAGCACTAAGAAATATGCAACCAACCCCTTACTAGGGAATGTTTTGAATTCTTGCAATTTTCTTTCCGGCAATGTGATGAGGTGTGCTAGGCACACGCCCTCCCATAACCTCGATAGAGCAAAGGCAAGCTCAGTCCCCCAGCATCACTTGGTTATTTGAACAGCTGCAAGCCCCGGCAGAGGCTTCATGCAAAGAATAAACGAAAATTGCGTAGCCTACAGAGACAGGGTCTGAGCATTGAACAAATTCGGCCTCATTTTCGCGGATATTGAGATGGCGTTACTGCGACAGGCTTGGACGGAGTGGAATATTTCTCAGAGATGCACCCGAGACCAGAGCTCGGTCCCATTTAAAGGGCAACTGAACCTTTCTTTTTCAAATGAATAATATTTCACATGTGCTTGATTATTATTTCTCTGCACAAAATTTGCTATTCAGCCGCGTAGGCCACTATCCCAAATTCCCAATCACCTACCAACACTCGACCCTCGGCATTCTATAATATAATTCCTTCCAACACGTAACCTGACACTGCTCAACCTGCCCCGTTCCCACTCGTTCGGGTCTTTCCTCTCTTCAATCACTCAATCAATATTTCTTTGCCAATACAGATTTAGCTCGCTTTGACATAATAATTCTCTCCCATTAGTTATGTGTATGGAAGTTCTGCCGGACCTTGTCCGGTGATAGTCACATGATATGACTCCGCCTCGGGATCCCGACCGTCTTGGTCCACATATGACCCACATAAGAGCCTCAGTCCCACCCTCTACTTTAGGCTTCGATCCACCTTCCAATCGACTCTCTCCCACCCCCATACCCACAGCACCCATCCAACGCTGGAATGACCTCCTCGTTGCCCTGGTTCCGCAAGGGCACCGACCCTGGAACTATTATCACCCTTGATGACCGCTCTCTTCCTGGTGGGAAATTCTTGAGAAGCTGAATGAGTATGACGGTCAGGTATGACCCCTCTCGTCCCATTACAGGATCCTCGAGAATCTAAACGAGCATAACTAGTAGGCTACCGTGGAACAAAATAAGACATATGGCTTCCATTCGTTCGCCTCGGCTAAATTCCTATGTTGTGACCCTCAACAACATGCAACGAAAGCCTTTACGCGAGTCTACATTCAGGTTCCCCATCTAATAACCGAAATGGATGATGCGGATATTAGAAGCCAACAAGCCACGTCATGTACCCCACACGAATTACCTTCCCTGCTCGATCCAACTAAAAAGGGCTCAAATATCACACCAAAGCTCCTCGGATACAAAACCGGTACTCAGAATCCTTCAGGGCTAGTTACGGGTGGGTTCGTCATATGGCTTGCTTGGGAAATTGTTCCAGGGCTACGCCTTGGCGATACTGACGGCGCTGGTCCATTTTGGGATCTTGAAAGCTATGAAAGAGAGCAAGTCCGTGTATCCTTTCTTAACGCTCTTGCGTAAGTTCGATATTCCTTCTCTCTATCACTGACTCTAATTATTATCAATGTTCTAGTAAGCTGAAGGAGCACGGGTGGTACCCGAGCGTGAGCAGGGCAAGAAGTCTGGTTTGGCACCGAGAGACTCAAACCCTGTATGCGAACCACGTTATCTTAGCTTCCTTACTGACTGATTCAATATAGCTACTTCATCGGTGGCTTTAATGAGGCCATGAAGGGTGAACCCAGACGTTTGGCTGAGCCCGCCCAACGGATCGCGACATTTGAGCTTGCTTTACCTGACGTTCCAGTCAGATGGAGAGACTGGGATAAGGATACTTCACGCTGGAAATGGTAGCTAAGGAAGAAGTAGAATGTTCCGTCCAGCCTCACATTGTTCTTTGATTTGCCATGCTAGGAAACAATACAATCCTATAACTGATAGACGTGGCGAAGAAGATGGTCCCGTCTTAGGCGTTACGCGTCCAAACTTGGTTCCGCATGCCCGTGCTTGTGTTAAAAGCTGAGTCTGCGAGGGCTAGCAATCCAACATGATAAAGGCTCTGACAAAATGACACTGTTCCACCCGATGTGCTTCCTCTGTTGTAATGGTAAATCACTGGAGAATACTCCAATCCCCATTCTCGACCGACATCTACCTTTCGTAGGAAGATTGTTTGCTCGTACGTGGTTAAGAATCCATATTTCAGACGTGTCTCAAGCATATATCGCGCAATTTGACCTATAGGTATATATTAATAAGAATGTCTTGCTATTAATAGCTTATAATACTAACCTAGTGCGTGCCTTAAGCTTTCCGTGTCGCTATTCTCAAATTCATCAACTAGGTTCTCGAGACAGTGTTTTGCCATGCAGGGAACCTTGGCTTCTCCTACGACCTTCGCATCATGGACCGAGGTCTTAAGCACAAAATCAGGGGCTTTGAGGCATCCGTGATACGGCGGCTGAGCAGCCTTAAAGGATCCGAGCCTGAGATCCTGATTCCGAGCCCCAAAGATAGCCCCTAGAACTGTTCCCGCTTGTCCTTCCAGTCGAACTTGTATACCGCGCTCGCCAGACACGAAAACTTGCTCTTCATGGACTGAGTCGGTGAGATAATTGCCCGTTAAGCTGGAAGCTAAAGCCCTCGAGCTCTAGGTCTGGCCGTTGTATGTGTTCGCAACGTCTGCCTCAAAGTTTGCCCATGGTTGTAGGGATCCAACGAAGTGTGTAACGCGTGTCTGGTTGTACGGCGAGATGAAATATCAAGATCAGGGAGGGGTTCGGGCAAGAGGCTGGTCGCACTGTATGAGACTGAGGTTGCCATAGCATTTTTGCCGGTGGGGTAGCTTGTTGAATAATAGGAACTGTGGTCTTGTTGTGAAAGCCCAACTGGGGGGTTGTTGAAGAGGAAGGGTCTGGAACTTGATTTTGTCTGGTCGTACCACGGGAGACTAAGTATGCCACCGGCACATAACTCTTTCATCGGTTCATGCCAGTAGTAATTGAGATCTACTCTCACTTTACAAAAACTAATGTTGTATGTTGTAGTTATTAATTGAAGCCTACTGATGCTTAAAGATGTCTCAAGTGAGTCTGAAGTGAATCTGAAGTGAATCTGAAGTGAATCTGAAGTGAATCTGAATTGAATCTGAGTTGGATTGTATTGAATTTGAAATACACCTATAAGAGTTAAAAATATAAATCCTAATTAGCAGGTCTCTTGACCGCTAGTTCAGGGATGGGTGGGATAGACTGCTATAGGTAAGTCATACAGGCAGTGATGAAAATGCAGTGAACCACCCCTAGAACTCAATATATTCAACTGAGTGACTTAGAGGCCGGGGCAAACCTCTCTCAATCGGAGCAAACAACAGCAAATTCCAATACGACCCTAGAGAGCAGGCTGAAAATTATTGCCCACAGCACTGAGAAGATTGGAGACTATCATCTACAACAATCCATAGTCCAATACCTCGTTCAAGGCGCCTCTAGCCTGCTTATATTGTTGAATAATATACTACAAGAGTAATATACTAAACAGCATGTAGGAACTTGGAATGAAGCTTTTACATAGAGTATGTGAACTGAGTCAAATTGTAAAACTGTCTAATCTCTTAATACCTGGAAATGAAGTGTTTATGTCTTCCTTGCCACCCCTCGCTACGAAGCGTGAATTTGGGTAGGAAAATAAGCGGTGACAGCGTTAAAGCTGGATTCTTCTTGATTCCATGGTTCGTACATAGGTTTGTAGAAGGCAACATGCATCGGAAGCAGTCCGAATTGAAATGCCATCCTAAGATACAGGATCCTCGAGTTTGTATGGAGGAATGGGAGTGCCAAGCACCAAATACGTACCTAATTATTGGGCGCTTGGTATGGCTATCTGTCGGAAATGGACTCAATATAATAACAAAAATAAACAAAAAAACATACAACAGTGAGGATTCGCTGGTGGTCACCCACCCAACTACTAACTCACCGGCGTGTGGCTTGAGTACGGCTGAGCGGACGGGAAGCCCTATTTTCCACACCCTATGGTCGTATGTATCAGGTTGTGAAGAAGAGGGAATCATACCTCGGAGAATTATGGTATAGGGTAGTGAGTGAATCGCAGGACCTCCCGCATTGCCAGAGTATTAGCATGAAGAGATATATATATTTTAAGTCTCATTCTAGCTATATCATCGCTCTGGACTATTCGAACGCGCAAAGGTCTGTTCAGTAGTGAGATCCTTAGGGATCTCGCATCCGGAGATGCAACGGGCGAGTGCCTGCAGAGTGGAACGCTGGAGGTATGAACCTGCGGAGGGCCAAAACCGTTTTGAATCCACCTTTCGCTCCAACCCGGGAACTGATTCACGCTTGCTCCATAGATACGATATCAGGAACCGCAGGTATAGATACCGCTGACGAGGGTGATTTTCGAACAGGAACTTGAGGGCACGGTTATCGAGGTCCTTTTAGTTTGTTAGCGAACGATCACATATTCTTCTAGGTGGTTGCCGAACCATACCTTAACTCTGAGAATAAAAGGCGTCTCTCCTTTGGTATAACCATCTATTGTGGCATCTACAGATGGAATGCAGATGGAGAAACCATGTAGGTAGATTCGATATGTAAGAAGTGAATAGGGAGAGAGAAGAGAGGAGAGAGAGAGAGAGAAACTATCTACTACATATGTGGATCTGTCCTATGTGGGTCCTGGGTCTCACGCACCCAAGCACCCAACACCATCTCTTCTATAGACGATGTCCGTATTTAGCGATTCGTTGAGTATGATACATCTCCATTCAGTTGGGGCCGCGAACGTCCCTGGCATTGGCACGATCGCTATATCTCCTCGATCAAGAAGGGACTCAACTTCGTGGTGCAAGGAAAGAGCTATAGAATGGTTAGGGCAAATGCCTAGGCAGTGTTAGAAAAAGAAAGAAAGAAAGGCTTACCATTTTGCGGAAGTTATATAACCATATCCTCATCGCCAAATATATGTGCCAATTCCTCCTAGTATAGACTCTTAGGCACAACGTGGGCGGCCTTCACAGATTTCTTGTCAAAAAAGCCGCCAATAACATGACACCAGACCTTGGTTCCATCGTCGCTATCAACGCTAGAATAATACTTGTTCACATCTTTCTTAAACTGCGCTTGGTTGAAACTTGACGCCCTTTGTTTCCCTTCTGCCCTTATAACTAGAGACACAATAGAGTCTTTGTAAGCTCTCGCTAGCAGCCCTTCATCGGATGGGGTGTCTGTCCTTAGCCGCTTGTGGACCGCCAGTGTCTCATTTAGATCATCTTCTAGCACATGTTTTGCCGCTTAGGAACACATAGGGTGGATGTTGTAGCTCGAACGTGGATGATGTATGTTTCCAGTGCTCTTCTATACTCTCTCCATCTGTAAGGGTTCCTTTGACGCTGGGCCTTTGACGTTGGATTCCTCCATCCCTGCTTTGATGTTGGCGATATAGGAAGTCTCATTCTCAAGTTCTTCAATCTTTGCGGCAAGAAAGTCCGAGGCAGTGGAGTCCATAGAGATTTTCGAAGAGACGCTGACTGATCGGTTGTGATGTTCAGTCAACACCTGTCGCCGAGGCAGTGACATTAATGACAAGATGTGCTCTGGGACTGGGAGGTGGGGGGCGTCCATGTTTGCTCAATGACGCGAGTAGTAATATAAACTTGACAATAGAGATGAAAGAGAATCAGTAGAAGACTGACGTGATAAGTTGATTTAGTGTGATAAAGTGGGGGGCATGGAGAGAGAAGGAGAAGTGAATCAGAGGAGAGGATGGGGTATTCATAGGCACAAGTAAACTGGATCTGAACTGGATCTGAATTGGATCTGAACTGAATCTGAACTGAATCTGAATTGGATCTGAACTGAATCTGAACTGAATCTGAACTGAATCTGAACTGAATCTGAATTGAATCTGAATTGAATTGTACTGTAGAGAGAGTATACATGTTCAATACAACGGTGAGAAAAGGACGGTGAGGTAATAACCAATGCCAGCCCTGGATAGTTAGGTGCCGGTGGCATACTTATTTGAAGTGAGAACACAAATTTGAGTCGAGATTTTCAGACCATAACAGTGTCGGATCGCGAACAATCTGATACCACGAAGCTGTGCGTCTGTACCAACCTTGAAACAGTTGGCGAGGAGAGAGAGAGAAGAACGGTTGATTGCTAGAGAAATCCAGAGAGAGCTATTTATTTGTGGTGACAGCCTAACAACCATGTCTGAACTATCAGGTGTCTGCAACAACAGTCCTAAAGGTGACGAATTAGCTCAAGTCTATTGATTCAGCCTGTTACCCGACTTTGGAATCCATAGGCACGGAGGATTTAATAGTAGTCTCTGGTATATTCAAGTTCTGCTTCCTTTAGGAATTTTTAGTAACACTGCCTAGGTTAGAAACTACAGCTTATGATACTGTCTATATAAGACACCCCGACGCTTGTTCTGGGTGAGTGGCAAAAAGAAACACTTAACATTGGCGTTCTTAGCATCATGCTCTAACCAACTGAGCTATGAACCCCCGCAAACGAGTGTAAGAGAATATTCCAAACTATATATCCTGATGTAGTTCTGGCGATGGATCAACATTGGTGGTGAATATCATGGTAAACACCTGGGCATTGCCCAGCAGAACCAAACGGGGTTGCGGCTCTGCGGCTCTGCCCTTGCTGCCGGACACACAACGTTCCGGTTGTTGGTGTGCCCCGGCAAACGCAAAATCTAAAAAATTAAGTATCTTTTATATGTACTTAGATAACCTCCAACTTGCGCTCTTCTTCAATAACCACCGGAGCGCACTCGCTCTTGTCACCCCCGATACCTCTATATATTCTGCCTTTGGGTGATTCCATATACATACGACCATAGGGTGTGGAAAATAGGGCTTCCCGTCCGCTCAGCCGTACTCAAGCCACACGCCGGTGAGTTAGTAGTTGGGTGGGTGACCACCAGCGAATCCTCACTGTTGTATGTTTTTTGTTTTTATTTTATTTGTTTATATCCTGCGAGGGAAGAAGGCTCCTTCCCTTCCGTTCACCTGAATATCCTGCATGGACCTGAAGCACTGACTTTTCCTTCCCCTCCCGTACTGATTTTTCCTCACAGCGTGTTGTTGTTCGAAGCCGGGAGCGCGGCACCCCAGGACAGTGCGCCAATTGCTGGTGGTCTGGTCGCGGTTGCTCGCTGCAGGCCTCCACTCAGGCCCTGGCCGCTAGCGCGGCGTTCTTTCAATCTTCCTCGCAAGTTCTTAATACCCCCCCAAGTCCGCCGTGCACTTCGTGACCAGACTCGACCCCTCCCCACGGCCACTTAGTACCTCCAAGCCGTTGTACAAAACCCTACTAGCACTCCCCAGGAGATCCTCGCTGCTATTCAAAATGAAATTGCCCAGGTGAATGGATTCCTCTCGACCTTCCAGTAGGGGAACGCCGAAACAAATCAGTGACTTATGTTAAGGGGGATTTCTCCTCCTTTTACCTAGTATTGATAATCATAATTCTATCTGCTATTTTTCTTTTTCTTCTTATTCTTTTATAGCCTGCCATACTAAATAAAGTAGGCCAACTTGACCGATAATCCCTCTCGAATATATTCCTCTTTTTTTTCCTTTTACACTATATCTTTTCTCCACTAGTATAATTTAAAACCAGCCTTATACCCGTCTAGTTCTTATTTATATATCCTATAGATTGCCCCTGATTTCTTTCCTGATTGATTCCTCCTATTTTTTCCCTGTCTCCCCCTAGTCTCCTCCTAAATTTCACCCGATAATTTACTACCACTTTAACAATATCTCTAATATACATAAAGTAAGAAATCTATTTTAATTTTTATATATAGCTAAAGGCTGAACTCAAAATCACGGAAACCGTTGTGGTAGAACTGTATACACTGTTCGAATAGATTGAGATGGTTCTTGTAAGACCCCATTGAAATATACGTTCATTGCGATGTCCCTGTTAGGTTGATGTTTAAATGTACCCAACCTCTTCAGCTTCTGCCATAATAGCCCTCGCTAGCTCGCGTTTTTCGGTAATGATGGCTCCAAGGGCTTCGCCCCTCCTGAATCTCTTCCATTTAAGATCGTAAATGTCGCTTATCTCTTCCAGCATGACCTTAAGGGTTCGCTTCCTCGGCATCGGCTCGTTGGCTTTCTTTTCTGCTTTTGTGAAGCTGCACCTTATACCCTGTCGGTCGAAGTGGCAGTTTGGACATGCTGTTATTCTAGGCACCCGCACACAGTTGGCAAACTTGCCATCCAGCTTAGCACAGTTATCACAGCAGTTGGTCTCATCCAGGAGTCCCCCAACGGCTTGTCCAACCAGTGCCTCGATGTTGGTTTTGTGAAAGCCGATTTGACGGTCCCATTGGCTAGCGTTTGGATGGCTCTTCTTTAAGTTCTTGCTGTTGATTTGGAGTACCGGCTGTCTTTGTAGCGGCATTCTGACGAGGCTATATAGCAGGCTGCCTCGAGTGAGGCTGGCTGCTCGGCCCCGGTTCCACTCGCACTCGACTGCCTGCTTAGCCTAGTACCCTGGCTTTTGCTCTGCTGCACCGAAGTGTCCAAAGATCGGATCACAGCCTTGTGTCGTTGGTGCTGCTGAATCTTCCATTTCTGCCGAACGTTAGTGTTTTCACTTTAACTCACTGGGTACAACCCCACAACGCTTACGTTGTATCCCCTTGGCGAGTTCATCCAATGCGTGTATGAAGAATGGATATATGAATGATGTGTCAATGAGTGAAAATGGGAGAAAGTATATGTATGATCTTTCAAAGAGTGAGAGTCAAGAAGTTGTATAAACGGTGTTTTGAAGGTTATATGTAAGAATAACTTCAAGTTTGATATGAGTAAGTTCCAACTGATTGCTATTTCCTCACTTCAGTAAAAAGCCATATATGTACGCTGTATTCTTCCACCAATTTGTCCCTTTTCTTTCGATATCTACTACGGGCGACTAAGTATGCCATCCGACACATAACTCTCTCATTGGTTACTACCTCACCGTCTAGTTTATTACTGAAGCATTTACTAATTCTAATTTTATTTCTATACTATACATTATAATACAATACAATTCAGATTCAGTTTAGATTCAGTTCAGATTCAGTTCAGATTCAGTTCAGATTCAGTTCAGATTCACTTCAGATTCACTTCAGATTCACTTCAGACTCACTTCAGATTCACTTCAGACTCACGTCAGGTTCACTTTAGATTCAATTCAACATGGTACTTGTAGTGAGAGTGGATCTAAATTATTGCCGGGCAATATAAACCAATGAGAGAGTTATGTGTCGGGTGACATACTTAGTCGCCCGTATATCTACTTATCATCAGATGAAAACAGTTATGGCGCACTGGGAGTTAGAGACCGTTGTAGCCTGGACCCAATCTTATAGCGCTTAGGGCCCAACCCCCTTTTTAGAAGGTGTTGGTTGATACATGAATTTTATGGGTAAAATGATAAGAACAAGAATTTCAACAAACTGTGCACTTTTGTATGGGATTCAGCCATGGTATTCGACAGAAACTTTAATTTAATTGTGATCTATTACTATGTCGTTACACCCACTAGGTACCCGGAGGGAGCAACCTTGGAATTTACGGCAGACGTCCTAAGAGTGGTTACTATACCCACGGCAATACACAATTGCATCCAACCCTGGCTGTACAATGAATTGTTCAACTGGGGGGTGACTGGAGCTGTCACGCCAGACGAGGAGAACATGATTCACGGAGAATGTGCAACGAGTAAGTAATATGGTTTACCCCTTTAGTGCTTGAGGCCAATAAACACAGCCCTTCAGTTTCCCAGAGGTCCGTATCGTGGTTCAACGAAGGAGCCAGACTTCTTATTTATGATCCGTGGCCGGTTGTTGCCAACTGTTGCCGTTGAATGTGGGTGGAGTGAGTCAATGCCACGTTTACACAATGACCTGAACATATTGATGGTTGGAGGAAATGGCGACATTAAAGTCGTCATTATAATCAAGTGGTCGAAGCTCACCGGGAATCGTGTTTCTGGCGTCGCAGAATTATACAAGTGTGATAGGAACGGCATACCTGTACGCGAACAAAGTGAGGAACGTTGAAGATATTCCAAGATTCCATTTATGTCTCACTTACTAATTACCTGAAATTTATAAAGGTTATTTTCCCCTCTGATTCGACGACCGTCGACCAACAACTTGTCATCAAACGACGTGATCTTCTTGGATCAGGGGTTCATAATCCCAGCGGCTCCCTCGTTCTTGATCTTGATACTTTACGCGACTTTGCAATTCGTGCGCTTGGGCGTATGGGCCTTATGCCCGCTACTTGAAGGGGGTTTGATTTTGTCGTTGAGAATAGCTATCATGTCCGATACAAAATGAAAAGCTCTTGAGAATTGTGAGAAGACCAGCCGTCGTAATAGTAGATGGAAATAATCCAGGGTTCAGTACAAAGTACCATATTAGGTAGGAAGATAATTTGAGAATTGTCACTTGGGGGTTATTCTGGAGCTCTAGAGCTGGTGTTTGACAAACAGGAAGTTCATTGGTTCGTGTGCAGTTCATTAAACGATAATTCATATCAAAGGCGCTATTCCATAAAGCAAAAATGTTTTACCCATTCAGTGTTTCCAATTGCTCCTACATGTTGGACATGTGGAAGCGTGGTCTTTTTCGAGCCATTGATCGATGCATTGTTTGTGGAAGTTGACTCCACAGCGCGCTTTGCACCAAACCAATTCTTTAAGGTGTTCACGATCATCCTCATCATCATCATCATCATCGTCATCGTCATCGTCATCGTCATCATCGTCACTGCTGCTCTCGCCCTCCTCTTCTTCGTCCAAGTCCCCATCTTGCGAACTATGCAAATCGCACAAACAGATACCACATTCTCCTTCAACCTCACGGCGAATTGGCTGGGGTGTTTCATCCTGGCTGGCCGTGTTACCAATTCTACTGGAGGCGCGAGCCACAGTTGGTGTATTCACTGGTCTTGGACTCGAAACAGAAATAGAGCTTGTTTGACGGCTGACTTGGGCTTGGGCTGGCCGAGGTACTGTGACTGCTGACTGATTGGTAGAAGATTCCGTCGAGTCTCTTCTCAATGGTTCGTTAACATCATGTACTGGAGTATTTCCGCTCGATGCGCTTCGCCTGCTGCTGGAATTGACGACTGCGCTCGTATTTCTTCCCTCGCGATGACCAGTGCTTGTAGTAGTCGGTAGGACAGATTGAGCAACCTCAAGGCGTCTGACCTCTTTCTTAGCCTCACGGAGTTTTTGCTCAAGAACGGCAATTTTCTCCTCCATTTCCGCCGCAGCAGTCTCTGAGATCATTCGGGATGATGTTCTCGCTGGCCGTGTATGTGGAATTGAAACAACCTGCGAATTGAAGTATGTACGGACTTGTCTTTTCCAGCGACGCACAAGATCCGAAGCTTGGTTCTGATGGAACCTTGTGCATAAAACATGAGGAGCCAAATCCTCCAGCAGTATATCAATGTTCCGACCGGCTTGAAGGTCTTTGGTACCCTCGTTGAGAAGCATCATTGCCGAACGGCGACCGCGTGCATTTGTGCGCATGTGACACCGACGGCCCTGTGAAGGAGCGTAACCGGCACACCAAGGTTCTTCTTCTGGCTCGAGTTTGATGATCTCGGATAGAGGAACCATGGGGAAAGTTGCGACACGGGAATATCGTGAAGGCATCATGAATTTATGAATTTGGGGAATTTAGAAATAATCAGTCGGAATATATTCTTGGGTATGGAGAGGTTCTGTTCGATTACTTTATAGCATCTAGAGTAGAACCATTTGTATTAATTGATTCACGCTGCACGTTAAGCCTTGCAAGTATCCCAGTAGACATGGCAGGGTTCTCTGCCACAACAGCGTGGCGCAGCCCCCAGAATAGAAACTAGACAGCGCTAAAGGATTGAATGAAAGATGCCTGAGGACGGATACCAATTAGCATTGACACTATGAGGCATAGTAGAACACTATCTCGGGGCTGTGTTTTCGTCGGGATTAAAAGAGGGGTTATCAGACCTCTGTTGGTTCCCAGCGGCTTTTCATAGGCTCTGAGAGACGGGCAGATGCAAGGAACTTTTGTCATAGTACCTGGGCAGTAACGCTAGATTAAGTACCCTCTTCGTCATTGACTACTGATTTACAGCCACACCGCAGAAGTTTCCGTGATCCCGCTCCCACCCCAAATATATGTATCCCATCCATGCATTTCAATTAATTAATATGTACTATTAATATTAATACAAATCACGGAAACTTTTGCGGTAGAACCGTAGTTTTATGCCAATGCGAAGCAAATGGGAATGCGGCCCGCGCCGCCAAAGCCAAATGCTCGCCTTCCAAGGTTCTCCGAGGTCGTTCTGTCTATAGCGCACTTATCTTTTTTAGATGCCCATTTTAGCTTTGACTCTATAATTCTCTTCAACACGTAACATAATACATACGACCATAGGGTGTGGAAAACAGGGCTTCCCGTCCGCTCAGCCGTACTTAAGCCACACGCCGGTGAGTTAGTAGTTGGGTGGGTGACCACCAGCGAATCCTCACTGTTGTATGTTTTTGTTTTTGGGCCATCTGTTTAATGTGTTTGTCGTCTTTGAGTAGTGGGAATTGTTGCCGGTGAACTATAGCCCGTGGTTGTGAAACTAGTGTGGTCTGCATCTTGGATGCAGTGGCCTGGATTGTAGGAGCTAGCCGAGATTTTCTGCGGTTGGTAGAAGGTGGATTCCGCCTCACGGGCGACCGTCGTCTATAAAGAGACTACAAATCCACCCAAGTTGCAAAACCGGAATTCAAGCCCCCTTCAAATTCTCCTCTCCCCTGCACCTTGTCCCCTGTCCCCTATCCCTCATCCCCCGTTCCGTGTTCTGTGTCAGCTTCCCTGTTTTATGATGCCCACAATCACCACATCCCGAAGGCTTTTTCAGCGCTCTCTTCCACACAATGTCAAATAGTAGTTTTCGCCTAGAATCCTTTCCAGGACAAAGTCTCTGCGAGATTATCGATATTTGCCGCTACCCAAGTCCTGTTTCGATGACCGCCACCCCGCCTCTCTCCAATCCTATCGACCCCGTCTCAAAGTCAAAAAAAGTCGTTCCTACAAACCTAGCCAGCATCCCCTTCCTGCCCGCCCCCCATTGGAGGTCTGCTTGGATAGCGGTCTACATTCGGACCCACAAACCACTCGACGCGAGCCTAAGGATTTGGGCCGCACCCCCTCCTAATCTCACGCTGAGACTTTCGACTCTGAAGACATTTTGCAATTGCAAGATATTATACCAGGCACCGAAGACGTTGGTTCTGCCACAATGCCCGATAATGTTTGTTTAGGTGCTAAGCATCGATCCCCTGGTTTCGGATCGTGCGACTTGGAACCTGCCGTTATTGCTGGTCAGCACCACCCTCAAGCTGTCGATTCTAGAAACACTACCCAGACTAGAGAGCTTCCAATCACTGAAACAACCGATACCGCAATCCTCGACGAGCATGCCTTTCCAGGTGGTGAGCAGATCCAAACAACGGAAATTGCCACCGGCATCGCAACATATCTAGACAGTGGAGTGCTCCCACTCTCTAAATCAAGATCCACCTCTTCAATTCAGACGACAAATTGCAAAGGGAACGGCGATTCCTAGTCGCCAGTCAAAAAAAAAAAAAAAAAAAAAACAAAACGTTCGAGTGCTAGGAAGAGATATTCGAAAGTTGGTGCCCCCCCCGGTCCAATAAAGGTCTCTATCGTCGCAGCAGCGTTTCGTTTCCTACCGTTCATACTCAATTCTCGGCCCTTCCCGTCGAAGACCGGCTAGAGTTCCTGTCCTATTATTTGAGGGTGCTTTGTCTCATTGAGCACAGATGCCACTGTATCAAGATACATCGCAAACCAATATTCAGGCATCACATACGACTATGGCCGGCCAAGCCCAAATACCGAACTAGGCGATACCCAGCATACCCCTTATACGAGAAAAGGTTTACGATGGTCCGTGGAAGAAGTATCTTTATTAGTAAAGCTCAGGGAAGAACAGAATCTTGCTTGGTCGGAGGTAACGAGACAATTGCACAGAACTTCGCCAAGAGGAGTAAAGGGTCCATAAAGGTGTACTAGAGCACGATGCTCAAGAAACAGCGGCGAGCTTTGGCGGATGCCACGTAGGTAAACAAGCTGAGGACTGTACGTTACCTTTGGCTACTTCTATCAATATTGTACGGTTGATTATACTGTTACGACACCTACAACAGGCAAGGAGCTGTTCAGACGTAGAGGAGCGATGCAAATCGAAGTCAATATAGTAGGGGGTTCGCTGTCTGGCGGCGGGTAGTGGCCCGTCGGGACGGAATGCGTCCAGATTTTTACCAGCTTACTCACCCCCTTGGCTCGAGTGGATTCATGCCTCAGGCACTAAATGACATCAACATGCTTTTGGCCGTTTGGTAGGCTGACGTTCAGAGGTCCTTTGTTTCGTCGTATACAGTACTGGTGAAAGTTCTCCGGTCCCCTCCGAGGGCTCGGAATAGAGGTGATTCTTCGTAGACCCACTTCCATAGATGAACCACCAATGGCCAATCAATCAACGCCGGGTCCTACCAGCTTCATCAAATCACGTGCATTATGTAATACTCCATGCGGCGATGGTCTCGGCGAAGACTGGATTGAATCTATGCCAAGAATCTCAACTGCTACGGAATTAAGATTAGTGGCTCCAATATAGTTTAACACACGAAGCACTTATCAGCTATTTTAATCCAGACCGCTTTCAGTCAATAGAATCTAGGATAATCGAATATCTTGTGTTATCACCGCTAGTTCATCTTCTCCTACCTATTTGTATAGGGTTATATATTCATTTAAAGCTAGTGTAGCTTATTTTGCTCGTTTATAAAACACCTTAAGATTCTTCCCCCAGGCGTCTATTATCTTCGGTGATTTCTATACCAATAATTCTAAACACAATAGAAAAAAATGTCTCGTTTCCAACGACTCAAGCGAACGCTTCAGCATAGGTTCATTGCCATAATATAGCAAATGAGAGGCGATGCTTCCGTCTGATAGGGTGACCTGCCAATCGGATTACGGAGTATCCTGGGAGGTAGGTCTCTTAACTGGGTTCTTTGTTTGCTATAGATGATTCTATCTATCTCTAGCAAACAAAGAGAACTGCGATCAAGGATGTGATAGGAGAACAAATAGAACCTAAGTAGTTCCTCTGAATTCCTGAACCTCACTGATTTCCCTAAATTTCCTATTCCCGGAGACTTCTCTTATCTAATCCTTTATCCGGAAAGCGCCTGCCACTCATCTAATCCCGCAATGCCGAATAATATTCTGCCCAAGCTCTTGCCTAGGGAAAAGGAATCGAACATACGGTATCTAGAAACAGACTCGTCGACAAAACAACACCGGCGAGTTTCTCTGGCCTGTACCGAGTGTCAGAAAAGAAAGTCCAAGGTTAGAAAGATCGTTCCTCCATTCCAGGATGGACCTAACCCAGTGTAGTGCTCTGGTACGACCCCATACACGAAATGTACGGCCGAAGCTCGCCAGTGCTTCTATAATCCAGCCGGTGGTCGGAGACGCAAGGCTCATACCGCCGAGTTGTTAAACTTCCGTATCGCCCTTTACCGAATGGCTGCAAAGCTGCGTTCTGGAACACCGGAGGAGATATCACGGTTGATTTGGGGGATCCAAAAACTGCCAACAGATCAAGATACAGTCAATCATCTTGTTGACGGATGCTTATTGCATGAAAATCTGGGAATTCATTAAAATACCCACTGGTTGCAGATCAAGCCACGTCTAACATCGACGGAAAGGAAGAATTGCAGTTCAAATGAATTAGATATTATTGTCAATTACTCATAGATAACTAGTTAATTCGGAGGCAGATGATTCATCGAATCCCGGAAAGACCGCCTCTCAAGTATACAATACAAAGGCAACTGAAAATTCCTGTTAATATTACAGTATCTAGACATTGTCAAACTTCAGCGTCAGGCACTTTCATTAAGTCTCCAAAACAAGACATTTATTGTTTTCTTGGCAGTAAGTAAAAGAAATCGTGTTATACGATAAATTGTGATGGTTGTATAGCGACATGCGGTTCAGAACATCCATCTTTAGAAGTTAAGAATTGGGGAAATGCAAATCCCAAGAGTGCTGCAGAAAATACCCAACCACGACCAGTCGCAACTTCGTCTCTGTACACAAGTCTTCATTTTACTTTACTAATCTTTATGATAATATGCTTTACCACCTTGTTGATTTCTACGAAAGACCATAAGCATAGATACAATGATAAGGAGCTTTGGTTTATTTGGTACAAACGCGCTGCTCTTGGCGAAAGATGGAACGATATCCTTGTGAGCTTTAACTGCCAATTCCCGGGGCGGCAACGTCTTTATAGCAAGACACACGTAAATCCTAACCTTGGGAGCACAGAAGCAGCTCTGCGGAAGTTGTAATCAGATAATTAGAGCCGTTTCGATAATGCAACCTATATCCATTGTCCTACTAATTGTTGAGCATAAATAAGTATAACCCGCAAGTTAAGCAAGTATTTGGCAACCAATGCCCTTAATATACTTAATTATAGCAGTAGCCACCTTCCAATCCTCCCGCCTGGTTGACCTTGATGCACTCCTCCACAAAACAGTCATTTCCACCTTCGCCATCCGGGCATCTGATCTGACAGGAATACATCTTCCCCCTAAAGATCGATTTGCAGTTGTGGCCAGACGAGTAGCCTAGCCCTTTGTTCACAGGACAACCAGCCCCTTTAGAGCGGTTTTGCTTATTAAAGCAGCTTTGGTTGGCACGCTTATCAACTTTTTCATCTTCAGCGTCGTGTTCGATCTCAGAGCTGGGTAACGCAATCGTCACTTTCTTGTTGGTCTCGATTGTGCCATTGTCGTAGACTAATGAGTAGTCAAATGCATGGGTCTCGTTCGATCTGAGCTTAAGAGTCGCGCCTTCTAGCTGGTTGTAGAAGTCGGCAATTTCACCCAGACTCTCCAAACTGGCGAACATGCCGGAGCTTATCGCTCCAGTGAGGAGAGTTAGGGATGACAATATAAGAGTCACCGTGGTTGTGAATACCTTCATTGTCGTCGAGTAGCTGATCGTTGATAAGCCGCGTGAAGTATGTAAGAGCTAGCCATTTAAGAATAATAAGTCTATATTACTTCTAATGTAATAGGGTGATATATCTTTAGTCGGTATTATGACTCACTTACCTTGAGAGCGTTCGTCGCTGGAGCCGCTGATCCAGATAATAAGAACGTTAATGGGCTGTAGGTTCGTTGGCGTAACGTAAACAATGTGCAAATTATGACTTTGGCGAGAAGAGCGAAGGTCTGATAAACAGTTATCGAGATCGTCGAGATTATAATCGGCCCAGTTGGTGTCTAGAAATCCGCGCGCTGATAAATCTTCTGCGTTCATTATAGCACTCGTAAAATATATTCAGTAGTTACCTAGGGTAGAACCCAGCTAATAAAGGTTTCTCGACGAGGGTCGTGCTACTAATCCGGGCTTAGCCCTAGTTACTACCCTCGAGCATGTTTCACCTACAACCAACTAGTATATGCCTTGTGAGTGTCAACATCCATTCCACATAGTAAGCACAATTTGATGGTCGTGGGCCCCTTCACCCCGGTTACTACAGGTGTTGCGCCCCTATCCAATAGCATAAATACCTCATCGAAAATTGTCTCTAGAAGACCCCTGTCGCCAGGGGCTATATAATGTAACCTTAGATACTATTGACCTTGCTATTATATTAAAGCAAGATTAATTTAATATTCTCGAAAGCTATGATATCCACAGGGGGGGACGGAGACGATGAGACTAAGTGTGAAAATTCTATGGGTTACAGTTGTCTTCGAAGTAACTAGGATAAGGAACAGTTGCACCTAGTTCACAACATTAGACTATAAAATCAAGTGGAACTCCCGTAAAGACCCATATGTGCGAAAGTCACAGTCATTGCTCGTCGGAAAGGGATGAGCTTCGCCCTCGGAGACCCGTCGGAGACCCGTCGGAGTCCACAAAGCGGGTGCCTTAACAACCAATCATTCCTATCTCGACGCACATCGCCCAGTTAATCTAATGAGGTCTCATCCTACGGTTTGCCTTCCGCATACCCCTATTAACAGCCCGAGGACTTAGCTAGGGTATGCCGTATCCTCGGATTGACCTTGATATATTCTTAAGCGTGTGATCTTAATATTATTGGATAAGAAAGGGCAATCGGCCACGTATACCTCATAATAGTGGCCATCAAACGGGGAGCTGGTCGGATACGCACACGCATATTCAAGCATCTTCCCAAGACATTGGCATGTTTGCCATATCTCTGACTTTTGATCATCCATATCCACATTAAGACCATCACCGATCAACGACAAGGCGGCAGATATTAGCGTTCTGGACTTCATTAATGCGATTGTGGCATAAATCTCATGACAAATCTGGTTGATGTTCCAGGTTCCTACATAAGACCAGTCTCGTTCTTGTCCCGAACCCCCCCCTGTGGTATATTGATGCATTAGAGAGCAGACGACGCTCCATAAATATATACCCTCTTATACAAACCCAGGGGGAGAGCAAAGGCATATAAGTATTTTACGACTCTCAAACTCATAGAAACGAGGTTTACTCAATGGGTGCAGAATAAAGCCGAACATCTAAAATAATTCAGGAAGACCAGCAGCCATGAATTATCGTACATGAGATTTACGATACTTGAGGTCAAAATAGAAAACTCTCAGATGTATCAAACAACTAGCAGCTTTAGAAGGACATGTTGATTGTGGTTTACCAAAGGTAACTTGAACTAGATACAAAGAAATAAAAACATGTACTACTTGAAGCGCACTTCCATAGCAGCGCCTCTAATAAAACCTTGACTAACTAGTCCCACAAGGTAAAATGTCGATCGCAAGGTACGGCCCGTTATGCACCTTGCGGAGATTTCAACCAGAATCATGGAAGCTGGTTGGTTTGAGTATTTTTTGCGGAATTAGCAATCGACGAGTCCTCCGCCAAGGTAGAGAGATTGAAGGTTAAAAGGGTTGAAATTTCTCCAAGTAGTCGTGGGCAGCCGGTCTGTATTTAAAGACATTTAGATAATTTGGACCTACTAAGGCAGAAAAAGTGCTCAATGTTGGCTTTGCCCGTAGCCGAGAATCGTCTATAAGCTCATCCTGATCCCGCCTTTTGGCGCTATCCCTTTTGGGTTAACAATTTGACGCGATAGAGACAAGGTCATACTAGTTGATCACGACATCTAAAACCAGTTCCCGAACTTAACACGACTATTTCAATGTGAAATAACGTTGTGGCGCGCTGGAGGGATGGGGGTATAACAAAGACTACGAGACAGGATATGCAAGATGGACATTTTTCACGTTCTAGACAGAGGCAATTCAAAGCAAATAACGCTATAATGCCATTTTAGAGACAGGCGGCTTGGTCGACCTATCAAAGCCAGTGCATACAAGTGGGTTGGCTGCATTAATAAGTCGTCACCGACATAATGCTTGCATATTGATATTACATATCAGTTGTCGGCTTCTGCGTTGTCCAGGGTAGAGATACCGCGTTTCCACTAGTATAAGTCTGTACGAATTGTATGAGGTCTTAGAGAGATAACACATATCCCCATCTAGTCATCATATTACGATCGCTGTATTAGATTCCAATTCTCAGGTTCATTCCGTCCTATATCATCCTATTTATTCCAATCTCTGCAACAAACCAACATGATGCTTCAAACGGAATATCCTAGACCTCCTTCCACCTCAGCAGCCAGAGAACACATATAGACAAGAGGATCATAGAATACCTAAAGGTATTCTTGCTAGAAAAAAAAGAAAAGAAAGTAATATAAGATCCCGACAGCCGAGACTTGTAGCTATGATGACCAGCAGGACCAGGAGAATCATTGGGCTTGCTTTAGATGGTACGCACCCAGTAGACAGTCGCATCAAATTTAGCAAGCCGGGTCGTAATGTTCTCGCTTTCATATTTCAAATGTAGAAAGATTCATCCTCCAAGCTCCATTTTCCCTCTGGACTGTATATCTGCGTGCGCACTTGCTAGAAGATGAAGGAGATGTGGATTGCTGGGCATTATCCCAAGTAAAACACCGGTATCTAGCAAAGACATTAACTTTTCAACAAGCTTCTCGGCTTGATCATACAGCTGCAACCTCTGACCCCGTAAGACGGATTCGTAATACCGTAGTTGCTCGTGCCTAGCCTAAAAATGTGTTAGTAACTGGTCACGGATTGTTGATAATGCTGTATTACTTCGGAGTCTCCAGAATAAGATCGAGAGCTTATCCCATCAGAAATGGAAGTTCGCTGATTATCATAAGTTGGTTCTTTGTAAAGATAACCTTGGCCTAAAATTGCGCCAGATTTAATTTGCTCCAAACAAGGCGCAGGGGCTATTAGAACGTCCACGTCCTTCAAAAGAATATCAATATAGTTTGTAATCAAATTTAAAGAAGTACTGACCTGGCAATGGAGCTTTCCTGAAAATGTTTCGACCTGTTGAGAGCAACTTTCCGTACCCGGCATAACCCCGGTAAAGTTACTATGCTCATTCAACCGCATAGTACTCGAGCAATTATTCTGTGAGTGTTCATTCTTGGTTATATGTAATGAATCCAAAGGAAGTTCATTTGGAATTTCGTCCAAAATTTGCCAGATGAAGGGTACATCACTGTCACTTGGTGACATATGCTCAAGAGACATGCCCGGCTGTTCTTGTCTATTGCTTGCATTTGACAGGATAATCTCTTTTTCACTGCTGTTTGAGGCTACATGCTTTCGCTGCCTTGTCTTTTCGCCTATTCAGATCAGAATAATGTTGGAAGGGCGAACAGGCTACACCTACGGAATCTTTGCTGGGCAAGACGATTTTGATATTTTCGTCGCTGGCCAGAGGTACTTTCGTCGGGTTTATTGGCCTTCCTATTGGCATAGAATTCCATAGGTGAATAAATAATGGGTAGTATTGGTGTGGCAGTGGTGAGAATGTGATTATTCAATTTTTCATGGAAAGCATTAAAATTAACGCTAGGAAAGAGGATAAAATCAGGGAAGACCTATCTCAGTTTTCATTCTGTTCAGGGACCCTGGGCTACAGGTCATATAAATAACATTAGCTAAAGTAGAAGACTGCGCATTCACGACGGAGGGTTATCTTCCTGTGGCTTTGTCTTGATTGAATCATACGGAATGATCCTTGTCCTAGGTTACATCCCAGACTGTATACTAATGACTATTATTGAGCCTCTAATTGGTTGTTTGAATTGGTCGGTTAGATCGACAGGAGCTCATCTAATTCGGTTACTAGGATTACGAGTCATTAAAGGGACATGAGTGAGGGGACGGAAATGATTTAGCCAACCGGAACATTATTCGAAGCGTCGTCTCTCCATTTCGCCTATAGTTAATATGCTAATAGGTAATATAGTGTACTGGTACAGAAACGCACCTTTGCAGTCTCAGTAAGCCCCGAAGACGTTTCCAGATCCATCGGGCAGCTATATGAGAGGTTCTGTGAGAAGATTGTCCAGGAGGGAAAAGAATAGGCTAAGTTACGTGGCCATTAGTTTGTAGCAGCATAGCATGCTGGCTCACCTACACAACATTGGTGGAGTAGTTCTCATGTCGCCCCACTCCTAATGACTTTCGCATTTTAGTCGCCTAGCCCCTACAGCAGACAGAGGCGTTGAGCCAGTAAAAGCACTTGTGGCACCCGCTCCTCGGTGAAGGCTATCACCACCGTTACAGCCACGAACGAGAGCATTACCAACATACGGGTTATGCAAAAATCAGGATCGTGGAAGAGATGCATGTCCAGATAGATGATGATTTTAAATCTAGGAAAATAGTTAGTAAAGATATAAAAGATAGTAGATATAATTTATTTTATTTAAAATATTAATAATTTTATATTTATACTATTTTATATTTATTTATATAAACTAAGACCGCTATTTAGTCTACTAAGTTTAATTAACTTATTTATTAAGGTAGCCTTTATATATTTAAGTAGCTTATCTAGACTAAGCTATAGAATATAGATAATATATAGAACTTAAATAATAGTTATTTCTTCTAATATTATTTATTAAAGACTTTTAACTAATATTTTATTATTTAAAGTATTATTAATTATAATTATAAGTACTCTATTTTTAATATTATATCTTTTAAGAATATCTATAAAGATAATAGAAAGATTTATATTAAAATATATTTTATAAAGAGATTCGAATCTAAAAAGGATTTTATAATATTACTAATTATTATTAATAAAATATCTAGTAATTATTATAAAAGCTTAAGCGAAAGATAAGATCTAGTAATTAAGTATAACTAATAATTTTATATTAGAAGATAATCTTTAAAGAATATTCTCTTAGCGCTTTTATATAATACTCTAAAGATATTATCTAATTATTTTTATAAATAGAATTTAAAAAAGAGAATTTACTATTTATATAAGTATAATTAAATTATAAAATTTAAGATATTTAATTAATTAGAATAGAAGATAAGCGACTATAAAGAATTATAGTAGCTAGTCTTTTTAGGCGTCTTAGCTAAAGATTATTTATATAAAGAAATCTTATTTCTTATAATAAGAGATATTAATCTAATACTAGATATTATAAGATATAAACTTATAGCTATTTTTATAAACTAACTAATATCTAACTTCTAGATATAATATTTAATTATCTTAGTATAACTTATATCTTTAAGATACTTTTTTATTATAGAGATCTTATATTATACTATTATCCCTAATAAAAAAGATTAAAAATACTCTAAGATTACTTTATATTACTTATATATTATCTTAAATACGCTATTAGAGTTATATATAATTTATTTAAATTTATTCTAAGATTTTAACTAATACTTTAAGTCTTATTTAATCTTAATAATATTAAACTAATTATATTATATTCTAATCTACTATTTTATAAATTCTTTATTAATTATATTATTATAAAAAATAAATATCTTTTTATAATCTAAACTTATATATATAAGATTCTTAGAGATTAAAAATAATATTTAAAAATAAAGAAATTTAATATTAAATATATTAATTATTTATTAATTATTTAAGGATTTGGAAGTAGGAGATTATTTATTATTAGATATTAAATAGATAAAATTATTAATATTATTATTATAAAAAGATAATAAAAATATATTAGAATATTAATTTAGAGTCTAAGATATAATATAAAAGAATAGTAAAATAATAGAGTTAGATAAAAGAAAGATTTTATATATAAAAATAATTATATAAAATCTTAACTAGTAATTTTAGTATATATTATTATTCTTAAAATAAGTTAATATATTATTATACTTTAGAAAGCTTAGAAAATTAGTAATTAGCTATTTTATTATAGCTTTAGTAGATAAAACCTATATAAACCTATAAAAATCTATATAAACTTATAAAAATCTATATAAAATCCGCGAAAATCTATAAAAATCTATAAAAAATCTATAAAAATCTATAATATAATCTAAAAAGCTATTAAGAACTTATAAAATATAAGAATTATAATATCTTAGTAAAATATATATTACTAAAATATATCTTTATAATTTTATAGATATTTTTTAGCTTATACTATTAGACTTTCTTAACTAGAGTTTCTAATCTTAATTAGAGACTATAGCTCGGCTCTACCTACGCTTACTATTAGACCTTCTTAACTAAAGTTTCTAATTATAATTAAAAATTATAGCTTAGCTTTACCTACGTTTATTACTAGACCTTAGCTAAAGTTTTTAATTATAGTTAAAAACTAAGAATATCTATCCGCTTTTATTATCTTAAGAGAATATAAGATTACCGCTAAGCGCTTATATAATATAACTCTTTAAGCTTTAGTTAAATAGTATAGAGATACTATTTAATTAAATTAATTCGACTATAGCCCTTTATAAATACTATTAACTATAATATATTTTATATTAAACTTATTTTAAGTATTTTAATCTATCTTATTAAATTAATATATATAATATAATATCTTTTTAAAGAAATTTAATTAGTATTAAGGCCGAAATACTATATCTTAATATTATAAACCGAAATAACTATAGAATACTATATTTTATTAGGATAGGTAAGTAGCTTTATATAGCTTAGCCTATCTCTATTAGGAAAATTATATAGCCGCGGGTTTTTATAGGAACCCGCGCGGGTTACTTATACGGGTTTCGGGTTAGGTTACGGGTTAGTCGAGTCTACCCATCGGGGTTACGGGTTCGGGTTGCGGGTTAGAACTTCTTACCCATTCTCGGGTTTTAGCGCAGACTAATAGAGAGACTTTAATGCCTATAAAGTTCTTCTTCTATCTAAGCTCCGGAGACTAAGCTTATAATATAATATACTAGCTAAGAAGTCTCTATAAGGTATTATCTTTCTCCTATAATAGAATATAGTTTTAGTATAAATACTTCTATATTACCTCTTTAATAGAGCCTAGACCTTTCGGAGCTCTTTATTATAAAGACTCCTTTTCTTATTATAGATCCGCTTTTGCTTTAATTAAATTTCGTATTTTTCTTCTAGCGTAGTATCTAAGAGTAATAAACTTAATTTTGCTATAGTTTAGTTAAGAGTATAAATATCTTCGCGGGTAAGAAATTTATACTTAGCTTTCGTAGGAAGGAGCTAGAATAAAAAGGAATTACGATAAAGACCTATTCCTCGGCGATTCTAGATATACTCTTATCGGATAGTAATTCCGAGATAGTTTACTAGTCTATTAACCTTACTAAAAGAATACGTATATAATTTTCCGTATATATCCCGATTAGTTTGCCTAGTAAACTTTATTCTTATAGACTTAGAATATATCTTATCTATTTTATTATTAGCTAGCCGGCGAGCTTATACTTAAAATAGACCTATATCTACTTACTATAAAGCCTATCTTTAATACGCCCGAATAATAATATTTAGTATATAGCTATTTTTATAGCCTAGATTAACTAAAGCCTTACCGAATAAATCCGCTTCTTTAGTATTTCCTTTAAAATTGTCTATATTATACTTAAGATATTAGTGGAAAATTAGTAGATTTCTTATCTCTTCCCGGATATAAATTATCTTAAGGATCTTATCCTCTAAATAACCGACTTTCTTATACGTATCGATAGTATCTAGGATCTTATTTACTAAACTATAATCTCTAAAAGCTATATCTATAGCGGCTATTAGTAAAAAGAATATTAAAAAGTTAAGAAATATAGGTATATTCTCGGCGTATACTTTATAGAATATATACTTAGGAATCTCCTATTTTATCTTTCGCTAATATCCTTTAATAAATTCGTGTTTATAGATAAATATAAGTATTATTATACTATCTATAGTCTCGATAGTAAGTTTAAAATACTAATATAGTTAGCTTTAAATATTAGTTCCTTTTTCTTATTTAAATATATCTTATAATAAATAGTTATTACGCGGGCTTCTAAATTAATATCCTCGCTCTCCTCCTTAATCTTATAGGCTTCGTATCTTTAAGCGGTTAATTTATAAACCTCCCCTATATATATAGAGGTAAAGTAATATAAAAGTATCGCGGTACTTAGCTAGACTCTAGCCTAATTAGTAGGGTTCCTATAATATTTATAATAGTCTTAGTACTATAATTAAGTTATTAAGATAGTTAAATTATTTAGGGATATACCGCTATCTTTATTTATTTACTTAGTTAAGAGAGGAATCTTAATCCTTAATTCTCCTATAATATACTATCTAGTATTAGCCCTAACTTAGTTAAAAGAAAACTAGTATAAACCTTATTAATAATAGTCCTTATAGCTAGTAGAAATTTAAAATTTCTTTTTCTCTTTATACTAGTAGCAAATTTCCTAAAAAACCCTTAAATTATCTTAACTATAGGCCGTTCTTCGATCCGACTATTTATTCCTCTTAAAACCTACTCGAGGAAAGCCCTATAAGTCCTAATATCTAGCGGAATAACGGCCTATAGATATAATATAGTAAAACTAGTAATAGAGATATAGTTTAGCGACTACTTCTCTACTCCTATAATCGGAATATACTTATCGAAAATAAGTAATGTATTATTATAACTAGATTCTATTTATAGTAGTACTACCCGCTAGATTTTATTATTACTATACTTAGACTGCGACATCGCCCATGGACGGGCGGGTGGGCAGTGCCCACGGGCCTTATGTAAGCGGGTGATAGGTACTATTAATACGCCTATAGACGGGCCCTACCCTTAGGGCCTATTGTCTATAGATACCGTAGGCGCCTATAGGCCTTTTTAGTAAGCAGAATTTCTTGACCTCGTGACCTATATTATTTGTGCATTTTTTCTCTATATTTTTAAGTAATTCAATTATATATATAATGACTTGATACTACTATCAATTTTCTAACCGAGGTTAGAAAAATAAACTATAGAAGCCTTTATATAATAACTTAATACTATAATTAATTTTCTAACCGAGGTTAGAAATAAGCTTTAGAAGCTTTTATATAATAACTTAATATATTATTACTTTTTTAACTAGGGTTAGAAATAAGCTTTAGAAGCCTTTATATAATAACTAAGGTATTTATTATAGTTATATCTTTATATTAATACGATATAAATTAATTATTATTAGGTTTACTACGCTTCCTTACTTCTCTTAAACTAGGGCGCTTTTAAGTACTATCCTTATCTTTATAATAAAAAAGATAAGGACTACTCTTATCTTCGCTATTAACTAGCTTACTTCTCTATCGCTTTTATATATTTAGTACTATAGAAAGATAAGGAAGCTAACTTTATTATAAACTTATACTTAATTAGTTTAATAAGATTATTATCTTTAGAATCTTTACTATCGCTAATTAGTTTAGATATATTAGTAGTAAGCTTAGTCTCTTTTTATTTATCTACTTCTTATATTAAATCTAAAGATATATCTTTATTAGGTAGTTCTTCTATTTTAATATTAAACTAAGTTTTATACTAGAATATTATAATATCCTAGACTATCTTTATATTTAACTACTTATATTAGTAATAATAGATATCTTATATTAAATTAAAAAGATATTTAATTCTAGCGCTTATTATAAGAATAAAAAGAATATTATAAGTAATACTTAAAAAAATTAGGAATTTATTCTTATATTCTTTTTAGAACTATAAAAAATTAATCTTTTTTTTTATTATTATAGATATTAGTATTCCCGTCTATAATAATAATAAATATAATATATACTTTTTAAGATATTTAGTAAGTTTATACTCTAATATTAATAGATTAAAATAGATATAAGATAGAAGGTTAAAAAAAGCGTCTAGATTACTTATATTAGCTAAGTAATACTTAAAGGATTACTTTTCTTATAAAGACTATATCTATATCTTTAGATATAAAAAGCTATAAATTAGCGAAGCGTTTTTTTATATTAATTACTTTAGTTTATATTATTCTTTAATATATCCTATATCTTACTTAAAAAAGGTAAAGCTTATATTAGAATATAAGAATTATTTTAATTATATAGAGACTATTATAGATCTCTTTTATTTTTATATAGTAAGAGATAAACTTTATTATCTTAGTATTAAAGACTTATAATATTGCTTTTTTTTAAAATATAATTTTTAGAGTAAATCGTATAATCGATTCCTCGAAATATTTAAAAAGGATATTATAAATACTAAAAATATAATATACTATTATCTCTTTAGTCTTTAAAAGTATTATAATAAAATAGTAGAATAGCTTTATAATATATAAAAAATAATCGACCTATTATTATTTTATCTTACTAAATTTATATTTCTAAGTCTTAATATTATTATAATATTTATTATAAGATTTATTAAGATATTTTATATAATAAAATATTAAAAAGATAGAATTCTAGTAGGTATAGATATCTTAAATAAGTATAAGTTTTATTTTATTAATCTAGAGATAAAAAAAATTATTATAATATTAGAGGCTTATATTAATAAATATAATAAGCCTTTAAATCTATATAATTATTAGATATATTAAGTAATAAATAAAATAATATACTTATCTTAATAAAGATTTATATAATAATTTATTTATTTTATAAAATATAAAATAATCGAGTTTAAGCTTAAGCTTAAATATTAGAAATATTCCGATCTATAATATTATTTTAAAGATTAACCTTTACCAATCTAAATAGCTTATAAAGACTTAACTAGATAATATATATAAAATAAGAGATTCGAATAATTACTAGATTATTCGGTAGTTCGAGAGAATTAATAGAGCTTTAAACTATTTATACTAAAATTATATTATTTAATATATTATCTAATATAATTATTAATATATAATTAGTAATATTAAGTTTTTTAAAGATCTTTATAAGTATTTTATTTAGATTTATACTAAAATACGCCCTATTAAATAGTTTAAAACTAAGTAGGAGCTTATAATAATTCTAATCTTAGTCGATAAAGTATTTTATAATTACTATAAATACTTACTAAAAAGATAATATCTAATAATTAAAGATAATTAAGAGCTTTATATCTTATAGTAAGATAGCGAGAATTATATATTACTCTTTATTAACTAATTTCTTAAGCTAGTATTAAATAATATAAGGATAAAGTAAAGTAGATTTAGTTAGAGTCTTTTATATTATTTAAATTAAAAAAGTAAATTACTTTCTTTTAAGTATCTAAAAAGAGAGGTTTAAATTAATAAGATATTTAATCTACTCTCTTTCTTATTTATTATTTAAGAATTTTAAGTTATAAGATAACTCTAGTATCTAATATATAATATATTAGTTATCTTAAAGAGTATAATTATATAAGACTTACTAGTATATATTATATAATCTCCTTAATTAACTATTATATAAACTTATTTTTACTATCTTTTTAGTATTTATCTAAAGTTAGATATTACTTAAATATATTAATACCGCTTTACTTTATATTTAGATAAGATAATATAATCTTATACGTCCGATATATAACTAAAGATTTACTTATAATATAATATACTATCTAGTCGAAGTTCTTCTAGATATCTAATATATATTTTATATCCTATTATAGTCTTTATTATATCTTAGTACTATTATTATATATTATAGTACGCTACTACTTAATAAATTTTATTTTAGATATATTATTTATTATATTATAGAGGATAAACTACTTTTGTGACGATCTGCAGAGTTTTCTGCCAGTTGACTCCGCCTATAGAGTTTTCTGCTGATTGTTTCCGCCTTTGACCCAGGACCTACCCTACATTGTCTTTGGTCCTATTGTTGATTTCTTTTTTCTTTCTTTTCTTTTTCTTCTCTATACTTATTATTCTAGTTAAATATACTCTTTTTGTTAAAGAACTAGCTAGTAATATAATAATAAGTACCGATCAAATCTAATAAGTAGTACGACCGTATAGATCTCTATTATAGTAGATCTCGGTCTAGCTTATCCTACTTCCCGTTCCTTAGTATCGTATAGCTAAGCTATCCGAACCGAACCTAATTCTAACTAATTAATTAGAATAGTTAAGACTCGACGAAACCCTATAAACTATAATAAGTAGCCGGTTACTATTATACTTAATAAAAAAGAGATCGACGATTAGATAATCGATATATTAACGCTAAAGACCCTATATACTAAGAGACTAGTAGATACTAGTAAATATAATAAAGATAATGATAATATAGGAGAAGGATTATTCTTTATATATAAATAATTATAGAAGATTTTATCGAAGGAGAGATTTTAGGAACTTATTTATTAGTACTAACGACTAGAGTAAGAGAACTAAAAGTTAAAAGATAAGATTATAGAGCTTCTTAATAAGAGAGTTAATATTAATAAACTTATAATTAAATATAATAAAGTAATTACTTATCGCGATCTTATAATATATAAATATAAAGATTTAGCTTTCTATCTTTTTTCTATCTAGAATCTAAATATAACTAACGTTAGTATACTAATTATAAAGGCTAATATTATCTAGAAAATAATAAAGATATCTAATATACTAATATTTAATAATAATAAAGAAATAAGATTCGAAATATAGAAAATAATAATCCGATAAAAACTTAAAGCTAATATAGACTATTACCTTTTTCCGATCTATTAAAAGCTTTATATATAAAATTAGTATAAAGATAAAGCTTAGTTATATATTATTCCTTAAATAAATATTAACGCTAGTACTCTCTATAAAAATATAAAGAATATTATTATATACTTAAAAATTATCTTCGCGAATTTAAATTAATATACTAAAGTATATATTATATACTACCGATTAAAGATAAAGCTAAGAAATAATTTTACTAATTTTCTCGCGGAGTTTATATAGCTTATAAAAGAGGCTATTATTATAATCGAGAACTAGAAATAAGATCTATATTCTAAACTCTTATACCTACTTTAAATCTAGATTATATAAGCTATTAATTAGGAGATTATCTTATTCGATATATTTATATAAAGCTACTAAAGTATATTATATAAAATTAATTTATAATAAAAAGCTAAGTCGACTAATTTTTATTTTTATATAAATTTATCTTTAGAAAGTAGTATAAGTACTATTATAACTAGTTCGAATTCTATTTCTTATATAAAGCGGGAGGGTAGTACTAATTTTATTAGTCTTTTTATATCTAAATAAGAGACCTTAATAAAAAAAGTCGTTACTTTAATTATAAAAAGTAAGGATATATAACTTATAATTATCTAAAAAAGAAGTTAAACTAGCCTATTATTATAGCTACTATAATTATTATTATCTCTTAGATTTAGGAAATTATAAAACTCGAAATAAGCGATAAAAAGAATCTAGGAAAAGCTTTTATCTAAGATAAATCTCCTTTTTAGATAGAAAGAAAGTATTATTATTTATACTAGACTTATAAAAATTAGTTAGTAATCCTAGAGATAGTTTAATTTTTAATATATAACTTATATATAATAGCTACTCTTTTTCTATCTTAGTATTAAATAATACTAAAATAGACGGATATATCTTTATTAATATAATAATAATTATACTACTTAGTAAGTAATTTAGAATTAAGATATAGAGGCTTAGTTATAAATATCTAGTATATAGATTTAATAGTAAGCTAGCTAAACTAATATAATATACC